TGTTTGTTTGATTGGATGATTGTATGAGTACTCCTACTTGATAATCTTGAGTTCATATTCAATCTATGCACGTTTTCATGATTCAATTCTGCTTTAGTCGAGATTATTGATTCTGCTTTGATCCTATGAGAGCGAATACCTGATTAGGTCAATAGAGCACCATAGATTGATAGTAGCGGATCGATTGCTTTAGTCGAGGATTGATTCACTGCTTTGTATCGATTGAGAACCTCTTTTGATAGAGGGAGTCTAGTTCAGAACGCCTTGATCAGTTGTTCTAGAGAAGGATACGTCCCTCTAGGCAATTGACTCAAGAGGGCCTTGTTCCTTTAGTCGAGACTCAAGGTCTAGTCAAGGATTCTCCGCATTGTGAATGATAGTGAAACAGGTTAGAGATCATCAATCATTAATCTGGCTAGTGGCTAGGGGGAATCATACCTAAGTGAGTTCGCAACCTGTAATTAGATTAACTTTAACTGTAGTTTGTTAGAGTAGTTTTAGTTCTTCCATCTTAATTTGGTTTGCTAGATAATGAATTGAAGCTGAGTAATAGTAACTCTAGAGACCTGTGGATTCGATATTTATTACTTGAGCCACTATACTGCAGTCCCTTTCATTGGTTACACTTGGCCATTGTTAGGAGTTGTGCCGTAGTGAGTCACTTATCCAATTTTGGGGACCCATCATAAGATACCAAATGGAACATTAATTCTTAGTCTTTGGACAGAGAAATTAACTGCGAGCGATACTCTTAATACAATGATCAAATATTGATAATAAGTTCCGTCAAACAACAGTCTATCTTTGGACCAACTATTATTCACATGAACAATAACTTTATAATTATCACGTATTTATCATTAAAGTGTTTGATTACTTGGTCAGATAGTGTCGTCCTTTGGGTCGATCACTACCACATAAGTAACCTTACACGTACATCCATGTATTCTAAGTTAAATAATTTTTCGCAAATAGAGGTTATTTTGGCAACATACTGCTAAAATTAACTTAACTAAAATACTGGACAATTCTCATATAACCACAAAATATCTATATGCGATTAATTATCCTTAAAAGAGAATTAAATTAATAAATTTTAACAAAGGTTTAATGCATCACAAAACACCATGCACTCCATTGATATTTCATCTTTGGACAAAATTTGAACTTGTAATTGATGTCTTATGACTCACTAATTAAATATTGATGATAAGAACATGCGAAATAGTAAATCTATCTTTGTGACGATCTAAAATTCGCATGCGAAACGAATAATCATCACATACTTATTACCACAGGACGTGTATAAACCCTAAATATTCACCTACTTTTGGGCCAGTGAATACATAATTTGTGCGCACTAAAATATAAATCTTTTACCGTATAAATTGTCAAACTGACAATGAAATCTATTTTACTGAAATGAGGAATATATTCCTCACAAAAGTCTTGTTTTTTAGAAAAAATATTACGAGGCATTAAAAACACAAAAATCGTTGTAGAGTGCATTTCAAAGATCCAACGATCATCCGGCAAAAAAAAATATTGACGACAATTCCTTTCAAATAATAGTTTATCTTTGAACTAACCACTATTCACATGGAAAAGTAACTTGATAGTCATCACATATTTATCACTAAATGTGTATCGATATTTGGCCAAATAGTGTCTACCTTTGGACCAGACACTATCCGCATAATAACCACACACTATACATCCATGTATTTTAAGTTAGATTAATTATTACCGCCTATTTTGGCAACATAATGCGAATAATAACTAAAAAATAACTGACTAATCAATTTGTGTTTGTACATAATAACTTAATATACAGCAAGCAACAACAAGTAGTACATATAATTAATTAACTCCTATGTATTTCCGTACACAAAAAATAACGGACTAATTAATTTGTGTTGGTACATTAACTATATGTAAAGCGTCCCCCAAGTTTCCCTTCCGTAACCGAATATAAAAACAACAACCAAAAAACCCGCATTCAATAAATTAAAACTACGGAAACTGGGAAAGCTTTCCGGATACATTGATTAAAACTGTTGCTTTAGCCCATTAAACCAATCCATCGTTAACCGGGTGATAATAATTATTTAACCTGGAAAGCTACACTTTTGACCGAAAGATTGGTTTAATTGATAATAATAGTTACTTTTATGTCAGCCAAAATCCGTAACCGTAGGTAATAATATTAATATTGAAACCTCAACCATAATAATTATAACTGAAAGATAATTATCATTAACCATAATTAATTAGTATAACAATTAATCCTTCCGTAAAAGGCTAAAAGCCTCCCTTTTCTATGCGCAATCCAGATCCTCAATTTAACGGTTATAGCGGCAACGGAAAAGTGCAAAAACCTTAATAATTGGATCCGATGGAACTCCCAAATTGCTGGATCCATTTGTAACCAAGGAGGACCTACGATGACTACAATTTCTCTGCTTAAATAATGCGATGCTCAAAGCTATCACGAACCGGAATACCCTCACAGCTCCGTCCCATCTGCTTAAATAATGTGATGCTCAAAGCTATCACGAACCGTTTGAAGCCGTTTATGCTGCAGCTTATTGCCCCCACCTAGAGCGGCTTTATCCAAGGCAAACAGACCAATGGTCATATTTTTCTTCTTCATGAGACTCTCCACTCATTGCGCAAGAAGAAAGGAGGCTTGGTTATCAAGATAGATCTTGAGAAAGCTTAGACTACGATGAGATTTCTTTAGAGACACCTTTGGGGGAGTTGGTCTAGCAAGTTCCATGATTAGCATAATAATGACATGTGTAGAGCGTAACAAAATGAAGATTAGTTGGAATGGTAGCCTCTCAAATCCAATTCTCCCCACTATAGGAGTTCGTCAGGGAGACCCCTTATCTCCTTTCCTCTTCATTCTCTGCATGGAACGGTTATCTCATACAATTGAAAAAGTGATGGAGGAGAAACTTTGGAAGCCATTATCACTGTCTGCAAATGTACCAAAGATACCCCCTCTTTTTCGCTGATGATTTGGTTTTATTTGTAGAAGCGAAAGGGAGCCATATTGATGTTATTAAAGACTATCTAGAAAACTTTTGCTCCAGCTCGAGAGAGAAGATTAATCTCTCCAAGTCATCCATGTACATATCTCCCAATATCCAGCCTGATAGAGCCCATCGTCTTAGCTCTCGTGCTGGCATTGCTCTCACTACTGACCTAGGGAGATACCTTGGGTTCACGACCATTAATGGTAGAATCACCAAGTCAAGATACAAGGACCTTCTGCTAAGAATTCAAAGGAAGTTGGCTAACTGGAAATCTAGACAACTATCTATGGCAGCAAGGGTCACTTTAGTCAAAGCGGTAACTTCTAATATGACTATTTATCCTATGTTCACTGAACTCCTACCTACAGGTGTTTGCAAAACTATAGACAGGTACAATAGACAGTTCATCTGGGGGGATGAAGAGGCCAATACGAAACTCCACTCGGTGGCCCGGGATAACATCACACTTCTTCGCAGGCAAGGGGGTCTTGGCTTCCGACCGACTAGACTTACAAATCAATCCATGCTTGCCAAGGGTGCCTGGAAGCTAATCAAAGAAGAGCAATCACTTTGGGCTCGAGTTTTATGAGATAAATGCGCTCGCAACAAGAGAGGAACCCACCTGCTGACAAAAACTAAGGGAAGTTCACATGCTTGGCGCAGTTTTACCCAAACTGGAAATCTCTTGCGCAAAGGCATGAATTATAATATAAAAATAAAAGGATGACTAATTTCTGGATCGACCCATGGATTTTGCAGGTTCCACTTATCGAAGTAGCCACTACAGATATTCCAACAGAATGCAAGGAGAGGAAGGTGGTGGACTACTTGCACGCGGACACTAGTTGGAAGACTGCGGAAATGGAAGCTTACCTCCCACAGGAAGTTATAGACAAAATCAGAGTTGTTTGGCTCGACCCTCTCTCGATGATTGATGACCAAATCTTCTAGAAGGCTTCAGCTAATGGCTACTTCAGCACTTCATCTGCCTACCAAATTGTGGTTCCTAAACAACAAAGCCAGAAAGCGTCCCTTTGGAGCAAGGTGTGGCATCTCTAAGTCCCATAACGGGTTAGAATGTTTATGTGGATAGCCCTTAAGGGTCGACTTTCGATGAATGTCGTGAGAAAATTCAGACATCTGACTACAGATGACCAATGCCCTCTCTGCAAAGCTGCAATAGAGACAAACTTCCATTGTTTGAGAGATTGCCAGTTAATAAAGAAAGTCTGGGAGAAGACAGTTTCTCAAACAGATTTCCAGAACTTCTATTCTTCAGATCGGGAAGACTGGCTGGAAAAAAATTTGGATAACAATGAGAAAGCCAAAGAGGGTAGAGAGTGGGCTAGCTTTTTTGTCCCCATTTGCTGGTACATATGGAAGCATAGAAACGAGTTCATTTTCAAAGTTGTGAGGATTTCAACGCCAACTCTGATCAACTATATTATCTGCAAGGCGAAGGATTGGAGTAAATCATGAAAATCGGCTAACGACAACAATTAGAGTTTGACAAAACAGCCAAGAGAAAAATGTCTTATTGGCTGGTCACCTCCAGTAGGTGGATGTCTCAAACCCTTTATTGTCGCAACAAAGGGTGAGTGGGCTCCCAAAACCAAAATCCAATTGAATACAAGAGGAGCCCAGAACAAAGATGCAAAACCCAATGAAGGGAAGGCTATGGAGGGGGCACACTTGTCATTTGATTAGGAAATTAGTTTTATTAATGGAGTTCGACGCTAAGTGATTAATGTTGAACTAATATTTAATATGAGTAGCTTTTTTTATTATTATTCAGGAAACTCAGTGTCACGTGCACTTGGTCTATTAAACCTGGGGTCATCTGCAATCAATTCGACGCCAATAGGATTTCGCTCCCAGCAGTCTCGTACCTTCGAAAACACTAACGAGTCTCACTTGAATCGAACTTGAAATATACAACTTCCAACCCTTTATTGTCGCGACAACTTTATCGTTATCTAATATGAGTAACTAATGAAAAAAAAAACATTTCGATCAAAACGTTAATTTATTTATAAAGTGAGTGTCAGCGTGAGTGATGTAATTTATTCTTTAGTGACCGTTTTCCGCTGCGGGCGGTCTCCTCTTCTCCCACCCCCAATTTCAAGTTTTTCCCAATTTTACCAAGTACTGTGCCTCTGACACCCCCGTGAACTACCGCCCATAATTGCACAAAGGAGAACCAAACTACCAAAGTCCCCAGGGAAGGGGAAAATTGCAAATGGCAGCAGCTACTTCTCCTACAATTACCAAACTCAACGGATTACCTTTTTGCTACTGCCACCGCCACTCTCCCGCCTCTGCTTCCTCCCACCTCCACCGTCCACCCGCCACCCTCCGTCGGAGCTCACCACTTCACATCATCAGCGGCGCTGCTAGATTCCCGGCCCGATTCGCTCGCAGATTGAAGCGGTATCCTAAGTCGGCAGCGGCGATGCTTCATCAGGACCCCGTCCTGTCGGACACTATAGCGACCGGATTGTCTGGAGCGGTCGCGCTCTCGGTGCTCCGGCTGTTTGAGGAAACCGCCAAGCGCGGCATCTTCGACCAGGTTAGAAATCTCAGTCGCTCGCTTGGTTCCAATTTGTTTGCTTTCGGGGTTTTTTTTCTTTTTCCTTCGTTACCCAATTAGCGTTGTTTTTACCGGAATTTGTCGTTTCTCATGGCGCATTTTGTGCTCTGAGGGGAGAAACAGTTAGGTAAACGAATTAATGATTTGTGTTAACTTGATCCCCCCAAACGTGGAAACCGGTGGCATTTTCTGTCAGATTGGCAGTGCTAATTAATATGTACATTCCCCATATTCTACTAATTACGGCGACCCTTTCACTCCGGTGAGGTCATTAGGGGGGAAAACTAAGTTATCTTTGTCTACTTCAAGTGTCTCTGCGAGTGGGGATTTCGGCAAAAAGTTTGTGAAATAGATTAATATACAAATGATGCACATGACTGTCAGGCAGCTAGCTGGCTAAGTGGTAGATATAATATAGAGAGATGGGCCTTCGGTAGTGACGATGAGAAGGGAACAGAATTTTATGTCTGTCTTAAACACCAGCTCACAGCCACACGCACCCACAAAGGGATTCTTTTGATTCCCACTTCCGAGGATGTTTGTTTCCGGCGGAGTAGTCTCTGATCTATGGGCGACGGTGGTGTTGACGGTGGCCATTTTTGGTTTACTGGAGCTATGGAAGGAAACTGCCAAGCGTGGAGTTGACCAGGTGTTTGCTTTCTTCTGGGTTTAGGACTTTGGATCCATTTTAAAGCTGCCTTTGTAGAGGGGAAGCTATTCTTCTTTGCTCAAGATTAGAGATACCTACAGAGGCATGTGTTGAGCGATTTTCGGTAGTTGAATTTTTGTATCTATGTGTTCTCATGACCTAGAGTGAATACCTAAAGTTTTATTATCAGATAAATGGAACGAACTGATTTGGTTTCTCTGATATAGATGCTGAGTCCAACTAGCCAATCAAATTTGATGTTAAGTCTGAAGAGTTTGATTTATGGCGATGTCTAGTTGTACATATATTGGATAAACAAAACTCAAACCTTGGACTTACCAGGGTATTGGATAAACAAAAATTCACATCATAGAGTTTGACCTACAGAATGAACTCTTACAAATGTAGAGCAGCACTTGGGTGATTATGATCCTACCTGAATGTCAGGGTCTATTAGAAGTGATGGGATCAGACTTTAGTATGAACTTCAAAATGATAGTGAGTACCAATGTGGATGCTGATAACCATAGGTAAGTATTGTGCTCATGTGAAGCTTGATGGGTCACTTCAACTTTCCTATCTTTATGTATTGACAGATGTTGCTTTCCTTCATTTTAGTTCGAGATATAGATGCTAAAGATACTACCTTTAAGTTGAAACCCTCCAAAAAATTTATTGTTCTTTCAGACTCTCATATTCTGTCTTTGTTAATCATGTAGAAAATGAATAGGAAGCTTGTGCACATAAGTATTGGGCTAGTTTTCATGCTTTGCTGGCCGCTTTTCAGGTAAATTCCTTTGACTAGTAACACTAACATGTTTTGCATCTTTGTGCCCCAGTCTGTCAAATAAAAGTGTGTACACATTGATTGTTACAGTTCAGGGCCTCGGGGTGCAATCATGGCAGCTCTTATTCCAGGTGCCAACATAATAAAAATGCTTCTTATTGGATCTGGTTTGTGGAAAGATGAAGCCACTGTGAAATCAATGAGCCGATTTGGTGACCGCAGGTCAGACTAATCTTCATCCATCTCCCACAGCTCCGATTTTTTAATTCTTAGAATATATATGTACTTAATCTCAGGTTTGTTCCTGATAATAATGAGACAGACGAATTTAAATTTGTTCCTCTCAACATCATCTACCATCAGATTGTTATTCCTGTTTCTGTTACTCTCACAGTATCTCATATTCCCCTTCTGTGAGTAATTATCAGGGAACTTCTCAAGGGGCCGCTCTACTATGCTACGACAATCACACTGGCTTGTGCAATCTGGTGGAGGACTTCCCCTATTGGCTTTGCAGCTATATGCAACCTATGTGCTGGAGATGGTACCTTCTAATTAAACAGACTCTCCTCTACAATTCTAAAATCTGCGTGTTTAGACCAGCTCCTCAACCTTCCATCTTTCGTTTTGGTGATCTCCCATAGGGATGGCAGACATTGTGGGGAGAAGGTTTGGCAATCAGAAACTACCTTACAACAGAAACAAGTCTATAGCTGGGAGCATTGCAATGGCACTGTCTGGTTTCTTAGCATCTCTTGGGTAAGTTTCTACCTCATCTGGCTCTAACTAGCACTCGTATTCATATATGCTCATCGACTCTCTCTGTTCTTCTTTGGTTGGTTGTCAGGTATATGCATTACTTTGCCTCGTTTGGGTATGTTGAGGAGAGCTGGGGGATGGTGTTAGGGTTCCTTGCTGCCTCTGTTGCTTCAGCCATTGTCGAATCGCTCCCCATAAGTACCGAGCTCGATGACAACCTCACTGTGACTCTTGCTTCTGTGTTAGTAGGGAAACTTGTTTTCTGATGAGACGATAGGAAAGCCTAATGAGGTTATTATTCCGTGCACGGATTTGTGGTGTTACAAACACCAGCCGTGGCAAGGCCAGGGGTAATGTAGGAGATGAACTTGTAAATTGTAATTGTTGTATCTGCATATTGAATAGAGTTGACGGATGAGAACTTCCTTCTATTATGTGTTTAGGCTGCCAATTATTGATTAGGAAGCACGGGCTGGAGAGGAATGAAAGAGAGGATGTTGTGACTTCTCTAAAATGTTAAGAATTAAATTTATGTTCAGGATTATTTTTAGTTTATGTTTTCAATTATGTTTTGTTTTCATGTGAATGGGAGTTGGCAATGCAATAGAATTAGCTAAAACCAGTTAAACCAATTTGAGTAGCTTTCTTAATGTTTCTTGCGGGAATTTATAATTAACTGGATAATTTCATTTAAAAAAGTCCTTGACCAAATTTCAGTATTTCACTAACTCATTTGCAACATATCTTCTCCTCTCCATCCTGAACTTTTATTGTAAATATTATTTTTATATATTTTTCTCTCTCAAATTTCTCATAACTCATCATTTCACGGTTTACACTATTATTTTAGGGGTCGTTTGGATTAGAGATTTTAATAACGAGGGATTTTAAACCAAATCTCTCGTTTAAAATACCAGGAAATTTATATGCAGGATTTAGTTGAAATAACTCGTTTGGATTGATACACAGAATTTTAACATAAACATGCAAATTACATTATTGTCCTCATCTTCTATCCTTCGTCTTCTTCCCCATGTTCTTCATTTGTCAATTTTCTTCCATGGGCGATTGAAACCCAGATTGGACAGAGATAAAACAAAGAAAGAATGGATGCTGCCAATTTCCACATAAACGAAGCACAAGGCTATTGTTACTACTAGCAATCCATAATCTAATGAATCCCAGAATACCCAAATAACAATAAATACTAAACGAACAATGAAACCGAGAAATTCTAATGAGAAAGAGGGGGGAAATTAGAGGAAAAGCAGGGATAAGGGATCTGAGAGGTCGGATCCATATAAGATATTTGGTGGGTCTCGATGTCTTTTGAGTTGCGGCGCTTCTCGTCCATGGCTGCCATTTTAGGGAATTCGCCGCCGCTCGAGGACGGCTCTGAATCAGGCCATCTCAGGGGCGCGAGCTAGGAAACGTAGTGCTCGCCATGGAGGATTCACGCTCAATCGATACTCTTTTCAAACACGAAGTCGGGAGGCTGTTGGATTGGCGCTCAATCAACACAATCTAGTCCCAGAATCGTAACTCTATTCCGAACCCAGAATCGAAAATCAACCTTTCATTTGAAACCCGAATCTCTGTCGACAAAACGGAGGTGGAGAGGAGGGCAATTCGACCAGGTGAGAGATGGATGCACTTTTGGTGATGTTTTGATGATGGAAGGGAGAAGTCGATGTTGAGATGAACTGCGATGGAGGTGGAAGAAGGAAGAAGTAAGAAGAGCGAGACAGATACTCGAGGGGCAATGTTTGGAAATGATAAAATAAAAATGAGGGATTGTGAAATAGCTGGTGGTCATCAGCTATTTGAAAAACCCACATATGAGAGTTTTTAAAATCACTAATTACAAAATCCTTCATCTTCCCCAAACGCAGAATTGTTTTAAAATCCTGCATAATGAGTGATTGTTTTAAAATCCCTGATAAATCCCTCAATAGAATCCGGCATCCAAACGACCCCTTAATTATTTTCACATTTTTGTCTTAGTCTTGACATTGTACTAAATGGAACCTAAAGAAGTAATTAGAGGCATTTTTGTTTGTCAACTTTCATGATTTCTCAGAATTATCAACTAAACATATTTTAATTTTTTATTTTCATGTTGTTGTGGTTGGACCTCCGTCGTCACAACTCTATTGCATCCGCAAAAATAAAACTGTTGGAGGGTAAGGAAAGAAGCCCAGTAGAAGGTCCAATCAAGTATGGGCAAGGGAGGAAGTCCAAGAGTGAGGTCCGGAGGATAAACAGGGCATGCAGTATGGAGGCCCAACCTAATGATGACTATGTGCAAGCTGGCAAGTTGGGGTCCGGTCTCTGACACGAGGCGCGTAGGGACAAAAGGGGGTAAGGACTGGAAACGTACGGAGGGCGCATAAGATGAGGTCAGGTGCCTCGAATCTCTGAACCTTGTGTCAGGTGTTCGAGGCGCATGATAACATGAAAGTATGGTTCATTACAATGATAATGTAGGGCATATTTGGGGGGCAACGGTAGGCCAACCTCGGGGTATATAGTCGAGTAGGTGAACCTCATTTACTCAAGTTAGACTCTCTCTCACTAAAACCTAGCTCCAATTCCCTCTCTAAGAACTGAGCACTGACTTGATCGTTGAAGTGCTAACGGACCAACAAGGTCCGCGGTGCGCCTTGTGTGTAGGGTGCTAAGCGCCCTGAAGTTTGGAAACGCAGTAGCATAGGTGTTCGAGGAGATAGGAAGGGGTACTTGTCTCAAACAAAAACTATACTAAACGAAACCTAAAAATTAGTTTAGACTATGTGATTGTTTGGATGAGATGATTATAATGATTGCATCTGGGACTCACAAAAACTCGAGCATTGTGCCATTGAAAACTATATTTGTAAATACTGTAATTAGGGATGGGTGTGGTTACTCTTCCCACATCTTGCAGGTACCCACACCCACAAATTTACAATTATGCCACCCACAACCCGCACCGCAGTGGTTAGTGGGTAACCACTACCCACTGTGGGTTTGTGCGGGTTGGGTGTGGTTACCCGCAAAAATCCATCTTTGCAAGTATAGAGTTCTAATCGCCACTAACGTATGTGTTGTTCGTAACTAGCCTATAGTGAAATACACTTGTGTTGTTCGTGGAGATACAATTTTGTACATCGATCTTACTCAACATGGAGATTTTTTCTTTTTGAGTTTGGTATTCAACTTTTGTGTCAGAGAGCTGTGATTTCATATTTACCCGACTAGGGGTGAAATATGATCTTGTATTTTTCTCACACAAAAGCAAAAACATACTGATAACAGTTACAAAAGGTGTTCACTTTTAATGAATTGATTATTTTCCACTCTATCGATTATAGTGTTTTATAAACTAAAAAATTCTTACCTAAAACTAATTAGGTGTGTCTTTTTTATTAGGTGGCTACTTTAATTTTTATCCTCGCACTTCTCACATACTATTGTATTATAAAGTTAATTCACTAAATAAATATAATTAGTGTGGTTATTGTGCATTTTGTGAGTTAACCGCGGTGGGTAGTGGATAACCACTAATCACAAAAATCGTTATTTTACTACTCACACTCAACACATTACCCACAACTTGTGGCTATAATTACCAACAATAGCTGCGGATTAGTGCAGTTTGCAAATTATCCACAACTGCAACCCAAACTTCCACCCCTAATTGTAATTTCACCAATTTTAAATGAGTGGACTTATTCGTCCTTAACATAGAAACAAACATTAATCAGAAATTTGGATAGATAGGTAGATAAAGGTCTAAAGGAGGATAACTTCTGTCATTTCTTCCCTCGCGCAGCGAACGAAGGCACGTCGTCTGATATTCTCCCCCACGCAGAGCCATTGGTGCGGAGCTCGACATGGTGACGCCAGCAATGTCGAAACCTTCATTTAAGATTCTTCTTCTTATATTACTATGGAGCTGCATGGTTATGGTGTTTGCTATGGCATTTTCAACCCCTTCTCCTGAATGTGATTCATTGATGTTCTAAAATTGGCATTGGTTTCAATGCCGAGCTAACTCTGGCAGAATTATCGGAAATAATGGGGGAAACAAAGTTCTTACACATTTGAAGACACATCTGATAAATGTCGAGTGAGAACAATAAACAAAAGACACGGTGTTTACGTGGTATCCCCGAAGTGTCGGGACTAGTCCACGGGAGAGAGAAGCCTCTAGAGAGTGGTATATGATCCAGTATAACCTTCTCCCAACAACTCGAGTTATTGGGAGCAATTGGTTCTTGTCATGGTATCAGAGCGCTCGTTATAGGGCATACTTGACTCAGCTGTTTCGTCATCACCATGAGCGACACCGAAGAAGTGAAGGGCTCGGGTGAAAAGAAAGTCGTCACGCTTCACGGAGGATCGTCCACTCCGGCAGCAGTCATGGATCCTTCGTCGGTCCTCTATCTCCACCCGTCGGACAGTACGGGGCAACTCCACATCGGGGAAGTACTCACCCCCACAAACTATGGTGAGTGGGTAGTCGATATGACCGACTCCCTCATCGTCAAGAACAAGTTCGGGTTCGTTGATGGCTCGATCGTCAGGCCGAAAGATGAACCAGAGAATGGGTCGTGGATCGCTGTGACGCGGTCGTCAAAGGCTGGTTGCGCACCTCCATGAACAAAGAAGTACGCAGCAGTGTTAGATTTGCAAAAACTTCAAGAGAAATTTGGTTGGACTTGAAAGAAAGGTTCGGCCAAGGGTCGCTTACAAGAGGATACGAGCTGCGGAGACTTGTTGCTGGATTATGGCAAGAGAAGCTCTCTGTATCCTCCTTTTACACCCAACTGCGCAGCTATTGGCAAGTGGCACAGTCCATCTACCCTCTCGAACGATGCACCTGTGGCCAGTGTAGCTGCGGCCTCGAGCGAAGAACAAGGGATCAGGAAGATTGCACCAGGTTGTTGGATTTCCTCATGGGGTTAGACGAAAACTTCACCACGGTGCGGTCTCAAATTCTGGCCATGAAGCCACCGCCCTCCCTTGCTGAAGCATTCAACATCGTATCCAACGATGAGAAACAGCGGCTGCTAGCTCAGCAGAGACGTCTTGGTGCTGAAGCCGCGGCATTCGCTGCACGCGGAGAGTCTGGGCGTGCTGAATCCGACCGAGATCCAGGCTCTCATCCCCTCACCAAGTGCACTCATTGCGGAAAGACGGGGCACCTCAAGGAGACCTGTTACAAATTAATCGGCTGGCTGCCTCGCAATAACAGGCCGGGATCAGCTAAGAAAGGAGAGCGTGGCAGGGACGAGCGGCCAGACAGAGCCACGGTCGAGCGAGGAGAGCGCAGACCTCGCCGTGGCAGCCGAGATGGGAATCCGCATGCAGCCCAGGTGGATAGTGAGGCCAGTCCTGTTCAAGGCTTCACTCTTGCTCAACTAGAACAATTGAAGAAGTTCTTTGACCACAACAAGTTAGTCGAGGATCCCTCGGCACACATGGCGGGTAATTCTTTTGATTCCCTTGAATGGTTGATCGATTCTGGATGTAATGAGCACATCACGACCAGTTCAGAGTTGTTATGTGATGTGGTTTCGAATGTTTAGAGTCAGCCTGTTCGGCTGCCCAATGGATATTGGATTCCTGTTCAACAGGTTGGCACAGTGAAGCTTCCTACAGGGCTCACTCTCGAACGAGTCTTGCACGTTCCTCAGTTTCGGTGTAACCTGTTGTCCATAAGTCGTTTGCTGCAGGATAATAATGTTGCATTGATTTTTATGCGTGACATGTGTGTGCTTCAGAACTTACACTCCAAGACAGTGATTGGGAAGGGTGAGCTTCGCGATGGACTTTATTATTTGAAACTTTTTGGTGGTCATGAGTCTTTTGCGTTAGCTGCTGGTCGTGGAGTTGGTGCAGCACAGGAACGGTGGCACGAGCGCCTAGGGCATCCCTCGCTGGAGTTGATGTCTCAACTTAGTTCTGCTATTTCCTTGTCCATTAGCAAGCCCTCATTACCTTGTCACCCTTGTTTGAGGGCTAAACAAAGTCGGTTACCTTTTTCTTCTAGTTTGATTAAAACCACTGGTTGTTTTGACTTGGTCCATATGGATATTTGGGGTCCCTACAAACAAACTTCTCTCAGTGGTGCTCATTGTTTTCTCACCATCGTTGACGATTACAGTCGTGGTGTATGGGTATATTTACTCAAGTTTAAGTCTGACGTTGCTCGTTTTGTTCTCATATTTTGCGAGATGGTTCGTACTCAATTTGCCCGGCAGGTTCGACGCATTCAGACAGATAATGGGGTAGATTTCAACACCAACTTGTTACGTGACTTCTATGATCGAACAGGCATCATTTTTCAAACTAGCTGCACAGACACACCCCAGAAGAACGGGGTTGTTGAGCGAAAACATCGACACATACTGGACACTGCTAGAGCAATTCGGTTTCATGCTGGTCTACCTATCCGGTTCTGGGGAGAATGCGTACTCACAGCCGTTTACCTCATCAGCAGGCTTCCCACTTCTGCCACGGGAAAGACCCCATTTGAGATTCTCTTTGGTCGGTCCGCTCACTATGATCATCTTCGCGTGTTCGGGTGCCTTGTTTATGCCAAGGACACTCACGCACATCTACACAAGTTCAAAGCGCGGGGGGCGTGCCTGTGTTTTTTGGGCTATGTTGGAACTCAAAAATGCTATCGGCTCTTTGACCTCGATGCTCAAAAGGTTATTGTATCCCGTGATGTTGTTTTTCATGAGACTCACTTCCCATATCGTGCGCAGGACCCTCGAGAGTATCATTGGCTACCACCTTCCGTCTTCGAGGAAGACCCTCCCACGTTGCCTAGCTCAGCTAATCCCCTCACTGGGACCTCTTCCCCAGCAGTTCCCGATGGGCAGCCCATCGCTTCACCTGGGCCCGAACCTGGGCTCGCTTTTCCCACGGGCCGCGATCGGTCGCTCCAGGCCTCTCCGCAGCGGACAACTCCTCCGCAGCAGGCCTCCCCTCCACAGCGGGCCCCCACTCCGCCTCGGGCTTCCCCGCGTGGGCCAGTGACTCAGGCCTCCCCTCAGCGGGCCTCCTCTGCACAGCCCAGGCCAGTCTTGCCCAACACAACAGTGGACGAGGCTCCCAAGCTTCGGCGTAGTGACCGTCACCGCAGCAGGCCTAAACATCTCGATAACTATGAATGTTATCAGGCTGAGGCTTCCGACATCAGGTATCCCCTAGCCAATTTTGTTTCCTATGCTAATGTTTCTCAACATTATCGGGCTTTTCTTGCAGCTGTTAGCAAAGAAGATGAGCCCCGCACTTTTAATCAGGCTTTCCGCCATGCCTGCTGGCGAGCTACAAAGTGCGGGGTACCATTGTAGCTCGCCGTGACGGTACCACTTTGTAGCTTTCCGCCATTGTAGCTCGCCGTGACGGTACCATTGAGCGCTACAAAGTGCGGCTCGTCGCGAAAGGGTTCACTCAGGTCGAAGGGGTGGATTTTCATGATACTTTCGCTCCAGTGGCCAAACTCACTACCTTGCGTTGTCTTATCAGTGTTGCAGTCCACAAGGGCTGGTTTCTTCATCAACTTGACGTCAACAACGCCTTTCTTCATGGCGATCTGGAAGAAGAGGTTTACATGCGCATTCCACCTGGTTTTGCAGCTCCTGTGGATCACCGTGTGTGTCGCCTTCATAAGTCTCTATATGGGTTGCGACAGGCTTCTCGCAAGTGGTACCAGAAATTCACAACTGCTCTTTGTGAATTGGGGTTTCGTGCCTCCCCTGCCGATCACTCGTTGTTTGTCTATCAGCGTGGATCTTTTTTTTTTTTTTTTTTTTGCTGCCCTGATCTATGTTGACGACGTTTTGCTCACTGGTAATGATCTTGACTTCATCAATCACGTCAAGGCCTTCTTGGATCGACAGTTCAGCATCAAAGATTTAGGTCCACTTCGTTATTTCCTTGGCATTGAGGTCGCCCGGTCTCCTCAGGGGGTTATTCTTAGTCAGAGAAAATACGTTTTTGATATCCTCGAAGAAGCCGGGGTTCAGGCAGCCCGTCACAGTATTTTCCCGGTTGAGCAAAATCATCAGTTACAAAGCCTGATGCTTCTGCTCCTCTGCTTGATGGTTCTTCATATCGTCGTCTCATCGGTCGTCTACAGTATCTCAGTGTCACCCGACCGGATATCACTTATGGTGTGAATGTGCTTAGTCGTTTTGTTCATGCACCGACTCAGGCACATATGGATGTTGTTGTCCGCATTCTTCGGTATCTCAAACAGTCGCCTGGCCAGGGGTTGTTTATCCCTGCGCAAGGGCCCCTTGATCTTGTTGCCTACTGTGATGCTGATTGTGCCTAATGCCAAAGTACTCGCCGTTCCACTACAGGATTTTTCATTTCTCTTGGCGGGGCACCTGTCTCCTGGCGCACCAAGAAACAGAAAGTTGTTGCTCGGTCATCTGCCGAAGCCGAGTATCGTGCTATGGCCAGCACCGTTAGTGAGCTTCTTTGGCTCCGTTGGTTATTACGTGAGTTAGGGGTTAATCTCACACATGCCACACCTCTTTACTGCGATAATCAGGCAGCATTACACATCGCTGCTAATCTGGTGTTTCACGAACGCACCAAGCACGTCGAGATGGATTGCTATTTTGTACGGGAGCGCGTTGTTTCTGGTGCTATTGCTCCCCTCAAGGTTAGCTTCGCGCTGCAGCTGGCGGACATGTTCACAAAGGGGCTGGGTACTGATCGCTTCCGCTTCTTGCTCTCCAAGCTGAACGTTCGAGATATCTACCGTCCAGCTTGCGGGGGCGTATTGGGCCGACACGATACGACCTTGGGCCAGCCCAGCCACTCGGCCCAGGACGTGCCCTCCTCATCGTCCGCCCACTGCATGGACAAGACTCCTCCTTCCTCGTGTAGCATGGCAACCTTGAGGAATAACCAAACCCTAGCTACTGTATCTAAATATATAAATTGTGATGTACAGCCGCTTGGCTAACTAAGTTCCAAATCAATAAGATCAGTAGCTGGAGAGGCTTCTCTCTCCCGTGGACTAGTCCCGACACTTCGGGGATACCACGTAAACACCGTGTCTTTTGTTTATTGTTCTCGACTGACTTGTTGTGACTAACTGGTTTATGACATGGTATCAGAGCCTAGAACCGAAAGGTCATGTGTTCGAATCTCCACGACCCCCAATATTAACCATTGTCTTTCAAGCACATGGCATGGTGGGCCTGTACAAACTTCAAGCCCATGAGTTGGCTTTCGTTTGAGGGGGCGTGTTAGAGAGTGGTATATGATCCAGTATAACCTTCTCCCAACAACTCGAGTTATTGGGAGCAACTGGTTCTTGACAACATCCTCCATCTTACTGACATTGGATCGTGATAATTTGTGACAGATAATTTTGGGTTCGGCTTCAATGGCTCGGCGGCGGATTCTATCTGAGATGGGTTATGATTTACTGTCATGGTGCACATTCTTAACCGCTCGACTGTCCCTCTTTCATAATGAGAAGAGTTCCTTAGTAATTATATAATTGTATGGTAGAAACTGAAATCTCTGGTTTTTTGTAGACTGCAGATATTGATGAGAAAAGCATTAGGAAAGATAAGCCTGAAGAATTGGTGATGGCTCTAGCTGAAGCTAAGGTATGGCACTTCTTCACTTTTGGAAGCCATTGCGTAATATGGTTGGTCTTATAGATAGTAGCTGTTGATTCTATGGTGAAGAACAATCACTATAGTTGGACTTACGATTCTTGATTGAAGTTTTGCTTATGTTAATATGGTTCCCTATTTGGGTCATTTTCCTAGGCAGATGCCATCATAGCAAGGCTTCTGAACACAGGTCAGCTGCAGAACGATAGTGATATGACGTTGTTGATTAATGCTGATACGGTATGAACTTGTAGCCTCTTTCTGAACTTCTGTTGCATCTACTTTTTCTTTCACATGAAAACAGATCAACTGTTGTCCCACTGCAACCTCATATCTGATTGAGACAAAAGTTCCATCGTTCTGGCAAGGTTTTTAGCTTTTCTTCCAAAGTAGCCTGAGTAAAAGTTTAAGAACCGGGTGCTAATCCATATATAACATTCTAGTCTCGGAATCACAGTGAGGCAGCATTAATCAGGAATAGGTTGAACCAAGCTATGAATCTTGGTTTCCTCAACCGATATTTCTGTGGATGAACTTGTTTTGTAATCTGTCATTGTTTATTCATGGTTATATAGTTTATAACATATTGCTACCGTGGTCCAGTTACAAAAGGTAGCTTACTGAATTTATAAAAGGTAGCTTACTGAATCCTCTAATCAGCCAACCCATCTCTGATATTCATTTGGGATTGAGTTTCCTAACAGCTGTTGCTTGCAGGCTATTCTGGTAGCCATGCTGCAGTTGTAGGATCTGTCCTTGTTCCCTATTGAGCTCAATCATTGATAGCTTGGTAAACATTGATAGCAGAGGTATATTTCCATGAGATACCCGACGAAATCATTGATAGCTTGGTAAACATTTCTGCCATGAAATCATTTCTTTCGCCCGATCTACTTGTTCCCTATTGAGCTCAATCATTGACCAAGTCATGATGTTTTGAAGATTGAGGAAGGAATAACTTTCAAAGTGGCCAGAGGTCTAATGCTGGAACATCCATTAACAGTGCCCTTCGTTGAAGCAGTGGTTCGCCTTTCTCCTTCCCCTTTCGGCTTTCTAGTGGTTTACAAAGAACCTTATTTGCATTACCAGAATCTGCCCTTGTGATTCTTGTTAATGAAACTTGAATGGCTTTTGCCTTGCAAATCGGGAATAGCGATACTGTCATGGGGCTTCTAACCGCTCTTACCCAGCAATTCATTGATGAAGTCTTGCAGCCTCTGAAGGCCTAATAACTCAGTTTATATTTATTTGACATCTCCAAATGTAGACAGACATATGCTTAAGTCTGTATAATGCCTACGAAATCTCTGCTTTTCTTCCTCCAACTTGTAGCAGTTATCCTCTGTTTCTAAGATGGAGTTTTTTTTTTTTTGCGTATGTTAACTCAGTTGCTCTGCAGTTAAATAGCAAACTCTCCTTCAACAATCTTATCAAAACTTACCCCATTTGGGTTCCAAAAACCGCCAACTCATCATCAGCTCGTTCCCCTCCTCTCTCTTCCGGCTTTTGGTAACATTTCCATCATTCAACAACTCACAACCCAGAATCTTAAGACATACAGGAGAAAGTGAATAGTAAGAAAATGGGAGAAAAAATGGCAGCAGATTGTGTAGTGCGATTTGGGATAATTGGATGCACCAGGCTAGCGAAGAGTAATCAGAGCCATACTGTTATCCCCTGCCACCAATCTTTACGCCATTTCCAGTGCTTCCCCCTGAAGAAACCAAGCAGATTGCTGTGGCAAACGAGTTACCGGAGGCGGTCAGGATACGCAGCAGCCATGAAGAAGTGGTCGACGATCTGGCTGTGGATAATATGGTCTACGTGCCAGTGCCGTGGGGCAGCACTTGCCGGAGCGGGTGGTTGTCTCGGAGAAGCCTGGCGCCGTTGATTTGGAGGAATTGGACTAGGCTTTGGAAACTTGTGAAAGGAACAGAGTTTAGTTCATGGACACCACCACCCAACGGCCAAGATGAAGGAGCTCATCTCCCATCCGAATTCCCAAATTCGTCGGAAAGATTAAGAGAAGTAAAGCTAAAGCTTCACTTTTGCTCCCTCCCTTGTTTGAAAAACATATTGACAGCATTGAGAATACCGAATGGAATGGAAGACATATATAATTATCGATGTTGCCATTTTCGACAAGGCCTAATCTGTGCCTCTCTGCAGATTCACACACATAAACAGGAGGTTTTGATGGTTGAGGAATTTGCCAGGCTTGTTCAGGAGATTAAGGCGGGTCTTGGCCTGATGGGAAGCGGCCTGCGATTTGCAGGAGGACGCAGCTCGTAGTGGATTCTGTAATTAAATCCGTTGAACTTGAACTTGGCTTCAGATGTGTAGCTCTCTGAAATAAAGCGGGCCCTATAATGTGGAATGTGAATGAAGTACATGATTTTACCTCATTTTAGCACTAAGCAGTACAAAGTTAGGAGTTGCATCTCAAGGTCCAGTAAGTTCAAAAACCAAGCCTGCGAGCGCTTAAGTTCAGGCTACGAGACTAAGATCAAAACACTCACTTCCTAAGATCCAAAATCCTCACAAATACAAAAGGAAACCAAGAACAAAAGGTCCACATCTTCGTATGATTTAGTCAAGCACATAGATTCTGGAGGCGATATCTTGAACTAGCCAGTCGAATCCCTCAAGCAGCCCTTCACCCGTATAGGCGCTACAACCGATAATCTTCCAATGCCTGGTTCTGTCCATGTTATCCAAGTTCAGTACCTACAAAAGCATCAAACCAGAGTTACTAAACCCATAAAGGAAAAATAGTACACATAAGATTCTCCAATGTCAATATGACCTTTTGTACTACCTTGGCGATTTCATCGGGTGTAAGAGCCCCATTGATATCTTGCTTGTTAGCAAATATCAGCAAAGAAGCTCCAGATAGCCTCTGCCAAATCAAAAACAACAAACAGTAGCTATGAATACCAAAGGCTAGGAACTGCAATTAGGCAACAGCAGCAAAGTGTGCGGAGAGAAAACTAGATTAGTACCTCTTCCTTCAACAGATTATCAAGTTCCATTTTGCAATCACCTAGCCTTCTAAGATCTGAACTATCCACAACCCAAACCAGGCCATCAGTTTGCTCGAAGTAGTTCCTCCAATACGACCTTATCGTTTTCTGCCCACCAACATCCCATATATTCAACATATACCTTGCAGACACATAACAATGACAATTCTCCTGAGACTACAAGAGGGGGATGGAAATTGACATTAGGGTTTGTGGGGGGTTATTTCTTACTTGTGGTAAGTGATGGTCTTGATGTTGAAGCCTAGGGTAGGACTGATGCCGCTGGTGTCTTCTCCATTAATCTTCAGGACAATCGTCGTCTTCCCGGAGTTGTCCAGGCCACTGCGGAAAAGAGGCGATTGGGAAATCATCCCAGATTAGATTTCGAGGTGCCGTGGATGGAGAGTCAATTGGAAATGGAGAAGTGAAGAGAGGGAAAAAGAGAATTACGCACACCATGAGAATACGCATTTCCTTCTCTTTCCGCTTGATCTTTCTGATGATGCTGAGAAGCCCCATTGTTTCGGCAGAGCTCCGACGACCGTGCGATCGCCAAAACTAGTTCGGGCGATGGGTAGGGTGGGATCCGAATTCAATTGGGATTGCGGGATTGGGAGGAGTATAATAGCGTATAGTGTCGCTTCAATGGAGTTGCAGATCTTCAAAGCTTGAGTGGCAGGATAATGGGTACAACCAGGCCGGCGACGGTGGACGACGAGATTAAGGTTGATTCCCAATTCCCCACTACCTGTCTCCGCGCTGGACGGAATTGGGGCTTTTAGCGGTTTGTTTCCCCTCCTGTGGGTAGGGCTGCTAAACTGATTTTGGTTTCACAAGGTATTAGTGAAATGATAGCGACCATATATTGTATTGATGAGATGTAAATCAATACGTACGATATAGAAATCTAACACATCTAAAAGGCTACCGAGAAGATAAGACATTAAAATCATGACACAAAACTGAATCACATGTTCTAAATGTACTCACTACTGCAACCGCACAACAAACCCTAAGAAACCTAATCGGAGCTCACTCGCGCGAGAGAGGGAAGGGGAGAGCGAGCAAGAAAAAGAAATCAGAGTATTACCTCTTAGCCCGAGTAAGCGAGGAATACCATAGAATCGCCTCTTCAGCCGGATCGAGTGAGGAGAATGGAGTCGCCTTTCAAGCGGAGCGAGCGAGGAGGGAGATCGGAATCGCGTTCGTTGTTTTTTGGATGATACCGAAGCCGGAAAGAAAAGAAGAAGATCCTAGTGAAGTGTCTTATTATTCCCCAATCTCTCCCGCTCTATCGTGATACTCCGAGCTGTATCTCTCGCTCCACAGTGATTTTCAATCTTTTTGGCTCCAACGGAATCTCTCAACGAACAGGGACAGAAAAGAAGAAGAACCAAAATCGGAAATAGTGAAGAGGCATTTCCAAAAGCAATGTTCGGAAAGGAAAGAGAATGCGATTATGTTTAGTTTGGCTCTAGCAAGGGTTTTAGAACCCCTGCAACAAACCATTGCTATAATAAACTAGCTTTGAGCCCGGCCATGGCCGCGTTATTTTCATTTTCTCCTTTTCATTTCACTTTTGGCTCTGTGTGATTTAGTCATTCGTTCATGTGTCTCATATATCTATGACCAACCCCTTATTTGCATTGGTTTTGTCATCCAAAATTTTAGTATATTAGGTATATTAATGTTGAAAGAAAAATATCATCAATGTGAAACAACATAAAAGTAATTAATATATCTTAGAGCATCAAGGACATAAATAAGAAAATATAGCGAAAAGAGGGACAATTGATAACCATATTAGAAACATGGAAGATGATCCATGACCATGATACAGTTGTTTCATGGATGAAGGTTGTACAGTGTTGTGGATCTTATCAATCGAAATCTAAGAGGTCCCAAATAGTATGTTTGCCACTCTTCAATATAGGTAATGGTATTGAATTAACATCATTGCGAAGAGATTGGTGATATGATCCTAAATGGCCAACTCTACACGTTTTTATTACTTGACAAAGAAGCTATCGAAGTTGGGAAGAAGAAGGGCAGAATTTGGCTAAGTCAAAATCCGTGTTCAGGGTACATACTTTGGAGGCATGGTTCTCTCAATTGGCTTATTGGAAATTCAATGTTAAGGGTTTGTTTTGCAGATAAAGTTACCATCTTTCCAATGGTATGCTTTATGGGTCCAGAAGATGTCATTAAGGTTGTTTTCCAAGTCCTCAAAGTTGCTACCTTAAAACTGGAAAACTGCCAGAAAATGACTAAGGCAGGAAACTGTTTTGTGAAGCCTACTTTGGAGCTTAATTCGAGGAGTATGGATCTTATTCAAGTCCAAAGGCTTCCACAACGTGAAACTAGGTATGTTTGTGAACAGAGGGAAGGAATTGGTTGAAGAATTGGAGTTCGGGAAGGCCTCGAACGAAAGGCGCGAAGTTAGTACGAAAGCTGCTTTTGGACTGTTGCTGGCAGCTTACTTGCGCTTGAAGAAAGGGAGTTTAAACCCGAATTTTGTGTCCTTTTTAGTGTAGAATTTTACCTTAACTGTTTCCTAGTTATATTTGCCTTTAAATAGCGTTCTATTTCGTTGTAAAATTCAGACTTTGATTAATCGAAAAACAAACCTTTGGTTTTGTGCAAGTTGCGACTTGTTTGAGTTTGGTGGATTCCAAGCTTGTGAGCTTTGTATCGATTGAATATCCTCTTCAATCGTGGTCGAGCAGCTATCCTTTTATACCATACGAGCATTCCCCAGGTGTGGAATTGTCCGTTGGTTCCGTTTTATCCCAATTTCGTATTAAGAGCGCTTCGTTCTTGATTCGAGTTCAATCAATCTTTGGATTGATTGTTTGCTGCGTTACTTTGATAAAAATACACCCCCAGGGGCGTATCAATTGGCATGAGATCTTATCTTGTTGATGTTATCATGTGGTTCGGCTCAACTTCCCTTTCATATTCAATAGCAAAATCATGCATTCAAGTGATGAAGTTAATGTGATAAACACGTGTAAAAATATGTGTTGCCCAAACCGCAGTGTTTGATGTCTTTATATGAATCATAATCCCTACTGCACAGCATTGCTAATCGCGATCAAGAAGCATTTATATTTGAGCCGACCAAGTGTGAACTATCCCATTCGTTTAATTGTAGTCTTCTTTCATTAAGAAACCATGAGGAAAAAACATAACTATTTAGAGTTGAAGTCACTATTTAGAAACTCATGAACTTAACCATGTAATTTCTTTACATAAAGTGTCTAAATATAATTTTCAAATGGGGCTAAAAGTAAAAAGTTTGAGAGATTACCTTGTTTGTGTTGTTGTCATCTCCTCCATAGTTTTTTTTAGATCAAATTCCATGAGTTTAATGATAGTGTAGATGTTGGAAATTCTTCGATATATACATTGAAGTTGTGGTGTTTGACTCTGAATTTTATGGTTGTTCTAATGAGTTGGAAGGTTGTTCAATCGGGTGATGCCTACATCATGTTTTCATTATTGATGAACATATTTGCTTTTGTGGTACATGAAAATTTTGCAACCCTAATGTTACATATTTTTATACGCAATCCTCTGCATTTATGTTGGTATCACCAATCGAATTTTGCAATGACATGGCAATGCTTAGTCATTCTCCAAATGCTCGTTCGTACAATTGTTTGATTGAGGGCCACTGTGACCAGGGTGATTTTGATGACAATTAACTTGTAAGTTGGAATTTTGACAAAGAACTCAAAACAAACTTAGACCTATTAGTCGTATTAAACTATTAACAATGTCAGTGGGCTCCATGTTTACAATCACAATTAGTAGTCTGGACCCACTAACAAACGGCATAAGGAAGGATTAACTGGAATAAATAAAGAAGTACTTGCCTTGCCTACGTCGCCATTGATATTTGTGAAGGGAAAAGGGGGTTGATGGACTGGAGACGATCCGGTAGTTTGATTTGGGAGTCAAGTTCCCGACGTACTCTGCGTAACGGTGATTGACTGTGTGTTAGCAAAGGGTTATAGTTTCAGGTTTCTCGGACTCAAAGCGGAGGACGCCAGGACGGCCATGACTTATTGCGGACTGGGGAGAAGGAGCCCCTGTGTACGTTAATGGTGTTGGCGGTCAGAAAATGAGGCAGAATCGGGGGAAGAAAGACGGGTTTATTTATTGGAGGAACGGGTGAAAAAAAGGCCGGTAAAACATATAACCACCGCTACCAATTGCAGCCCATTAAAAATTAAAAAATATATAGAATCCGAGAATTACGGGTTGCACTTCAAAGGGTATGTGGCAGAGGCACTTTTCTAAAAGTGTTTTATAATATTTTAAGATAAGATAAGATTTAAGATAAGATGGTTGAACCGAACCTTCCGTAAAGTAAACCGAACCATTAAGCGACCAAAAAATATCAAAGACTGTAAAAAATACGGTAATGCGTACTTATTTTGCTGAATGAAATATTTGAATGAAATATTGAATTCATTTGTTGTGAATAGGGTTACTAATGTTCTTATTTAGCTAAATACAATTAACTTATCTAATATTTTTCAACTTTGACAGCATAATAGTTAAATCTTCAAAAATGTAAAAAAATAAAATATGAAAAGATCACTTGCATTAACAAGAAACGAACAAAGTTACATAGTCCTCAATTTCGAGGACAATCATGCTCGAAAATCAAACCCTAGGAAACAAAGACAGAGCTCTTTTAGCCACCAGATGGGTCACCCTATTGTTATGTCTCCCTAACGTTGATAGAAATAAACGATGAAAGACAAAATTCTCAGGGAAAATCTGCAAGACAAATCAATGGGTGGTTTGGGAGGGTGAGAAGATGCCTAAGTTCCCGATTAGCAGGATATGGCATAGCATCAGACCTAAAAGTGAAGCTGTGAGCTGGTCTAAACTAGTGTGGAAGAGTGGCATTCCTAAGAATTCAGCAATTACATGGTTGATTATGATAGACCGAATAACAACTCTTGATGTAGTGCAGCATTGAAATCCAGAAGTTTATCTAAAGTGTCCTCTCTGTGGGCAAGAACCAGAGTTAAGGAGCCATATCTTCTTTCTGTCTAAGTATGTGCAGGAAGTCTGGGTTGTTGTGTTCCCAGTGTCATGGTCCTTTCTAGTTTCAAGAACACTGCAACAGGCAGTAAATGTAGCAAATCAGAGGTACAAAACGTGTTTGGTAGGCAGAATGCTTTGGTGTCTGGTGTTGAGTGAGATCTGGAGGGAACGGTGCAGGAGGCTTTATGGAGGTAAGCAATTGACAGTTGTGGAAGTCACAAAGAAGATGCAGAGGGTGATGGAAGCAAAGGAAGCTGGAGACCCAAAAATTGCAGAGTTTGTTTCTAGTGTTGTTTTGTGTTAAAAGATTAGTGGCTGAAGGTCATTGTTGTGTGGTAGATAGCAGAGTAGTTGGTTAGTTGGTTTGTTGAGTCGTAAGCTTGTTGTTGTCAGGTTTTAAACTTCGTTGTTGATCGTATTTGATGAATAAAATCCTGCTGATTCATCATAAAAAAACCCCCCGATGAAACTCTTCCAGAATCGCACCACCCTTCACATCCCTAACACACCTGGGGTAAACTCCCAAAATATTAATTTTTCATTATTTACCATCAATATGGTGGTTTTAAAACTATTGACACAAATATTGGGTTTTGGAGAGCAAAATTGGCGAGACCGCCCGAGACTCAGACGAAGCTGCTTTTTAGGCTTTTTAATACGAAACTAGTGGCCCCGCCTGAGTGTGAGAATTTTCAGTTGACAGTTCCATCCAGGGTGACATATCACCAATTTTGTGAGAATTAATTCCGAGGATACGGCATAAAGCAGTACAAGATAGTGAGTGATATAATCACAGGTTTCCCTTACTGTCTTCAAGAATGGCAGAATGGTGTTGTATTTCATTATGTGATGCCTATTGTAGATGATGATAGCTTGAATGTGCTTTTCGATTTTATGGCACAAAATCCTTATTGTTTGGGTGCTGAGATACATGCTGAGATTAGTGAGGATCAAGGTGGAGAGGAAGAATATGAGACTTGGAGTGTGCCATCTGATCATGACTATGATGACGGAGAGCCGGAAGATGATGATGATGAGGAGGATGATGATGATGATGATGATGAGGAGGAGGATGATGATGAGGAGGAGGAGTTGGAGGAGGAGGAGGAGGAGGAAGAAGAGGAAGAAGAAGAAGAGTCTAATTATCCTCCATATTTTTACTTGCAGAGTAATGAAGAGGATGACGAATTATCATATGCTAATTCATAAGGCATAATTCCGATGCATATTGTTGCTAGTTTTGAAAGAGAATTCTATAAGGGTCAGATATTTCACTCGAAACAAGCTGCACAGGTGTCGATTAAATACTACGCACTACAACACAACTTTCCGTATGTCATGGTTGAGTCGTCACCTTCAATATGGAAGGTCAGATGCTTGTAGCAGTACGACTCAATCGACTGATCATCGCCATCTTGATGTCGACGTTATATTTGAGTCCGTGAAGTGTTTGGTACGTGCCCAACCAAATCTGAGTGTTCTAACTGTGCACGCCGAGTTGAAAGATAAGTTTAATATGCAAGTTAATTACTTACAAGAAGGCTTGGTATGGGAAACATAGAGTATTGGAGAAGTTGCATGGAAATTGGGAATAATCCTACAATTATTTGCAAGCATTCTTGCGGGTGGTAAATAGAAAATTGCCAACATCAATGATTGATTGGGTAAGAGTTCCTTCATCACAACCATGCCATTTGATCTTTCAACGAGTATTTTGGGTTTATGGACCTTGTATAAATGGATTCAAGAATTGTCCAGGAGTCATGGTTGTTGATGGAAAATTTCTTACTGGAAAGTATAAATGAGTGCTACTCATGGCAAGCTCATTTGATGGTCGGAAGAAGATTTTTCCAATTGCGTTTGTCATAGTGGAGAGCGAGAATACTGATAGTTGGCCATGGTTCATAAGACACATTCAAGGTTTGATCGATTGAAATTATGTGTGCATCATCTCAATTAGACATGCATGACTCTATGAAGCCATGAGTGACATCGGAAGAGGTTGGGAGTGGATGTGGTGCATGCGGCACTATGCACGCAACTTACAAATGAAGACTAAAAGCAGGGTTATGTATAAAAAACTTTTTTTGAGTCAGGAAGCCTTCATTGTTATGGTTATTTATTGTTATGTATTATTTATTTTCATTTAATTTTGTAATAGATATATCTAACTCGTGTGGTTATTTATTGTGTTAGCCAGAGAAAAACGCTTGGAGAAGTTCGATCGTCAAGTTGAGCAATTTAAGAAGATGGTCGCTGATAGAAATATTTCTTGTGATAACTGGGTGGACCAAAATCAACTTTGTTGGAGCTTAGCACATGATAACTATAATGGTGGGCATCGATGGTCAATCCTGACATCCAACATGGCAGAGAGCATCAATGATGTTTTCAAAGGTATTCGTTCACTTCCTATAGCTTCTCTTCTGCAATGTACTTATTAGCGATTATTGGATAAATTCGATAAGATGAGTTGGAGACAGAAGCACAAATTAGAAGTGGTCATTCACAGTACACCAAACCATGTGAAGAACTGATGAAGCCGTGGGCACAAAAGGCGTTGGACATTCCGTGACGGATGTTGATCGACGTCAAGCGACTCTCTGGAGGCATGTACCAACTACTACCCACGCGGTGGCCCATGATGGGGATGGCGATAGAAAAACCTAACCTCAGGCTCTGTATGTGGTGGATGAAGTTCATCTTGCAGCATGCCAAACTATCGGAGCATGCGGTCAGGATGGTGCCACGTCACCGCTGAAAAGCAGATCAGTGGAACTACTGCTCGAAACGTCTTAGATTGGATCACACTGCCTCTATGGTTCTCAGCTCTCTCAACGTAAGGGCACCACTACACACAAAAGTGGTCACATGATTACTCCTACATCTAAAAAAAACCAATGAAAACTATTCTATAAAACGAAATTTTATATACTAACCACCATGGTCGTCATCTCGTCAAACCACAACTTGCACTGGTAAAACTGTTCATCGTGCTGACGGGTGTTGGCTGGAAGCCATCAAACACCACGTGGGAATGCGTCCTCAGTAATCTGCATCCTCATCTCTGTATGTTGTGGTGACAGATGTGGAAATCGCTCCCACGCCCAGATCTGCGGTAAAGGGACCCATCCACCAAGGTCACCTCCTAGGGAAGAGAACTGTGTCATGTGCAAAACCGACCTACCCATCTCACGGTACATGTAGGCTAATACAACTGCTCCACAGGCGAACCGTCCAGCTCTCTACCAATCCTCCACCAAGAGTAGGTATTGTAGATGAACTGTAGCTCCACTTCGATCGGGGAACAGTACACCTCCCATCAGAAATAGAGCATAAGCTCGTGCAAATTGCTTTGTAATGATGCATGTGCCGACAGATTATTGAATTGTTCCCTGAGCCAACCTATCTTAATGACATCGCCGGAAAGATCATTAGGAGCCTGTCCTAATAGTCTCACACAGGTCTCCGACCACTCCTCATCTGGTATGTCTACTACAACGGCATCATTGTCGATCGCTAGACCGATGAGTGTCACAACGTCCTCTAAAGTGATCGTAACCTCACCAAAGGCAAGTGGAAGGTCGATGTCTCGGGTCGCCAACTCTCTACGAGCGTAGTAATCAAACTTGCATCAGCACTCATAGGGACCAATTGCAGAACAGTAGACAAGCCCGCCTCGACGAGGTACGTCGGATAATATGAATGGTACGTCACTAAATTGGTCGTACCTCGAATATAATAAGGTCGATCACCAGCCTATAGTGTACAAAACTTATAATAATTCAATTTCATGCATAATTCTAATTTCAGTTCACCTAGTAAAATCTATCTAATCTAAACATCTATCTAATCTAAACTTATGCCAATTTAAAAAAAAATCATGTGTAATTCTATTCTAATTTCAGTTCAGTTCACCTAGTAAAAATCTATAATAGTCTAATCTAACTAGCTAATGAACTTTAAAGAAGTAGTTGTTATGAAAGACTTACCTCATTTGCCTAAACTACGTCGACACGATGTTGACCATGTCACTAAAGAAGTACCGAATCAACCAGAGCTGGAGCAATTGTCGTAGGTGGTGGTCTCATGGAATAACTGTCCATAAGTCTAGGAACTGAAAAACAAATTAGCAAAACATAATAAAACTCGCAACAGGCGAAATCCTCACCTCGGTACCGACCGACGCCACCACGAGCTCGCCACCCTCTCCCTCTTCCTTTGTCGGCGACCGCTTCCTCGTCGGTGTCAGACATCTTCTCCCCGAACCAAAGCCAACCAGATCTGCTGCTGCTGGAAGGCGCGCGCGAGAGAAGAAGAAAGACGGACGACTTCTTCGCTTCAGACTGTGGCGAGGCTGTCGCTGCCTCAGGCGGTTCTGCTTGAGGAGGTGGCAAATCCGCCTTTCTTTCCTGCATTGGCGCATTCTGGAAGGAGGAAGGAGATGTGGTGTGTGGTTGGTTTAGAGAAGAAGAAGAAGAAGAAGATAAAGTAAGAGTGGGAAAAGTAAAAAAGGGAGGGGAGGGCGCATCCGCCTGTGTCTCAAGCGCCCCCACTTTTGTTTTAGTATGTCCGCCTCACACTCAGGCGGGGTCGCCAGTTTCGTATTAAAAATTCTAAAAAGTGGCTCCACCTGAGTCTCGGGCGGTCTCGCCAATTTTTCTCTCCAAAACGAAATATTTGTGTCAATAGTTTTAAAACTACCATATTAATGGTAAATAAAAAAATATTTTGGGAATTTAGCCACACACCTGGCATTAACATTGTCAATTACCACCTTGTCATTCCTTTCTAATCTCACATCTTGAAGACCGGATGCCACCACCTGACCGCATCATGAAGCACCAACATTCCACAAGTAGGTCAGCCAAGTTATTGAGTTCGTCAGACAGGTAATTGGTCGTTGAGTTTTTGTCGATGCATATTCTTAGAGAGTTGTTGGTCAAGGTGAGCTAGATAGATACTCCTGTTTCACACCTTAAAGCCTTGTCTTTTCAATTCATGACATCCATGTTTTCCCTGAGGTTACTCAAGTGAACACTGCACTTGAGGCCCTAACCTCAAACCCTCAACCTTTGTTCGTTGCCTTTGGCCATTAACTTAACAAGGACTGTAGTTCATGAGAATGAAGCTTATCTTATAGTCTCATTTACACTTTTTGTTATTTGTGAGATTTATATAATTAGTCTCTTGAGAACATAAAATGTTATCATGAACAATTACACAAATTGACGATTGCCAACCATTCATAAAAAATGGTCGACCGATGTTAATCACGAAACTCGCTGAAGATGATGATTAGAGTGTTGGGTGCACATATTGATCATTTTATATTGAGGTTGATTGTTATAGTAGTCGAGATCTTTGGGTGTACCGTGTAGAAAGTCAGATTATATTTCCTGGTTGTTTGTTCTTTCTTGACATTTCTTGAGAAACAAATATTAGAACTTTTTTGCATATTACAACAACTCTTCCTATATAATTCAACTAGGTTGTATGTGCCACGCTTTGCTGTGGCAATTGGGCATGTGATTATTAGATTATTACTAACTTAGCAGTTTGAGACCCATAATTAGCTAAAATAAATTTGAGACCAAAAATATTATTTTCTTTAAAATGAGATTTTCTCTAGTAAAGTTAGTGACCAGTAATGCAATACAAACATTAATAACAAATGTAAAACAAATTAATAAATCGAGTGTCCATGTGTAGGGATGGCAATTATCCACCTATGGGTAATTTTACTCAAACCCACGTAAACCCTTCGAGTATGTGTAGAGTTAGTATGAGTGAAGTATATATGGGTTTGAGATTTTGTATATGGGTTTGGGTAGGGTATGAATATTGTTTTCATACTCAGAATGGGTATGGATGTATGAATACCTGGATACCCATTTAGTTTGTAATAAAAGTACTAAATCTAAAGATATAAATTTAAGGGTGCGCCTATGGTGACATGCATGTCACCATAACATGCACTTTTTGGTCGACCTATTCCTAACCGCGGTCGACCGAATACACTATTGTGGGCAATATGATGACTTATCATGGTCGACCTTTAAAATGTAATGGTCGACCGTTTTGAGTTAAGTTATGACATTACCGGTCGACCACAATAAAACATGGGTCGCCCTTTTCATTGTAGTCTGAAGCAAACTGGTCACCGTAAAAGTAATGAGGTCGACCACTTGATTATGTTCATTACCAAAATGGTCGACCACTTACAGAAAGAGGTCGACCAGACATAAGAGTAAAGTGCTCTATCCATTTATCCATCTCTTTTTGACGTGAAATGAAGATCGAGTGTTGGTCTCGAGGTCGTCCGAATACAGTAAGAGGTCGACCGAATTAAGGAAATTTTGCCTATGACCTTCGACTTTTTTACGTATGTATGTCGATGTGGGTGGTTCGTTTGATCATTCAAATTACGTTTGATAGTCATTGGAATCAGTCTTATATCAAGATAGCAAGGACCCATAACTTCTTAACATAACAACGTAACTCACTAACAAGAAATATATAATAAAACACACTTCATAATTGTTCACATAAAACACACTTCATGAAATCGAAAACCACATAACAACAAAAAACACAAGCTAAACTCATGGAGTTCTTACACCTCTCCACTCTCTAAAACAGCAAATTAGGTCGACCTAATCCTATATTAGGTCGACCGAAAAGTGCATGTTACGGTGACATGCAAGTCACCATAGCAAAGTCCATTAAGTTTATGTAATAAAATATAATTTTTCGTATGGGTATGGGTACATGTACATACCCAAATTCAAGGATACAAAATCCAATAAATAGATGTACCAATTTACCATATATTTGGATTTCACTCAACTCAATTGGGTTAGATAGTAAAATATTAATGGATTTGAGAAAAATTGGCATCCCTATCCATGTGTAGTAACCAATCATATTTAATAAAAACCTCACACAGTTGAAAAAACTAAGTTGATTACAAAGTTTCTCTAGAATGGAGAAATATGTTGGGAAGATAAGCCAAAGACTCCCACACAGGTTAATAAAACCCAACAAAAGAAGGAGAAAAAAGGTTATATAGGTTAATTATCTTATTGAGCTATATTGTTTCCAATGTTTTCAAAAGTGAACCGGAGTATGACTTGATAACGTGAACGGTTTGGTCTTTAATGGTCCAGCCGACATTATACCGTTTAAAAACCGTTGGAAAACCGGTACCTAATTAACAATCAGTATAAATAGTGGACATTTATTAATCATGGTAAACCATGACTAAATTAGTAAATTACACTCGTAACTCTTAACAATTCCAAAACATGAGTACCAAAAGTTCTAGAATTCAACTCTTGAGCACGACTGTGCTCGATTCAAGCCTCTGCGATGACATAAGAGGAGCAGCTACGGGAAGAAGGGACGGGGACTGGCGAGTTGCGAGCGGGGAGCGGCTACACCGCTATAGGGCATTGGGATGGCGACGGGAAGCGCGAGGACGGAAAGTGACGACGGCGTGGAGGAGTTTCTACGGGAAGATGTGATGGGGACGGAGACTAGCGATGGCGAGCTGGGAGCTGCTACAATGATTGGGGATGGTGACGATGCCGACGGGAAGTCGGGACGGGAAGTGTTGATGGCGGCAGGGTCTGGCGCCGCCCTGTTAACGAAGAGTCGAAGTCGAAGACTCAATTAGAATTAGGGTTTCTTTCCCAGCCCCACGATTTTGCCCCTTTCGTTTTCAATTTTCAATTTTCTTTTTCAAAAGTTTTTTATTAAATAGAACGACCGGAAGGGGGAAAACCAAGCGACCGATTCGAGTGGCTCGAGCAGTTAACTGCATCGGTCGCTCATCAGCCGCTCTATAAAATCGTAGCGACTAAATGAATGGCCCGAGCCGATTTTAAGGTCGGGTGCAGCTTTAGCGGTCCGGCCGACCGACTCGGTCCGATCTTAATAACACTGATTGTTTCTATTTCTCGCTCCATCACACATAATGATATAAATAGTTGATAGAGCATGAAAAATGACAGTACTGTGAGATTAGTAGAACTCTTAGACAACCATATTTACCTTTATATATAGTAAATAGTATACAAATTCTAGCAAATTGCAAAGTTGTGCCTGAGTTTCTAAATTCTCCACACACAAAAGAAAAGGCAACCAAAATGCAGAGAACGACCATAATTAACCATCTGCCGACACTACACTAGCCACACTCCAGCTCTGTTCCTTGCTAATCCGACCCTCAATCATTCATCCCTTTTGTCCGCCACCAGCTGCCGGCCCCGCGGTGATGATTGTGAAAATAGTTCTTCGGAAGAGTGATTACCGGCGGCGTTTCGCTTCAGGCAGGGGATTACGGCGATGAGCAGGAGGATGAAAATGGCAAAGATTCCGACCACCACTAGCATCAGGATTTCCCCGTGCAGTCCGTAGCGCTTGTCGTGAGAGAAGGGCGGGGCCAGCTCCTCCTCCCCCTGCTGCCGCGGCACTTCCGCCGACACCAACGACGACAGCATCTTCATCACCGTCTATTTCTGAGTCTCCGGCCGGCCGTGGCCCTTTTCTCTTCGATTCGATTTCTTATCCCTGAAAGAGTTTAATAGGGTGAGGAGTCGTGGGGAATCGGGTTTTCTTGGGACCGGGGACTAAATGGAATCAGCCAATCGGATTGATTGGTGTTATTGGATGCGAGGGTGAGCGACAGAGGCTGCTGTTGGATTCTAGTACTGGGAAAATGTCTGACAGAGACAGAGACAAGAGTTTTTCAAAGTGGGAAGAACGAGCTAGCTACAGAGTACAGACAGAGGCGACGTTGAAAAGAGGGTAAGGCATGTGACAAGTTGGTTTCTGGTTCACAATCGGCTGTTTCCAACTCGTGATCGACAGAAGTCCGGTGACCACCAATGCCCTAGACCATGGGAGTGAAGAGATAGTGATGGTTTAATCTTCTGAGTGTGAACTTATTTATCCCACAACTGAACATTTCGCATGGTTAATTATGGTTAGTAAAGTGATATATATGCAATCCATAATTGAATTTGTTCTAACAACTCGAGTTATTGATACTAACTGGTTTCTAACATGGTAACAGTGTTCTATAACGGAGAGGTCTTGCATTTGAATTCGAATGACCCTATTTGTTAAGCATATAGGTATTGACCTATGTAAACTTGAGCAATACATCTATGGTGCTTAACAAAGTAGGATTGTGAGCTCTTGTGAGCAAGTTCTTCGCTCTGGTACTTGATCCCATGAATTTTATTAATACAAAGAAAAATGGACCGAAATGACATTTAGCCGGACCAAAGCGAACCAAATACAACGTTAGTCCAATCCTTAATCTTAAAATATGTTTCACTATTAGACCACGGCTGTCATGAATTTAGTCCGATCAAAATTGAAACCATGGCAACTTACCAAATTATGTAAGGATGGCAGTAGAACCCGAATCCGCGGGTACCCTACCCGAGCCAATCCGATAAACGCGGATAAAACCCGCTTTGACGAATTGCAGGCCAGGTTCGGGTTTAAACCCACTATACTTTTTTGCGGGGTGTGTTTGTGTTTAAATCCGCGGGTACCCTACTGCTTCATATAACTCTTTCAGTAGACGGTAACTCAGGAAAGAACATGACACCGGTCAAACCTCATTCAGAATCTTTGTCCCTTAAATTCTGTTACAAAAGCGCAACACAAATGAACTTCCAGCCCCAACTCAGGGTCAAGGATTAAAATGATGGTTGCCAAATCGGTTTAATATCGTCTAGTTTAATCAATATCGGGAACCAAAGCGATTGGAAGACCTTCATTATGAAATGAAAATCAAAGCTCGTCGTCAACAAAATCGACAGAGCTGATGGATCTAGTTGGAATGATGGGCTCTTGGCTTCTAAATAAAATGTCGCCATTTTGAGACTTTAATAAAACGAAAAAGAAATCGGTCTTGGGTCGTATAAATTTCAATGTATTCGCTATATATTGTCTTAAATTGTGTCACTTTATTTGTCATATTATATTATCACTAGTTTTTTGGCCCGCGATTCGCGGTCGTAAGAGACTAATTATATTTAAAATTTATCTACTCATTTAATGATTTATTGAAATCAAATAATTCACAAAATAAATCAGATAAGACTAGTTTTTTACCCGCCCGTTGGGCGGTGCATGTGCATTATGTTTGGTTATTTTATAATTCATTATAGTATTATTATTATCATTATTATTATTATTATTATTATTTATGATTGTTGAGCTAATGTACAAGTAATTGTAAATCTCACTTACCTTATTTTAGGTAATGTTTCATACTTTTATCTTTTTTTATTTATGAAAAATTAATTGTATTAACTGAGCTCTCTTTAGATTTTTTTATCGATTTAAATTTTTTTTATCGAACTAAAAAAAGTGATAAAGAAGTTAAAAAATTTAAGGCCACAAACAAAAAAGTTTGAATAAGAAGCTTTTCATTTTCTTTCCCTTCTCATATGTCCGTATATGATAATAGAGAATATTCTGATCTAGATCCTCGAATATCGTGTATTATCAGTTACACCTGCAATTCTGGAATAATAATGAAACACATTAGCATCCACATCCATCAATCTTTCGCATACTCATTTAATTTATCTTGGCAATGTTCTAACAAAACCAACCACAAACAGAATTATCAGTTGTCACTTATTTATTAAAATAATATTTTCAGTAAACTAAACTGCTTATCAACACAATTTATATTTTATAGAGAGCTACATATCTCATGCAAAAATACTTGTGCTTTTTAACCTAATAACAACATAGACAAATAATGAAAGGAGTACTTCAATATAACTCAACTCATTCTATCTTGTAGATTCCTAATTTGTGAACTGAATTTATGCACCAATCCAAATGGTAGTTGGTAAAAAACAATCATGTCAAAATCAAACTTTAGTTAGTGATCCAATGAGAAAAAATCCACCCTAATGAAACAAACAAATGTCATTGCAAACGTGTAGAAATTGAAAAAACATCGAAATACGCAACCGAGGAACCACCACCATCATTTTATTTCTTCTTCATGACCTTTATAAAACCCCAATTATGGTCCCTTCTACTATAATCCCTTTGCTACCTACTAATTACTAACCATATCATAATCTTATAGCTAGCTAGTAGCATGTCAATCATGAACATAAAAAATATAATGACCAACCCTAACAACTCTACTTTCCATTTCAACATCTAAGCAATCGGGTTGCAATAGCCATTTAAGGAAAACGATCAATTATTCAACCAAAGGAGATATGCCCTAAGTCCAATCAATTATCCCTTCTAATTATATATTACCTTTTAGTATAAGACGTAATAGAGAACATAAAACAACTCCATGAAAACGAAGAAGAAATAAATTCGCTCATCGAGTGGGGAAATTTACCATCCAACAGTCTTAATTTGGAAGAAATTAAGAAAAGAATGGAAAGAAGAGTGAGCAGTTGCCAGCTTCAGATCAAGGAGGAAGAGGGAGCAGTCGACAATCCTAGGTTTGGTTCACCTCGTCTTCGCAATGATAGGATGAACAGTTTTCATCAACAAACAAAACATGTTACAACTGCTCAAAATTTTGCCATATAGACAATGCCTCGTGTACCTCCCTCCTCCTATTATCCTACAAAGAAAAATAAAAATTCATATGTATTACCATCTCCTTCTCTATCTAATTTCTTATTTTCAATATTTGGATTTTATTTATAGAGACAATCAAAATAGGAAAAGGGTAGAGATAAATTAAAATGTTGCATTTATAATTAATATGTTTTCATTTAATCTGAATGAATAAGAAGTGTTTAAAAAAAACAACAATTATTGCTCTGCCAAATTTAACATCAGTCTTTTTTCTATATAAATTATTCTTTTTTATTTTATAAGTATATGCATTAGGAAGAACTGAGTGTTTGATAGCAAAAAAATATATAGTCATATAGTTCATTTTTCAAAGTCGATTGATTGTCAAATACTTATTTTCTCTTAGGCCATCGTATAAAATTTTTTAATTGAAAAATTATTATTATTCATATGTGTGCTGGTTTTTTTCCATCAAAATTTAACTTATTATAATATAAAAATAAATAGAAAATTTACTTAATGAGATTTAATAAGATATTTTTGGGTTAAACAAACACGATATATGTCACTCTCTATTTTCATCTTTATAGTTTGTTTAATTGAAAAAAATATATATTACTTATGTGTTTGTTTGTTTAAATGTTTCACAAAAATGTAACTTATTTTAAGTTTTAGTAAAAATGAGTAGAATTATTAAAAGAAGAGAGAGATAGCTTCATAAATAGATCAATAAATAAATTTTTGTTTGTAAAAAAATTGTCCACCTTGGCATCTTGTGAATTCACCAAGTGCTTATGTGGCAATAAGTTACTTTTCAATAACCATAATATTAAGTATAGATAGATAGATATAGATAGATAGATATAGATAGATAGATAGATATAGATACTTTCATAACTTTTACGTAATATATATGTGTTTATGGAATTGTAATATGACGGTATTGCGTAAATCTTTCGTAATTTATGGTCTAGCAATGAAACGAAGTTACAGATATGTCTCACATTTGATAAACTATTATGTAAAATTAACTTATCTTACGAAACCTTTGTGTAGTACAAATTGATAAGATTACCAATATTCAAGGTAATTGATACATAAGAAATTATTAGTATTCCTACTTCCTCCATAGGCTTTATGTAGTTTGTTTGTCGTTACGGAAGACTTATGTAATACGTTTTGCTTAATTAATACATAAGAAATAACTATCCTCTTGTAAGTTTAAATAATGTGTTTGCAATTTACTACATTTTTATAGAATGGTGCGATGCAACTCGCTTCTAATGTGTGGTCTAATAATAACGTTAAGTAATGAAAAGGAATCATTTAATTAAACTAATGTGTAAAAGTAAATTTATCTTACATAACTTTGGTGCAATGAAAATTGATGAGATGTCGAATATCATAGTTAATAATAAGTTTTAAACAATATTTTTGTAATATGTGAAAATTCCATAATGTGGAATGAAAAGTAATTCGCTACAGAGGGCAAATAGCTTATAGTGAAATAGAAGTATATGAGATGGAAAATAAAAATTTACCCAAACAACTGTCTATATGAGAGAAAAGATTTATGATAAAATTGAGTATAGGGGATGGAAAAACTTTTGAAATTATTAACTGCAAAAAAGAAAAAAAACAAATTTAATACTACACCCAATTTTTTATAATAGTGATTGCATTTCGTAATGTATCTGTAATATGTGAAACGAATAATAGCTAAAGTTGACTACTGGGGAAAATAGCTTATACTGAAGTTAGGTGTAGGAGATGGAAAATAAATAAAAAAATCTAAACAACTAACTATAGGTGGAAATAGCATATGGTAGAATTGGATGTAGTTGTGTTTTGCGACATTAAGAAACTAACTATAGGTTCCCCCAATTCTGCACACACCAAGACACAACTCCATCCCAATCTCCTGCAGCTGGCGGAGAGAAATTTTTTAAGCATTGGTGCAGAACAAACACAGTATATGAACAAGATACCAAAAGATTACTTCGATTTTCTAATCCTCCTGGACATAACAGACATAATCCAGACAGTGATTTACCCCAGGCTAGCAACTTATCTTGAGTGACCAGTCTGTTACGCATAGCCAACCAGAGAAAAAAGTCGTGTCTAGGAAATAGGAATTATCTCCTTACACCACACAAGTTTCCACCAATCTACCTTCTGCGGGTGATCTCGTATAGTATCTCAAACTCTTGTAACAGAATATTTATGCATATGATCACCTTGCCATAAAACATGAGGGGGGATACCCAAAATATGAGGAGCAGCAAGCCCTCGACAATTTAGAAACCTCCTCCAAACCCATGTCCCAGCAGATGAACTAGAAACTTCCCAAATGGTCTTCTGCTTCAATATGTAACGAGTAACCCAGGCCACCCAAAGTGATCCTCCTAACGTTAATATTTCCCAAATGTTCCTTAGAACACAAGCCTTATTCCAGAGACTGAAGTTACGAATCCCCAGTCCACCTTCTTGCTTTGGTAGCGCTAGCTTGTCCCATGCCATCACTGCGCGCTTTCTCGTTCCATCCTCAACAGAGTCCCATAAGAACTCGTTACATAAACGCTCCACTTCTTTGATAATATACTGAGGAAGGAGAAAAATGTTAAGCCAGTATTGTAACGTGCTAGTTATCACAGTGGAAATAAGTTGAATTCTTCCAGCATATGTTAGTAGTCTAGATCTCAAGCTGCGCAATCTCTGTGTAATTTTGTCATTAAGAACTTGGCAGTACTGCTTTGTAAGCTTTCCAGTTATCAATGGAACCCCTAAATATCTTATAGGAAGAGTACCAAGTGGGAATTCTGTGATATCAGATATGTATTGCATCTCATCCCTTGATATCCCTGCACAGAATAGCTGACACTTGGCTCCATTGCATTTAAGTCCCGAAAGCTTATAAAATTAAAACCAATCCATTAATCTTCTTATACCTGAAACCCCTCTAACTGAAAAATTTGTGAACATCATCAATGTCGAAATCGGGCCGCTCAATTAGTACGATATTGTCCGCTTTAAGCCAAGCCCGCACGGTATTACTCTTGGGTGTCCTCCCCAAAAGACCTTGTACTAATGAGCTTGGTGTACACTTATATACAAGGGTTCCTTCCCTTATATTTCCGATGTGGTACTTGGATTGTCCCGTAACAATCCTCACCTCAAGCCAAGGACCACGAACTTCGTGTCCTCACCTCCGCGATTATCTTGATCCGCCAGACACCTTGTACGATGGGCTTCTCGTACAAGGATTTTCCCAAAACGCGAAACTCTCTTTGATCCGCCAAACAGACGTGGATCGCACATGGATCCACCAGACAAACGCGGACTTCCCTCGATCCGCCAAACCAGATGTAGCCCAAAGGTTGATCTCTCGTGAATCCACCAAACCAGACGCAAATCTCAAATCCCGAGGTCACCGAATGGTAGATCCCAAAGCTCCAACTCCCTGTCCAATATCAAGGCTCAATGACGAAAATCCAGGCACTGGGGTCTTCTATATCATAATCCCACCTAGAGCACCAGATTGGCCATTTTAGCATGGATCCACTTAGGTCATGTTTGGCTTTTCCCGATCAATTAGTACAATATTGTCCGCTTTAGTCCAAGTCCGCACGGTTTTACTCTTGGGTGTCCTCCCCAAAAGGCCTCGTACTAATGAGCTTGGTGGACACTTATATACAAGGGTTCCTTCCCTTGTATTTCCGATGTGGTACTTGGATTGTCCCATAACAATCAGATCAATCGCGAAACATAAATGTGTGATCATTAGAGGCTTGCACCTAGGGTGAAAAAGGAATCTGGTTATCGCTCACTGCCTTCCTAGACAGACCATCCAAAACCTCCATAACTATTGTGAAGAGATAGGGAGACAGTGGATCTCCTTGTCTGAGGCCTTTACAAGCTTTTATATTCCCACAAAGACCACCATTCATTGACACCTTAATAGTTGGAGTAGTAACACAAGCAGACAACTTAATAAACCCAGAGGGGAATCCCATTGCTTCCATAACAGTGAACAAGAACTTCCAATTAACAGAATCAAATACCTTCATTGTATCAATTTTCACCGCACATCTTGGAGTTATGTTCTTATAATGATAGTTCGTCACAAGCTCTAAAACTAACAGTATATTATCACTAATGGCTATTCCCTTAACAAATGTAGACTGAGATCTATTGATAATGTTAGGTAGCACCATAGACAGTCTGTTAGCTAAGATTTTCGGTATTCTCTTATAAAGTGTATTACAACATGAAATAGGTCTATAATCTTTCATGTTCTCAGCACAAGGGATTTTAGAAACCAATATGAAAATAATACTATTTACTATAGCAGGCATGACTCCAGTGGAAAAGAAAGCAAGTGTTACCTCCTCTACTTTTCTTCCAATGATGTCCCAGTGGGCTTTAAAAAATTATGCTAAGAAACCATCAGGCCCCGGTGCCTTATCTCGACCACGAGAGTGGAAGACTTGTTTGATTTCTGCCCTTGTAATACCTTGCGTTGAAATAATTCCATCTTCCGTAGTTAACTTGTGCTGCAAGATTGCTTGATAGAAAGCCACAGATTGGTGTTCCACAAGTGGATCTTCAGATCCAATTAACTTTGTATAAAAATCCACTGCAATAGCTCCAATCTTCTAAATATCAGAAACCACTTTACCGTGCTCTTTCCTCATATAAGATATTTGTTGCCTTTGTGCCTTAACCAGTTTATGGAAAGAATAAGTATTTGAGTCACACTCTCTGATAACCTAGACTCGAGACTTCTGCTTGTAATACAGTTCTTCAACTTTTTTGAGCTCCAAATAATCCAAAGCAAGCCTCTTCTTATCTACTACAAGTGCTTCACTAGGATTAGCCAGAATAGACATCTGAATTTTTTTCATTGCTGTTGTTGCTTCTTTCACTTTGCCTGATATATCTGAATATTCAGTTCGATTTAGTTTCTGCAACCCTTTCTTAACTTGGTTTAACTTGCCGTAGAAGATACAGTAGGGATAACCATTGATCTGTTTTTTCCACGCTTTCTGAATGATATCCAAATAGATGGGGTGGGACTGCAAAAACGCAAAATATTTAAAGGGCTTTGGAAGAGTTTTCAAAGTTTGGAGTTGTATCCAGAATCAGCTCACAATGATCAGATACGTCAGGAGGATTTGTATAAGCTGAGCTATCTGCAAAGACCTCCATCCATGCTTCATTTACTATAATCATGTCAATTCTACGAGCAATAGGGTTATTTCTTTATCGATTCCACCAGGTAAACCAGGATCCTGTCACTCTATGATCCGTCAGCTCCATGTCTCCGATCCAAACTCGAAAATCCTGCATACTTTGAGTTATAACCTGTGTGTTTGATGCTTCAGTAACTTCAGCTATGACATTAAAATCTCTCATGAACACCATTGGAATGCCATTGTCTTTTCTAAGTAGAAGCTTTTGATATAGGATCTTCCTTTCTGCTTCCTTATTAGGAATATAAACAAAAATCACTTGAAATGACTTGCTATCCTCAACCAATACCTGTATATAATGCTCCCCCTCTTCAATCCAAGTAACCTTCAACCCTGCCCTCCATAAAATCCACACTCTTCTAGACTTCGATTTTGAATAATTAGCTAGATGTTTCCAGACAGAAAAACTCCATGTTATTATAGTACTACTATTTTCCTCCTTCACTCTAGTTTCTAACAGGCCTACTATATTTATTTTCTTTATTCTCAGCTGCTCTATCACATCTGAGTGGTTATCAGGGTCATTAAATCCCCTGATATTCCAACTTAGGATCTTCATTTACCTCACTTCTTCCCTCTCCCTCTACCTCTAGGATGAGAAGGAGGAGGGAGAACAACAGCTCGGACTCCCAGTCTACCACTCACCAAGCCAGCATATGATTTCCCTGTTTGGGTTTTATGCCCTTTAGAACTTGAACTAGATCCAATCCACACCTTGCTCTTTTTATTGACCACCAAAGTAAAACCCTCAGCATCAACTAGACCACCTCGTGGAGATGGAGTTTTAGAATCCATAGATGGGAGGTCTTTAACTGGTTCTTCTGCTATCACCTCATAACCTTTCCCCTTATCTTGCACTTCAGTCACAGATTCTTTACCACTCACCTGTGCACCATCTTCCACTGGACTGGTATCACTTTGCACTATCATTTCTGCTCCACTGTCTGAGTACCTACTTGAACCTCCCCAATAACTGGTACTTTCTTCTGCCACACTCGCTGGTAAGGGTCAATAGGCAGTGCACAATTATGCCCAAAACATTGACACTTCTCACACACTTTAGGCAAATGACAATATTCAACATCTATGAAGATTTCATGCAAGCCATCAGGCGTAACACTCAGTTCAGAAACCTTCTTTGCACTGGCTTTTACTTCCACAAATTTGAGCGAAACCCACCTTCTTACCATGTGTAGTTGATTTATCCATACAGAGTGGTCGACCCAGAGAGCTAGCAACCCTTCCCAAGCCCTCTTTAGAAGTTAGCTCCATCGGCAGATGCGAAAGCTTTACCCAGATAGGCAGAGCATAGTTATTGATCTTCAGAGGACTAATCCTTGGTTCCCACTTACGCAGGAAGAGCAAATTCTCCCTATGAAGTATAATGCCAAGGACCGTTCTCAAATACCACTGGCATATCTCAGTATTAGGGAATTGAAATAGCACCAATCGACGCTCCATACCAGAAACTCAAACTTTAGCATGTATAAAATTTGTATAACACACTTAATATAAGTATTAAATATATTCAATTTATAATTTAAATATTACTTGAACATGTATTTTCTAAATAATCAATTTCTTATATTTATGATTATTGACGTAATGCTAAACATACTATTAATTTAGAAATAAATAAAAAATTTATACGTATTTTGTACACAATTATTTTACTAACTATGCTAATGAGTGCCTTGAGGCCACACTCGATGACTCGAATTTTGGGTTCATTACATTAAGGTCCACCCGTTACTAGGGCTGGATTTTCGGTTAGATCGGTTATAACCGATAACCGAAATGTCGGTTACCGGTTAACCGCGACGCTAGCAGTGTCTACCGCCAACCGCCCGACAAAAACCATCGGTTAGTCGGCAACCGACCGGTCGGTTACCGGTTAGTTGCTCGGTTAACCGTGGTAACCGCAATTTTAACCAAATTCATTCGCCGACTGACTGATTGATTCAACCGCAATTCAAAGTCAATCCAGGTACTCGAACTCGTCGTCGCGAAGATGGGCGGAGAACTTGACGGGGGCGCTACGACCTCCAGCAGGAACTCCACCTTGTAAGGTAGATTGGCGGAGATGGTCTTCTCTGATGCTGCTTCCTCCACCTGGCGGCGGTTGTTAGCCCAGGAGACGAGGAACAAGGGAGAGCGAGTGAGGAAGGTAACTGAGTGGCGCTGGGGCGCGGAGAAGACAGAAGGCCGATGGCGACGGCGGGGGCTGCGGCGGAGGTTGCTGCGGGGAAGGGTTTGCGGCGGCGGACTCTCGCTGGCGGCGAGGACTGATGCTGGTGGCGGAGACTGGTGCTAGTGGTGGAGTGGGCGTCGATGCAGAGAAGGGAAGGGAAGGAAGAAGTTTGATTCGGCAAATTGGGGAAGGAAGACGAAGTCGAAGACGAATTAGGGTTTGGCAGTGGTAGGCGGCGTTTTGGACTTTTGGTGAAACGCTGAAGAGTGGGAAGCTGGGCGGCGTTTTGTGGGGGGGTTTGGCCGTGCCGGTTAGCCGGTTAACCGGCGGTTAGATCCGTCGGTTAGCCGGTTAACCGCCACCTCCAATATTCCTACCGAGCACCACCGGCGTAATTTTTTTTCGGTTAGTCGATTAACCGGTAACCGGCGGTTATCGATTTGACCGGCCGGTTAACCGGTAACCGCTAGCCGAACGGCCAGCCCTACCCGTTACGTAAAGTTCACTCATTAAAATATTAGCCACAACAAACATGATATTTGTGTGTGTGTGTTTTTAATGTTGCGGTTTGTCTTCCAGCGACAGGCGAAGGATCGCCATTGCTGAATGCTGACCGCTCTCACCGATTCCACTCTCTGGCCTCAGCTAACCACAGAACTCAGCCACCCAAATTCCTTTTCCATCGCCATCCCTTTCCTTCGACTGCCTTTCGCTTTCTCAATTTCCCCTCCTCAAAATAATCTATCCTTTCAAAATTCTTGCTAAACCCCTACCAAAAGCCAAATTATCCTCCACTCTGTTCTTCTTCCCTCAGGGGAGCGTCCAGTTACCGCCACTCTTTCATAGATTGACATCCAAATTGTTAACGTTGAGCTGCAACTTGAAAATATCTTCCTTCTTCACCAAGCCCACCTAGGCTCTCGACCCAACTCCTGTTTTGTTTGGCCGCTGAGAAAATTCGGTATTACGGCTATTGGATGGTTAGAGTAAATTGAACTATTGCCTATTGTGCGGTTGTCTTGTTCGGTTTATCGGGCTCCAAATGTCGTAGCCAAGCGTTGCTTGAGACTCGGAATTCGCTTCTCTGATTTCCCATTTTCCTCTCTTTTCTTACCCCCTGTTTTCTCGGAAGCCAAACGGGGAAAGCCGTTCACTTTGCTCGGTCTTCTGTCTATTGCTCTGTTCTTTTCTCTTTCTTGAAGGGAGCTTCAGGTATGGCGTCCACTGCTAATAATTCACTTTCTTCTGTGTCTAAGTTCTGCTCTTCGTATTCTGTTAAGCAGAAATGTCGACTTTTTGTTGTTTCTCTTTGTGTGAATCCACGCCCTAGGGTGTCTAGCATAATCTGCAGCAACCAAAACCCTAAGAGCCCTAATTTATCCGTTTCAAAGCTGAATTCTAAAGTCCCGATTAGGGAGTTCCGGTTACACGGGTCGGTAGAACTGGACCGGTTCATTACGAGTGATGACGAGGAAGAAATGAGTGAAGGGTTCTTTGAGGCAATAGAGGAGCTAGAGAGAATGGCAAGAGAACCCTCTGATATCCTGGAGGAAATGAACGAGAGGCTATCGGATAGGGAGTTGCAGTTGGTGCTGGTGTATTTCTCACAGGAAGGGAGAGATTCGTGGTGTGCACTTGAGGTGTTTGAGTGGTTAAGAAAGGAGAATCGAGTCGATTCGGAGACAATGGAGCTTATGGTATCCATAATGTGTGGCTGGGTCAGGAAGTTGATTCAGGGAAACCACACTGTGGGTGATGTGGTGGACCTTCTTGTGGATATGGATTGTGTTGGGTTGAAGCCGAGTTTCAGTATGATGGAAAAGGCGATATCTTTGTATTGGGAGATGGGGATGAAGGGGATGGCTGTTTCGTTTGTTAACGAGGTTTTGAAACGGGGGATTTCTTGTTCGGAGGATGATGTTGAAGGTCAAAAGGGTGGTCCAACGGGTTATCTTGTGTGGAAGATGATGGTAAGGTTTCTGTTACCTCTATTTACTTTGTCGAAAATGGTTTCTTGTTGTTGACTTGCTTCTAGTTACCCTGCGATTTTCCAATGCATATCATTCTCTTTGCTCTATGACTATGAAGGCATGTTCTGGCATATCTTCACTCATGGTTCATGAAAGAAGTATTATCTGATTGTATGGTGGTTTACTTATCTAGCTGTTTTCTCTTGATAGAAATGATGCCACTTGCGCTACACTTAGTGATCGATCGTGTCAAAAAGTATTCATTGGATTTACTCTTTGGTGGTAGCACATCAAACATGCAGCACACCTAACTGAGAACTAAAATATAGATTTGGTTCTCCTGAGTTATTGTTTATGATGTTATCATCAAACACTTGTTTCTCACTTGCTGTCTGGCTGATAGAAGTTACTTATCAGACATCTCTTGGAGACTATGGTAAGTAAGCCTCAGGACAACAGAGCTATATAAAAAGGGAAAACTCAAATTAACCAATGAAGAGATACATGGATTCAGTAGAAGTCATAGGCTTAGTCATGGCTTTAGTTTCTTACTCATCAAAAATGCTTAGGAGAATTTTTGCATCTGCTTGAATGTGCTCTTTTCTTCTCGGGTTTCTGGTAAGGAAAGAATGCTGTCAGTATATATATGCTTCTGCAAGCTTTTTATTCGCCTGAATCGTCTGATACCCTTTCCCTGCACACTCGGGCAGAAAGAAAGCAATTACTTTTAACAAGCCTCTCACTCCGTCTGTGAAGAATGATTTGAAATCTGTTCTTTCAGGTCGATGGAAACTACAGAGAAGCTGTCAAAATGGTCATCAATCTCAAAGAGTCCGGACTGAAGCCAGAAGTCTATGCCTACCTCATCGCAATGACAGCTGTAGTCAAAGAGCTAAATGAGCTCGCTAAAGCCTTACGCAAACTGAAAAGCTTTTCGAGGTCCGGCTCGGTTGCTGAACTTGACCCTGAGAATGTGAAACTCGTGGAGACATACCAATCCAAGCTTCTAGAAGATGGTGTACACCTATCTAGATGGGTAATCGAAGAAGGAAGTTCCTCACTTTCTGGTGTGGTCCATGAACGCCTTCTCGCCATGTACATATGCGCTGGGCGTGGGCTAGAAGCTGAGAGGCAGCTGTGGGAAATGAAGCTCGTGGGTAAAGAAGCCGATGGGGATCTCTACGACATGGTCTTAGCAATCTGCGCCTCGAGAAATGAAAGTGCGGCAATTGCTCGGTTGCTTTCAAGGATCGATGTTATGAGCTCTCTACGTAAGAAGAAGTCGCTGTCTTGGTTGTTGAGAGGCTATGTCAAAGGAGGATTTTACGACGAGGCGGCAGAAGTGCTGACTAGGATGCTCGATTTGGGGTTGTGTCCCGATTATTTGGACAGGGTGGCTGTAATGCAAGGGGTAAGGAAGAGGATTCAGAAATGGGAAGATGTCGAATCGTATCTGAAAGTCTGCAAGCGGCTGTCTGATGCGAGTTTGATTGGACCTGCGCTCGTGTATCTGTACGTCAAGAAGCATAAACTTTGGATCATGAAGATGCTTTAGAGTAAATTCTGTATAGCTTTGTGTATACTTCAGGTGGGAAAACAAAGGAGGGTGCCTGAGTTTTTGATGCAGGAGATAGTTAAGATATACCTCGCTGGTGCTCTAATGAAGTATGGTATGCATGTTCATATATATGTATGTATGTATGTATGTATGTAAGTAAGATGTATGTGTAGAGATGAAAATGGTGAACACAAAGTATACACCGACACTTATGGTGGACAGGTATGATGTTATTACCCGTGTTTTTACCTTTGTTGAAATGTTGTATGATATAGTGGAATAAATGAGTTAACATGCTACTGTAGTCTGTACATAAGTTGTTTTACTGTGATTAATGTTGAGATGGAGGGGATTGGTGTATATATAAGGATAATCAGAAGAAACACTCAGTGTCTGCAACTATCAAGTTTAGAGCTGAATTCACCAGAAGATGACCAAAATGAAAAAGGTTCAGGGGACAGAGTGGCCTTGTTTCTTTTCTGAATTCAATTACTTTCTGTTATGTTCTTCGTGTGCAATGGTGGGATCAATCAAGAGGTGAGATGTAGAATATTTATGTAGGCACATTTCATTTATTGCTGGGTGGGGATAAGTGCTTAGTTTAGTTAGAGTTGTCTGTTTCTGCTGATGAGTCGTTTTCCAGGGAATCTTCTCATTACTTCCTTCCCTGCAGCATTTCCTTTCTCTCCTCTCCTGAGTCTGCAACCAGAGATTTTTACATGGATCTGGTTACCAAATTGGGTCCTACAAACAGATTTTTGCTTTAAATCTTACTGTAGTTTATGTAGATCGTCTATTAGGATTACCCACAAACCAATCTTGGTTTTAAACCATTTCCCCTTCAACATTCGTCCGTTTAGTAAGAATGTTGATTGGGTTGTCCATTTTCGGATTATGTTCCTTTCCGTTGCATCTTCACTGTAGCAGTTCTTGTACCCGATCGTGTGAGAAGACTTGCAAGCTTATGGAAAAGAGGCTACTTTTCCTAGAAATACTCTTTTCTTAGTGCATGGGTTTTGCTTTTGATCGGAAGGAAGTAGAGTATGAGCTGGGATCTTGTTATTATCGTGATTGAATCAGACGTGGGCTGGCAAACAGCCTAACAAAACCCAACCAACTAGCCACCACACGTGATTAAGCTTTGTACTTCCCTTCCCTTCCCTTTTCTCTTTACAAGCTATCTCCCCTCCATAGATATATGCCTCCCCGGCTAGGGCTAGGGGGCAAGCTTGGTACTTGTGTTTGAAATTTGAATATACTGAATATCATATCAAATTTGTTAATAATATTGTATTATTGAATGCACATGTTATTTAATAGGATTGAAATTATAGTTAAATTTCAAGTGCTATATGGTATTAGAAATTACCAAATTGAGATCGGTAATATATCGAAATACTGATGAATACCGTAACATAAGCCAGTGATCATTTTATCCCCAACCAGACCCTCTCACTCACTGTTACCAGACCCTCAACCGTCAAAATGATCACTTACCCAGCTCCGATTGTCTATGACTTCGTCTATATGGGTTCAAACGAATATCGATAAAATCATAGTAACGAGACATAAAAAAAAGGTAATAAAACGATTACCATTCTACTTCATTTTCATTTCTTTCTTCTTCTTTCTTGTGTGTAATTTGAATTCTAAGACTGTTCACCCATTTGTGCATGAATTTAATCACAACCTGGCAAGCAATTATAAGGTGATTAAGAAGGAATTAAGGAAATTGACAAACATGGAACATGCATAAGTGATAATTAATAATGTAACAAATTATTTTTAAATTAAGGAAGGAACCAACCCTAGCTCATAATGTTTCAGATCTAATCCACCTAACTAATGATCAATCATTGGGGTTTATTAGTGTGTGGGGCTCAGCTGTCTCAACTTAACCCCCAATTTGTTGCATTATTAATGCTTAATCTGTCCCCTCAGCTTTTTGATTTTATATTACCTACTCTCTCGAATCTCGATTATGATACGAGATTAACGTTTCCTTCCCTTACCTCTGGGATTTTGTAAGTAATTTATAGCTCAACCCTAGAAAGGTAGCTAGCTACCTTCTTCTACAAATTGCTAATTAAATTAGTGAAAATGGTGATGATGCAATATCTCTGTTCCACCTCTTCCAAATTAGATGCCAACCACCTTGCTAAGTACTTGATATTTTCTTCTTAATATGAGACAACTTCATTTCAATCGGGAAGTGGTTGTGGTACATGGTAGACCTTATTGAGTCCGGTCGGACGAGCGGGTTCCGTTTTCTCTGAAACTTTAGCTACCCGATCGATCTGTTTGTTTTTTACTTCTCGATGTGAAGTCATATAGCAATTCGACCAGTTGTATTCAGAAAAATCAATACATGTAACATGTCAAGAGGTAAGGACCATCGCTCTTGCACCATTGGATGTATTAATCAGCCATGATTTCACAACTTGAATGAATAATCGAGGCGATGACAGAATGTGTTGTCCTGCCAATCATTACAATAAAGACTCTAACTTCTGCTACAATCGTTGCTCTGCATGAAAAATGTGGTTGCTATCCACGAAAACCCTGGATCATGAGAGTTTTTCACTATAACCATACAAATTGCTATTTGAAAGCTCATTTGGATGCTTATTCATATTCTTGCTTCCCCCCACAATCTCATTAGGGACTCCAATAACGTCCTTCACAAATTGATGTGTGTCTTGCATAAATATTGAAGAAACTATAACGAAATAATTTCCATTTGACTACATGTTCTCTATCTCTGAGCGTTGGTTTTTGTTTTGAGTTTTAATATAGGATATGACAAATAAGAAACATCATTTGATTTGATGATACATCTTAGGGGTCAAGTTGCGATTGTTAAATAGATGTATTGTTGAAAATGCATGTATAATATTATACATATATTGTCGAATTTGATGCATTGTAGAATACAACGTTTGGTATGTGTGATTGTGTATGTCGCATCAGTTAAAAGCTAAGACAAAACAATCTCAACTCAATTATCTCAACAATCACAACTAAAAATTGAGATATAACAATCACTCAAAATGAGTGATAGTTTCTGTCACATCATAGAAACAATTCATGTATTGTTTCTGCTAAAAAAATAAAATAAAAACGATGGATTGTAAACAATACATGCATAGATGATACAACAACGACAACAATATTAAAATTAAGAAGGATTCCAACTAAAGCCAACCTAATACACTATTTCCCAGTCTTTGACCTCCTCCCTAGATTAAAAAATAAAAATTAAAACCAAAATAAAAACTAACCCAAGTGGTTTAGGGCCATCAGCTCCGGTAACGACGTGGCAGATAGAGACTGGCTATTTTCTCTAATTGCAACTCTCCTTCTTCCTTTCCTTTCCTTTCCCTTCTCCCCCGCCCTCTCAAATGGAGTGAGCCACCAAATCAGAGAAAACAAAGCAACAAACCTAAACCCCATTTTCCGGCCACCATAAAATAGCCAGAGAAAGCTTCATTCTTTCTGCCCCCCTCAAAATCCCAGAGATCGATAACTCGGGAAATGGCGAATGCAAACGCAAGCGGAAATGGGAAGCTAGCCTTCGTCTTTCTCGGCAATCAAACACCCTTCTCTGAGACTGAGCCCTTTTCGCTACACGTCTAATTAATTAGCAACAATGGGGGGACTTAAGGTGTTGGAGAAGTTCAAGAGCGCCCAGGTTCATGCCTTCACTAATACTACTGCCGCTACTCCGCCGGGGACTCCGTCCAGGGCCATAACGTCGTCGTCTTCGAAGTCCAAGTGCGCCGGCGGCGACGGTAGTGCTTCTTCGTCCCAATCTCAGTATCAATCTCTGCTCCTTCCCTACGGCCTACCCACCACTGAACTTCTAGAGCCCAGAATCGAGCCCTGCTTGAAACCCGTCGACTCCGTCGATTCGTTAGCTGACCTCTACCGCCGGCTCGCCGTTTCCAGCCCTTCCGATAAATCCACTCTACTCATGGAGCAGTTCTCGCTTTCTCCTTGCTTGGTCGATCCCAAGCTCCCCCGCAAGTGCCTCTCCGCCGCCAGGCAGCACGCTGTTGATGTTCACTCCAAGGTCGTCCTCTCTTCCTGGTTGAGATTCGACCGCAGGGATGACCAGCTCGCCGGCGTCTCCCCCATGGATTGTCGTAATTGTTTCCTGGAGTGTCCATCCGCCGCCCTAGTTTCTGGGTACGATCCCAATTCGGTCAACGATCGATGCCGATGCAGCGGTGATACCGCCGCCGCCGCCGCGGCGGTGGTTATTACTGACTGTCACGAGAACAGCGGTGGTGATGTCGTGTTCTGCATTAATGGAGAAACCGTGCGTTGCGTGAGATCGAGGATCGCTGCTCTCTCACCCCCGTTGAAGGCGATGCTGTATGGCAGCTTCGTAGAGTCGAGGAAGAGAAGGATCGATTTATCCAAGAGCGATATCTCCATTGAAGGAATGAGAGCAGTGGAGATTTACAGCAGAATTAACAGAGTCGATTCCTTCTCACCGGAGAGAGTCCTGGAGCTGCTCTCCTTCGCCACCAGATTCTGCTGTGAGGAGCTGAAATCCACCTGCGATCAACATCTAGCTTCCATGGTCCGCAGAATGGAAGACGCTATAATCCTGATCGATTACGGTCTGGAGGAATCAGCCACTCTCCTCGTAGCTTCTTGCGTACAGGTAATCCTCAGGAACATCCCCAGCTCACTCTCAAACCGTAAAGTACTCCGAATCCTCTGTGGCTCTAGAGCTAGGGAAAGAATATCAATGTTAGGCCACCCTGCAACTTTCCTGCTATACTATTTTCTCAGCCAAGTAGCCATTGAAGAGAGCATGGCATCCAACATCACGGTCATGTTGCTCGAATCCATGCTCGAATTCGGGGTCGAGAAATGGCAGAAGGCTCTCGCAGCTCACCAATTGGGCTGTGTGATGCTCGAGCGACGAGAGTTCAAGAACGCTCAATCATATTTCGAAGCAGCAGTTGATTTAGGCGGCCACGTTTACTCTCTGGCTGGTGTTGCACGAGCCAAGTACAAACAAGGCCAGCAGTATTCTGCTTTCAGGTTGATGAACTCGTTGGTCTTTGAGCATAAACCGGTTGGATGGATGTATCAGGAGAGGTCTCTGTATGGCCTTGGCCGAGAGAAGCTCATGGATTTGAACACTGCAACCGAGCTCGATCCAACCTTATCGTTTCCTTACAAGTTTAGAGCAGTGAAGAAAGTGGAGGAGAGGAAGATGTCGGATGCTATATCGGAGATTAATAAGTACATTGGGTTCAAGCTCTCAGCTGATTGTCTCGAGCTACGAGCTTGGTTGTTCATCGCGATGGAGGATTACGATAGCGCTCTAAGAGATCTTCGAGCAATGCTGACACTGGAACCTAATTATATGATGTATAGAGGGAAGATGTGTGCTAGTTATGTGGTTGAGCTAGTGATCAGCTGCGGCCGGGTGGTTCAGCATTGGAGCTTGGCTGATTGCTGGATTAAGCTTTATGAGAGATGGTCTAGCGTTGATGATGTTGGTTCTCTGGCTATCTTACATCAGATGCTTGTCAATGATCCTACTAACAGCCTGCTGAGGTTTCGACAGTCTTTGCTTCTTCTTAGGTACTTTATTTTGCGATTGGAAGTTATTTTTCTCGATTGCGTTCCATTTGGTTTCTTCTTGCATGTAATGCCATGAAAGACAACAGGTTGAACTGCCCAAAAGCTGCAATGAGCTGCTTGCGCTTGGCGAGAAACCATGCAGCTTCTGAACACGAGAGGCTGATTTACGAAGGATGGATTCTCTATGACATCGGTCACAGGGAAGAAGCGCTTTCCAAAGCCGAGAAATCCCTTCACATACAGAGATCATTTGAAGCTTTCTTCCTGAAAGCTTACATTTTGGCTGATACAAACTTGGATCCTTTGTCTTCATCTCACGTCATTCAACTCTTGGAGGAAGCTCTCAAATGCCCATCGGATGGTCTACGAAAAGGGCAGGTAAGTCACGTTTCATATGTTTCTCTCTACTCAATCTATGTTCCTTGGATCTTCATTCTCGATTGAATTGCCCTGGATTTGATTTCTTTACCTATAGGCATTAAACAACTTGGGGAGTATGTACGTCGACTGCGGGAAGCTGGATAAGGCTGCAGACTGCTACACGAATGCACTCAGCATCAAGCACACGAGAGCCCACCAAGGATTGGCACGAGTCTACCAGCTCAAAAACCTACGAAAGGCTGCATTTGACGAGATGACAAAGTTGATAGAGACGGCATATGGCAATGCGTCAGCTTACGAGAAACGGTCAGAGTACTGTGACCGTGAGATGGCCAAGAGTGATCTCAACGTGGCCTCACAACTCGACCCACTGAGAACTTACCCCTACAGATACAGAGCTGCTGGTGAGTTTATCAGCATCTCAAGAGCTCTCTTCCAGTCTTCCCTTTCCGTTTTGTTCTTCATTTCATTTTGTTGAGCTGACAAGCTGCTTTGATTGGTTTCCAGTGCTGATGGACGATCAGAAGGAAGCAGAAGCTGTGGAAGAGCTAAGCAAGGCGATAGCTTTCAAACCTGAACTGCAAATGCTTCATCTTCGGGCAGCGTTTCATGAATCCATGGGAGAAATTGTTGCTGCACTAAAGGACTGTGAGGCGGCACTATGTTTTGATCCCAACCACCTCGACACTCTTGACCTGTACAACAGGACCAAAGAAAGAGCCGCTCGGCAGGATGAGATTTGACTCGATCAAGGCTAATCCTTGTCTCTATTTTTGTTTATGATGATGGTCAAAGAAAGACGAAAGACGGCTAAGAAGAAAGTCGCACACTTGTCATCTGGCCCACCAAGATGTGGAAATAGAAGCTCTGTGGCAGCAGGGTTCATTGAAACAATGGAGCTGAGTGCTGGAAGAGAGTGGTGGAAGAATGGAACATGGAGTAGCCAGCCTCCATGGAAATTGCAGGTTTGAAAGAAAGATTCCACTCTCAGCTATAGCTAGCAGCAGGCAAGGCATTCAAAGGTGAAAGAAAGGTTCTTTCTGCTGTAACTTAAAGCTGTCATTCTTCTCTCCCACAACCGTACAGTTTCTTTTTGCAGTTTTGTGTTATTGAATTTGGTCACACCATTCAGCTTGTACATAAAAACAGAGCTGACCAAGGAGATATAAATTAAAACTTCAATTTTCTGGTCAGTACGTTGTGCTTCTAATGACTAATGAAACTCTTTTTCTTATCACTTGCCATCTTATAGTTTTGTTACTGTCATCTTTGCTGATGATTTGAGCACAAATCCCTTGGTAGAAAATTTCTTCACAAATCATTGTTTGAAAATCTATCACTGTGGTTTGTCTCTTTTATCCTCATCAATTTATGTTAATCCCAGCTTTCAAATTCACCTAGACTGAGATTTGCTCTGTGATATATAAAGATATTAGGGTCATTGACAACCCACACCTAAAATCACAACCAAACAACACAAATGTGAAATCCAGTTCTTTCCAGATCCATGCATTTACACAATCCATCTCTTTTCAAATTGATCCAATCGATCTCTACACAAAACGCGAACTGAGCTTGAACCTTTAGCTTTACGAACATCTGCAGTTAGTTAATTTGTTCTGATAGACTAGTAATATACTCAACAAAACATAGGAAAACAATAGAAAGATGAAGATAGTTGGAACATCTTTTTATAAATGAAACTGAGATTGTTATTTGATGTTGCACAACTTGCAAGCACAATTCCTTTCTATACAAGCAACTCTTAGAAAAGAACCAAACCAAAGGAACCACATCAAGTCCGAGATCTCGTTTCCCCCCGGCTATATATACATAGATCATGCTCACTCACTCTCTGTGCTTTCTTTACATTTCGAACCCACTGTCAGACACCCCTTTACTACTAAATCATCATCTCTTAGCATACACTCCAGAATTCATCGGGAGAAAAAAAAAAAAAAAAAGGAACAAAGAAATGAAATAATCAGACTGACAACCAGACAAGCAACAATACATAACTCATCATGTTTCATGTTATAACATACATACCTCTCTCAGCATTCTCAGCTTCCATCAGTAGACATGATCTCGAGCTCTGCCCACCATAGAGGAGACAACCTTGGCGTGGCTCGGTCAACATCCAAGCAAGTTATCTCCTTCAACCTCTCTGCTACCTCTCTCATCGTCGGTCTCAATTTCACGTCAGGTTCAATGCAGTTCCTGATCACTTCAACCAGTTTCACGAGTTCGTCATGCTGGAATGCTTTTAAAGTTGGGTCGACCATTTTGCCTACAGGTTGGTCTGCTCTCAAGTGGTTGGATGCCCAGTCGATGAGAGAGCCATCGGCTGATGCATATGGGATTCGACCGGTTATCATCTCGAGCAGGACCATTCCAAAGCTGTACACATTGCTCTCTGCGTCTGCTGGTGGGGATTCCAGCAGCTCGATTGCCTCTGTCGTTCCCATCATCTTGGCTGCAGTCACGTCATTCCAGAAGCTGAAATCGGATATCTTGCCCGCGTAGTCTTCGGTGAGGTAGATGGACGATGATCGGAGGCTTTCATGGTAGATTGGTGGAGTCAGTTGGTGCATGTGCTCGAGACAGTAGGCCATGCCCATTGCTATACGGAGTCTTGTACCCCAGTCTAAGTGTTCTGCTTCTTTTACTGCACATTATTAATCATCATTTAAAAACTTTACTCAATAGCTCTTGCACCAAATAAATGACAGAGATATGTTCTAATTCCCATCACGTTCTCAAGAGACTGCCATTGTTCCCCCAACGACCGACCCATCAGGCAGTGAACCCATTTAAGTCCAGCCTATTTGCCACCCACTAACCTCTAACGTGCTATCCCGTGTCCACATGAGACCAGTTCATTTGAGGTATTACTAACATGCTTGAAAGAAATTTAGAAAGAGAACATATTACTTACTGTGCAAATGTTCGAAGAGGGTTCCATTGGGGGCATACTCGAAGACCATCATTCTCGTGAAAGGCTCATCCTCTTCACAGAATCCAATCAGATTGACGAAATTCTTGTGGTTCACTTTGGATAATGTCTCAATCTGGAAGGGCAAGTGAGAAAAGAAACTAGCATGGTTTAGAAACTCAATTTAGAAATCTCTCAGGAAGGTGTTCCAATTTCAGGGTTTGAGGAGTAAAACCTTTTTCCTGAACTGTGCCTCCAAATTCTTTGACCAGTCTTTCTTAGACGAGACTCCAACAGATGTCACAGCTATTTCAACGCCGGTTGACAAGGTTCCTTTGTACACTGTGCCATCAGCAAACGTGCCGATTATGTTGCTAAAGTCCTCACAGGCTGCTTGAAGTTCCAGCCTCTTCAGTTTTGGTACCCCTGCAGAGAGCACGATCAAAATGAACCTTCAGCACATAGAAGTAAACCATTAATAGGGTTTTGTAACTGAGAAATGTGGAGAAGATTCGGATGACCTGTTACGAATGCCCTCTGTAGTTGTCCGCTTAAACCAGTGGCCCAAGGTCTGACTGTAACTACCTTATTGCTTCTAAAGAAGGTGAGTCCAATTGCTGAAAACAAAAGGAACAGAGACCCGCCAACAATACCGGCAACTATAGGTGCCCGATGATGCCTTTCTCTCGAACGGCGGCCATTGTTCCTACTACGTTCTGTAGCAGTAGAACCAGGGCCCTCATTTGGACGTGCAAAAACTGTAGCTGGTGGATCGGATGAAGATGGTGCAATTGAGGCTGAAGTTGGAGGCAAAGGGAGACCACCAGAAGGGCTTCCTGCCGGGCTGAAGGATGGAGATGGCGAAGGGGATGATGATGGAGGGAAAGAGGGTGCCGAGAAGGGCGACCCAGAAGGTGCTGGCGAAGGTGATGACGGAGGCTGTGAGGGTGCAGATGTTAATGGCGTGTTTCGGAACTGTAGTAGCATCCTGTGAGCACCATCTTGAACTGTCTTCCTGATAAATAAATAAAACTATAGTGTGAAGCTGCACATGGAGATGATATTGCAAACTAATTACATACAAGCAAACCTAACTGAAAAATATAGACCTCTGAGATGAGATCAGAAGTCCATCAATGTTTTTGAGTAATGTTTGTAAAGAACGTGGCAGAATTTGTCAATGAAGTGAAATTCATGCATTGATTTTGGTATTCAGGCAATAAGTGTATCGCCTGCTATATGCATTTTGCTTGTGAATTGCATTCCACAATTTATGCCCAGCTTCCCAACTCCCTATGCATGTTATATGGGTAAACAGCTAAAGTCATTTGCAAACTGGCTGACATACCTATCATGAGCTGCAGTTCTGCATTGGATCTCGTCTGCCTGAATGTTGGAAACCATCCGAAGCTTATCAAATTCGGGAGAAATGCCATCAAGTAATTTGTTGTTGTCAAGTAAACTGCATCCAGACAGATATCATGTTGATTGGTTCAACCATGTTTAGTAAAGAGTATAAAATAAAAGAACATGGGCTGTGTATGGAGAGCTGGAGAAAAAGTCAACTTACAGGGTTGTCAATGAGAGATTGTTGGCAAAGTATTCAGATGGAAATGGTCCACTGAAGTTGTTATATCCCAAGTCCAACACCTCCAGCGCATTCAACTCTGCAATCTCTCTAGGAATGTTCCCAATAAATGAATTGTTCCTCAATATTCTGCAGGCAGACAAATATTCCAAAATCATGAATCTGACTCATTCTCTGAGGTGTTTCCAAACTTATCCTCCAACTGTCAGGAAATGGGAACATGGGGGGTCTAACAAAGAAGAAAACAAATAGGAAAAGGAAAGATAGAAACATACAATGATTTCAAGTGAGTCAACATCTGCAGCTCAGGAGCCAATGTCCCTCTCAAACACAGATCTTGCAAATGCCTACAAAGATTGCAACAGATCTGCGTTCAGGATTATACATAGAACCAAAAACAAAGAGTAAGAGAGCTTTGCTTTTCCCATCAAGGTGAAAAATAGACAAAACCAATCACCAATTTGTACTTCCATTATTATGATTTTAATGGTTTCTTGGCCAGCCATTTGTTACAAGCACGCACAAACAGTGAATAACATCCACTTTAGGATTTGATATTTCTTTGGTAGTTGAAGAATGCAGATGAAGACATAAATGAAAGGTGACAGATCTTGAATTGGGAACCACCACCTAACTAATGAATACCGATACTGTACATCACCATCAACATTCATTACTTTTTGTACTCTCATGGCGGTGAAATTACTCCCCATCTACCTTCCCCAAGACCCCAACTCGCCAAAAGCATTCCGATTTCTTGTATATTGTAAACCACATTACTGAGATTTCTTCTACCCAAGGAGTTGGATCAGAAACTCGATATCCATGAAAACAGTTCTTTGATCAATTGAGCAAGACGTTGCATTCACACGAACTTAGAGTGGTACAGCACAACCAAGCAAAATCCACGTCGAATTTGCAGAAAGAGTCTCTTGTAAGGTGTAAAGCAGCAAAATTTCAGAGATCACAGAAGCAAGAAGAAAGTGGGTAAGGACTGATTTCTCAAAGGATCAATGGAAAACTCACAAGCTGACAACTTGACCGGAAGCAGAGCAGTGGATTCCAAACCAAGAACAAAACGAATCAGGATCGTTACGATTCCAGCTGGACAAAGCTCCAAATGGGTCGCTCTCCACTTTCTTCCGGAATCTCAACAACGCCATACCTATCGCCCCAAATTCAGTTCAATCAAAACCCAGAATAGACCCATAAGTAAAGACGCAGACTTTAGGTGAAACGCCTTACCTTGAGGGTTGAGAGCAAAGGAGGGCGTGAGATTTTGATGAAACAGTGACAATGATGCCATCACCATTAACATGAAGACCATTCTGCTGAAGAAGAGATGGAAACTTGTTTTCCATCCTCCGGGATCGTCCATTGATGGGAATTGGGAAGCAAAGCAACAGATGAGGTCTCAATAGTCAACTAGGAGAAAACTGGTGGGGGGAGGGAGGAAAAACTGAATTTGGTCATGGTGTCCAAGAGAGAACTGCATGCCGCCGGGGCGGCAATGGGGATGAAAAAAGGGGGGGAAAGCGCGTGGAGACAAGTAGTAGAGAACATGGGAGGCGGTAAAGTGGGCGGAAGGAAGGAAGGAAGGAAATTATATTTGGGGAGGAAGAGGTTGAAGCTGCTGTTGGTGGTGTTGTCTTGTGTTGAAGAAGGAACGAGTCGTCCCCACTTCATTCAATGATTCATTCATTCATTAGTAGAATCATTATTGGAAATAATAATAAACAAAGGAGGAGGGAGATAAGCTGGTATACGGTAGTATTGGGGACGGGATACGGTGACAACCAAGGGTATTTTGGGTATGAAAAAAAGGAATATATTAATTGCCTTTTTTGTATTAATCGGATTGGGAATTAAAAACTCATATTAAATATAATTTTTTTTTGAAATTTAAATCCTATACATTAATATCTCTATCTCTCTCTTCCTTTCTCCTGCGGTCACTCCGCTTCGATGGACAGACTTTTTCTCTGGCGAATTCTCTCCGGCAGACTCCCTCCGGCAACCTGAAAAAATGTACTAGTGCGTTAAAAAGTGTACCAATCTATTAGTCTATTGGTAATTAATATATCAGTGCCAGTGGTACGCTACTAGTGCGTTAAAAAACGTACCAGTGCTAGTGGTACACTACCAATACTAGTGGTACGCTACCAGTGCTAGTGGTACGCTACCAGTGCTAGTGGTACGGTACCATTACCACTTGTAGCGGTACCATTAGCAGTACTAGTACCACTGGTAGCGGTACCATTACCAGTACCACTGGTAGCGGTACCATTGCCACTGGTAGCGTACCACTAGAGACTAGCACAAAAAAATCAGATCTGAAATATGAAAAATCACAGATCTGGAAAAAAAATAGGGATGACAAAAGGGGGAGGCAGGGGAGAGGCGGTGACCTCGTGGCGACGGTGGTGGTGGGAGACAGAGGGAGGCGGGAGGGTTGCGACGACGGTGGTGGTGGGAGGCCATCGCGGCGGTGGTGGGAGGAGGAGGCCGCGATGGCTGCGGGGCGAGGGACGTGACAGTGCTGGGAGGCGGAGGGCGCGACGACGGGAGGGCTGCAGCAATGATGAGAGGCGGAGGGCGTGGCGGGTCGGCTGCGACGACGGTGGTGGCAGCCGATAGAGAGAGAGAGGGAAGAGATGGGAGGAAGAAGAAGAATAGGAAGAAGAAAGATGGCGTGAGAGAGAGAGAGAGAGAGAGAGAGAGAGAGAGAGGAAAGAGAGAGTGTAGGGTTTTAGATATTAATAGGGATAATAATCTAGTGTGGTCAATTTTTTTCGTCCAAAAATACCCTTAATCCAATCTATACCATTGATTTGAACAAAGAAGAAAGAGACAAGAGAGAGAATGGATCCTATGGTTATAAAATAAGTTGTCAATCCAACAACCCCTAATGGGGTTGTCACCGTATCTCATCCCGTGGTATTGTGTAATCTGGAATGGTAACTCTTAATTGATTCAAATCGTTAATACCAAAGCAGTATATGATGCATGATTAGCTTTGGAGCATGACTTCAGTTTACCACTATAGTTCCAAGCATACGAATTTTAGACGGGATGACAATTTCGATTTTTACTCTATTTGTTTGGTTTGTTTTGAGCGGGTAATACCTACTTTATGGGAATGACGTGACAGTATGAATACTCTTATCGACCCGACCTGATTTGATTTGCCTCATTCTCAATCCCTTCTTGCCTAGATTACATGTAATGTTAGCCAAATTAATCAGAACTTTCCTTTTATTATCTCATATTTTAGCTATAATAAAATTACAAATAAGAGAGAACCTCATTTTTTTCAAATAATTTAACTACATTTATCACATTATGGTTTGTTTCTTGGTCGTTTAATGAAAATAACGAATATTTTTCATGTTTTTTTTTATAAATTACATACCCGTTTGGATCGACCTGCCCAAATCCGTAGCTAATATAAATTATCCAAACTGCTACGAGGTGTGTATGGGTATCCAGATACCCGTCCTGGATTTGCCCTATTGCCTTTCCTATTTCCAAGTGAATACCAACTACATTATTACTACGTCAAAGAGAGAGAAAATGCCAATATAGGAGTAAAATCCCAATCGGCCATGTTCTACTTCTAATTAGGGTTGTGCAACGGTCTGGTACAGATTGAAACACATTATGAGAACCGTGATTCAATAATAATAAAATTATGAGAATCATATCATTATTGTATTTGGTTTGATCCAATATTATTTCAGTTTATTTCTCTTCAATATTCATAAAATTCACGAAATCAAATATCATATCACATTATATTCGGTCAAATATGATGTAATCCAAATATCAATTTGATCCAATGCAATTAAATATGAAACAAACTATTGCACACTAGGGGTGGCTATTTGGACCGGGACCGGATTAAAAACCGGAAACTGGACCGTATAACCCGGACCGGGACCGGATAGTAAACAATCCAATCCAATCTTTGGGCTTAGATTTGAGGTAAAAAACCGGATAAAGACCGGATAAGAGAGCTCAACACCCAAAACTTAAGGGTAATTTGCATAAACGGTCACAAACCTTTGCACTTAGTACAAAACTTAACCAACTCCTCGCCCTTTAAGGCCTTAGGCCACTCAAATCCCACAATCTCAATGTAAAATCAAGACCGAATTGGGACCGGACCGGATCAAAACCGGACCAGATCAAGACCGGACTGTATCCAATCCAATCTTCGGTCCTTATATTTTCAAAAAGACCGAACTGGACCGGATCAATTTGGGCCAATTTAACCGGACCGGACCGTATTGCCACCCCTATTGCACACGCCTAGTAATATCGCTAGAGTTAATCTTATTGAGCCTCCCCTTTTCTTTTTGCATCGTTCAATGAAATCTATTCGTTTATAATGTCTCCAAGCTAAGCAAGAGTTTCCTGTGAATTTGTCAATGGATCATCCAGGACACATTTCTCACTCAATCATAAGGTGGTTCAATTATGTGGGGAATCTGTGATTTGAAATTCGTAACATGATTAATCGAATTATTGGGTATCATTTTTTATATAAAAAATATGTTAATTAGTTTTTTAATCAAGGTAAGATAAAATTATGTAAGCACTAACACGAATTATTACAGTCGATGCTTTGTAGCCTCTACATTTGCATAAAACAAAAATTAGAATGTGTTCATAAAAAAAACAAACTCGTCTATCAGTAATATTTTGTTACTTTCATTTTTAGATATTAAATAAATGGTATTGCTCTTAAATTTTGAATTTAAAATATGATATTAAATAATGTTCTCATTCTCGCATTATCCCCATAAATCACCTATGCTATTTTTGGTATTTTTCTAATAATCCTTATTTCATCCATTCAGATACTATTTTTAAGTATTTTGTTGCCAAAGTAAAGTCATTTTATTGATAGTTAAAAAAGTGTCTTTTTTTTGTCAAAAGATCACTCGTATTATCGAGAAAACAGTCAGATACAAAGAGTCACATAGCTAAAAACAACCAAGAAACAAAATTGAACCACACTAAGGAAAGGGCTTTTCTTGCCACCAAATGGGCAACCCTGTTATAGTCACGACCAACAAAAATAAACTTAAACTCCTGGAATAAGCCTCGCAAACTTCTTATCTCCTCCAAAATCATACCCTCAACGACGTCAGCTACCTCACCATCACGGATCTTCCTCAAAATCAATTGAGCGTCACCTGCAAAAGTCATCGAATACAAAAAGTAAAAAAAAAAGTGTCCTTACAATTGCTAAATTTCATAATCTACTAAATGCAGTACTTTTCCTTCTAAAATTATTATATTATATACTAGCTTATAATCCGGCCCTTTTGGCCGGAATACTCATATTTGATTATTTTTATTTTTATGTTACTTTTAAGTCTATTAACTCGTTTAATCTTATTGATAATCATTCGATCGAGATGATACATAAAGAAATAATATATAGGTCGAACATTCGGAGAAATATCATAATCATTTAAGAATATAAAATATAAAAATGTATCATTGACCCCATTTTCATAATGCTAATTAAGTCCCTGTTAAAATGCTATTGGTTAGTTTTTTTTACAGTCAAGAAATATAGAGTATAAAAGCTCACTGAAATTCTCACACAACCCATAGATAGTTTGAAACTAAATCTTAAACCTCACAATCCTATATATAGGGTTCAATGCTCTCCTTTTAGAAACAATATGTCACTAATCAAAAAGAAATGGAGAGTTGTTGATTCAAGTCATCTATATACTAAAAACTCAGCTAAGAGGGGACCATCACAACTTGAGAGCAAACGAAAAAAATCAGGGTTATCTCCAATATGCGAATAGACTCGATTAAAGTAATAAGGCGCAAAATTAGACACTCCTTATCTATTAGTTCCAGTAGGTTGAATAAAGAAGCGACCTATTTCAAACAATCAATCAATGATTCCTCGTTTTAAGATAGAAATAGGTTGTGACAGTTGCAAAAACCATAAACCTAAAGATCCAATAGCCACCACTCTCCGTTGTACAACCAAATTTCTATCTCAAGAGGCATATATTCAACCAAAAATTCAATTTCTAATCCTCCTTCTACAACTTCAATTATTGATGAACTTCATTCTATTCGCCATGAATTGATATCGGAGTTGAAATCTTCTACTCGCCCAGCTTAAAATCCCAACAATAAAATCATAGTGCCAAGAGATATCTGAAGATTGATTTTCAATGACAGTCTTGTACTGGGAAGTGAAAGGCGCAAACTATTGCACGATGGGTGAAATTTCGGAGGAAGTTAGAAAGAGAAAAAAACAAAGATAAAAAAAACAAAAAATTTAAATTTAAATTGAAAAATGCAATGATACAACACGTAGTTACATAATTAGTTTCTTCCATGTTAGCCAATTACCCATTTACCTTTAGCAAAAATTAAGGAGAGAGCGGGAATTTAAAATTGAGAAATCTCTACTATGAAAATAGAAGTATCAAGCTCGATAAAAATACATACGGTAGACTTAGTGAGCTTGCTAATTATGATTAAAAAGTCCTCTGATATTCAGAGATTAACTTTGTCTATTTTTTGTATAAAAAAGGATGCAATAAATTTGTTTAGTGTAACTGGTTGTTATTGTTATCTTTGTTTGAATAGACCCGGGTTCAAATCTTGATATTGCTATTTTTATATGAAATAAATAATAAATGTGTAAAGACAAAAATGACCTTCCTACTTTCACTCTTGTTGCAGGAAATTTGAAATGGAGAAAAGTACACAAAACTCTACCATATATTAATGGAGGATGATTTGTCGCATAATGGCAATCGTGCAAGCCATAAACATAAGCTTGGAAGATAAGCGCCATGGTTGGAAAAATGATATGCCATCTTTTCTCTTCGTTATTTTTTTTTCTCTCTAAAATCATCATTGTTACCCTCTCTCTTCCTTCTAGTTTATGGTAATTTGAGTCATCAACTACAATATTTTTGTGATTTTTCTCCAAAACTATATCCAAATATTGTGAAATTGTACCAAAAATTATATCGAAAAAGTTAAAAAAATAAGATATTTTGTAATAAATCGTGGTTCGACCATTTTGTACTCCTAAATCCACTTACCATTCTAACTAGTATTTCTAATCGTACCGTCCGATACGATTGCACTTCTAAACACTGATAGATACTCTATGTTCGTGTGACTCCATGTACCACATGAATCGAGAATGGAGTCACGTAAGTAAGGCCCTACACAGAGACTTGCTGGCGGTGCTTACCATGAATCCAACAACAGTCGGAAGTGAGTGTTGTTGGAGTGGACCAAAAACGTATTACGTATTGCGCCAGCTAGTTGCGTTTAATTTGGGTTAGAAGTAACTACTTAGAGTAAAAAGTACTCAATTTTACGTACAAGCGTTTTGATGGTTTAAAATCGTAAAAGCGTAAGTTTCTAATTTTTAAAGTATGATTTTGACTACATTAGTATGAAAAAAGCGCAATTTTTACGCATAAACGTTTTGGTGACTTAAGAACATAAAAGCATGTAAATTTTGAACTTTTAAAGCACGATTTTGACTAAACTAGTAAGAGAAAAAACTTGATCTTTACATAGAAATGTTTTAGTAAACTAAAAACCTAAATGCGTAAACTTGTAAGGTTTAAAACGCGATTCTTGCTTAGAGCATCCACATTGGTATTGCATTCTCAATTGCAAAATGACATGACATAGGTGTTTGCAATTGCAAAACCAATTACATTGACGTGGCTATCAATTGCATATTTGCAAGCTTGCAACAAATGCAATTCCATATGCAAGTCAAAAAAGCCTTAAAAATGGGAATTTTTAATTTTATATTATTTTCTTTTCTCTTTTACTTAATTTTCTATAATTTAAACATAATATTTAATTACATTTGTAATTGCAAGTTAATTGTATTGATGTAGGTGAATGAAATGAATGTGATGTGGATTGCAAAAAAATTTGAGTTGGTAATAAAAAACACAAATACAATTTCTTTTATAATTGCATTGATGAAGATGCTCCGAGGAGGATGCAGAAACCATGAAAAATTCCAATGTTTAGCACAATTTCATAACAAAATAGTATCCTTATAAAATTCTCACCACCTTTTATCTGCAAATTGAATGATGTGCAATGCGCCTCTCTAGCTACCAGTAACTGTTCACTGGACGCTACAGCGACCTCTCCTCTTCCTCCACATTACCACACTCACTCACTCACTCACTCACTCACTCACTCATCAGTTAATTCCTTTTAAGTGCCGTGCAAGTCAAGTCAGGTCATGAGGAGCTCTTCCATCGCTCTTTAGTAGGTCTCGATAGTGATTTCCCTTCTCTTTTCTTTTCTTTTCTCCACTACCCTACGTCCACTGAATTTAATTATAGTGCAAAAAGTTGAAAGACGTACGGTTCAATTGATACATTCCTCCACCATTTACCGTGGAATCCATTTATTCTAGTACTGTAAAGTGTAAACCTAACGAAGATTCAATAACTGCAAATGGTGAAAGTGACATAATAATAATAATAATAATAATAATAATAATAATAATAATACAGATGGTGGTTGTCATAACTCATAATACAAGTAATTAAGGCCTGCATCACGTACGTATCAAGATTCAAGACAGACAAAACTGGTATACGTAAGTTGATGATGATGACGGCAAACATTGATCACGGCCCTGCTGGTTAGGTTGGCCGATGAGATGAGATGAGATGACCTCTTTCTTCAGTTATATCATATATGGCTTTTTTGCTTGCTGTGGGAGGTGCTTCCCGTGCTTCAAGTTTCGGAATACTTCCTGTCATTATTATTTACTTTAAATTCCACTATTTTGATACATTCAAAGTCAGTTGTTCTAATATACTTCTTGTTTATGCTAGCTGTTAAATAATGAACAAAAACATCAGTATGGGGACTGTTTTCTAAAATATTGTATGTATAAAAAATAATGTCCAAAACACGGCACTTAAAAAAGATATTTCTAAATCTACTATTCGTATTAGCAAATTGGGCATGTTTGAAAGGGACAAAAGAAAACAATTGAGGCGGCCCAATCGAGCCCTCCTATTAGGCTTATTTCATCTTCATCTTCCTTCCAAATTTCAGCGCCCAGAGGCATAGGACGACGTTGATTTTATTGCTGGAGAGGGAGGCAGAGGCGGTGAACGTCGTTTTGTTGCCCGACATGAGTACGCTCTGTTTTGTGTGGATTGGATCGTCCGCCGCCGAAGGTATTTTTCTCCAATTTTCTTTTTTTAGATATTCAATATTTTATTAATTTATATGTTATTATATTTAGTTTAGCTACTTATTTATGAGTTATTTACTATAAAGTTGGCATTGTTTTCAAGTCCTACGATTCATGATCAGTATGCTCTGATGCACCAACACAAATGTTAAATCCTGCTCGGCTGCTCCAATTGACAGAGAACTATTGTGGGCAGCCGATAATCATCATCTAGTTGATTTGGTTTGGTCGAATGAGGCAGTTATTCTAATTTTTAAATTACAAATTGGTGAATTAGTTTATGTTTGAATTAGGTACTCTTTATTTAGTTTATGCTTAGGACTTTATCATGGTTCAACATGATCACATGTATAGACTCATTCATCCAGATAAGACTCAAGGTACTTCTATTTAGGCAAGTATTATAAGCTGATCCTAAGGCCTACAGACGCCTTGTCGGAAAGCTAATTTATCTTACCATTACAAGGCTAGACATTAGTTATGCTATTCAAAAGGTTAGCTAGTACATGTCTAGTCCAAGCAACGTACATTGCAAACCATAGTCTCTCTTTTCTCTTGTGGAGCATAATACCGAGCTCTTTCCTGGGCAAATTTAGGAGATAAAGTAGTTGGTGAGGCCACGGACCTAGTAAATGGTAGGGTGTGTAGTTCCCACACACTCTCGTCCGGAAATTTCGTGAAGTACATATATATTTTTTGTACAAATTTTTTTTATTTCGGGACTTTCAACACAACTCAAATAATTGTGAGCGACACACCTTTACTATACGAGAATGATTTTCTTGTTATAAAGTTATACATTTTAACTAGAAATAAACAATAATAAGTAACATCAAATAAGTATGTTTGTTTTAAAGTACCCCACACCACAACCCAACAATGAAAAAAATAAACATAACCCCATTATTTGAAACTCACTTTTTCCACCCCTTAGACCCTTCCTTTATTGAAAATAAATAAAATACTCACACTTACCCCGTTTTAGTTTCTAATTACTGAGACCCACTACCACATCCCCCTTTTCTTTTATCCTTTAGTTTTACTTGCTCTTGAAGTTGGTGTTGACTTTACATATTGCAATTGGAAGCTGGGAAAGAGCATTTTCAACTATAAAGATAATCAAGAATGAATTTCGAAATCGGTTGAGTGACCAATTTATAAATGATTGTTTAGTTGTGTATATGAAAAAGATTTGTTTCGCAACATAAGCGATGAATGTATTTTACAGACAATTCATGACATGAAATGTCGTTGTGGTTTGTTGTAAACATGACATTGTGAACTTTATGAATTAATTTATAATATTTCTATTTAATTATTTATTAAAATTTAATTAAAAATGTAATTATTATCTTATTTTATCGGCGACACACCTCTACAATAATTCTGGGTCAGCCACTGTTAGGCCCCCTCTCTCAATTATCACAATTCAAATCAGCCTCCTCATCTAGATTTATGGCTCTGCCACTGCTGGTTAGTGAAAACCCTAACTTCTTTGTGCGGCCATGTCAGAGCAGGCACAAGTTGTTGTCAACAACAACACCATGGATCCGATGGCAGGTCCTTATTTCCTACATGGTTGACAATAAGTTTTTTCAAAAGAGACTATTTGTCCCTCTGTTAGAGGTGTCCTAGAAATGTCACGAGAGATCTTGTGTTCGAATCCCGACGGTCTCCATTTGTTAAACATATTATGTTTAGATCTTGTGTTCAAGTTTATATGGTTGCCTTTCATTTGAGGAAGCATGCTAATAAATGATATAATAATATTCATAACTGAATCTCCCCCAATAACTCGACTTATTAGAACCCACAATACCACACACACTCACACTAGTGGCGGATAAATGCATGTTTAGGGACACCACTAAAATTTGGAAACACGATTATTCAACCTCCGATAGTAGTTTCCGTATGAGCAAAAAAATGTTTAAGTGGTAGTGGGACACCTTTAATTTGGGAAAAAGATTATCCAACCTCCCGTAGTTGTTTGCGTATTGGTACGAATTATATTTAAGTAGTAGTCTATGTAATTTAAACTTGGGACACTGTCACTATTGGTAAACATATTTTCAATTACACTATAACACATTTGTTATTCTGTTTTAGGTCCAAATATAATAGTAAAATGTTATTATTAACCCAAATTATTTTCAAAATCTAACAATTAAACCCAATTATGGGATACCCTTGTCTAGTAGGATATGTCGAGAGATATTTGTTGAACAATATAGACACCAAATGTGTTTTACCATTTTATGAAATACGTCGGAACTTTTATTGTAACTTTTAGGCAAAATACACTTGTATAGTCATAACTTTCACGTTTGTGATAAATATAGTCATATCTATTCGAAAACACAAAATAGACACTCAAAAAAATGGATGGTCGTGTGACAAATCTAGACATTTCCGTTAGAAATTTTAACGGTGTTAGAAACTCCGTCAGTTAGGTTAATGTTAGGCTTACTAGGATGGCAAATCATCGCACACATCAGCGACTAGTCATCATATTATTGCCATGTCATTTTGAGTTATAAAAATGATTAATTTTGAAATTAGAAAAAAAATTCTAACTTTTCCCTTCCCTGCGACTACGAGACCTTTCCTCTTCCTCCAACTCCCCGCACCTCACACGCTCTCCAATCACCACCATTGCTCCCGTCCTCTTCCTTCTTTCTCCTCCACTGTCCCAAATCCACCAAAAAGCAGTCATGCAACCGCACCCGCTACACCAACTATGGCTCTTTGCATCACTTTGGCTGGGGATTTTGTTCCTGTGTTTGAGCTGATAAGTAGAGTTCTCGGTTTGGCTTGGTACTGGTAGAGAGAGGGATAGAGCATCAGTTACAAGGGAGGCATGATTGCTGCTTCATCGGAGAAGTGAGAAACGTTGGAGAAGGGGTCGGTTAGCCTTCTAGATCTGCACTTGCTGCTTCGGTGGGAATAGGGATTGATTCGGGCCTAAATATACACTTTTTATCCCTATTTTTATTTGGCATTTTTGGCATTTGAGCTCCAAAAAAGGTGGTTTTACGCTATGTTTGATGTGTTTCAATGTGTTTCAGAGTCTAACAGGTAGAACCAACACCGGAATCGAAAGTTGGAAGAAAAGGCTCGAGGATCGGGCAAAAAGCAGGTAGCAGCCGCAGTCCATGGTCCAAGCAGTGAGTTCACGGTCATCAGGACCATGAACTGGAGCCACAAACCACAAACTGGCGAGGTTCCAGAGAGTTTTCAGAGGGTACTGATTTCGAGTTAGTTCACGGTCGTAAGACCGTGAATTGAAGTCATGGACCATGAACCAGTTAAGTGAAGCGGTGCGTTTTGGGCTGAGTTCACGGTCCCTGCCATTAGTTCACGACCGTGAACTGGGATCATGAACTGGGCGCGACCTGTGTATAAAAGGAGAGTTGAAAGGAGGAAAAATGGGGAGCCCAAAGTGAGAGAAACCTTCTTCTTTTTGAAAACCTAGAGAGAGAAAGCCACGAACCAAGAGGGAGAAGAGGCTAGGGTTTGCTCCAAGTCAAGATTTGAGAAGTTCCTCTTCAAGAAAAGATCTCTACAAGCACAAGGAAGGATTGATGCATCACAAGGATTGAGGCCTCCTATTTAGGTTAATGTAGGGCAAACCTCTAAACTATTTTAGGTTAATGTAGGGCAAACATCTAAACTAAATTGTTTGGCCCAAGAGGACTACAATTGTAGCCAATAATGCATTCCTTGGCCTAGTAATTGAGAGTGTGGTTTCTAACCATTGTTGCTCCTCCAAGCGGTTCACAATCGCCTTGTCACACACCGATTCATTCGATCCCACGGTTCATGGTGGGTAATTAGGGGAAACAACTCCCGAGTGAACCTTCTCGGCAAGAGTTTCAATCCTTTTACTTTTCAAGTCTTGCTTCTTAATCGTAGATTGTAGAGATTTTGTTACACCCCGCTATTCCCAAAATTCAAAATGACTATTATACCCTTGGGAAGATTTGTCAAATTCCATTGTAATATCCATGGGGACTAAAAATGCGAACTCTCGGTTCAAAAGGTGTCGAGTTTCGACATAAATCGAGTAAGTTACGTACGCTAGTCGAGTTTCAGATTAAACTCACCCATAATTTAGGAAATGCCCAAAATACCCCTCGGGTTAATTAAAACCCAACCCCAATCTCAGGTTCCACTCGGCAACACCCAAACTAAATAAAACCCTCGGCAACCCTTTTAATGATCTCGCGAAATCGCAGCAAAGCAGCATCTAACGGCAGAGAGAGCATCATCATTCCCTCTACCATGAGAGGTGCTTGCTTAACCAAGCTCGTATGGTCGTTGCTATGTGGCGGTGCAGGGCTCGGCTCATCGTTGCTATGTGGCGGTGGAGGACTTGCTCTCGGGAAGAAACAAATCGGCATCAGTGGATCTGCTGGCGCCGAGCAGCTTGGTGGTGCGGTAAGTGCACAGGTGTGAAGGCAATTTCCAGGACGAGAGCTGCCTGCTGAAATGGGCGAGAGTCCTACGTCAGGTGCTTGCTTAGACCTGCCGGCGTCGGACAATGGACGAGAGCTGCCTGATTTGGACGACCTTCTCTCTACTATGTCAGGTGCTTGCTTAGTGGACGTGCCCCGCTACTACGTCAGTTGTCTGCTTACGATTTCAACAACGGGACCAGGGAGATTGACATTATTGATGCCCAACTGCCTGTTCAAGCAAGAAGGCCGAAATAAGGAGTCAGTGGAAGAGGATTTGGATACGAGCAGGTTCCAGGAGCTCCTTCCAGCCAACTAGGTGAGAGAGCTTCATGTGCTCCGTATCGCCCCAAATGAAAGCTCTGTTGAATTGAACATGTTTATATGAATTGAACATGGTTATGGATAATGGTATTCATTTTCAGGTTTCTTTTCATAATGCAAACCACAAACACGATAAAGCAAATCACAAAAACAAACCAGAAACGTCTTAATGCAAACCAGAAACGTCTTAATGCAAACCAAAAATCTATTAAAACAAACCAGAAACCTCACAAAGCAAACTACAGAATTTTCAAAAACACACCAGAAACCTCATAATGCAAACCACAAACACGATAAAGTAAACCACAAAAACAAAGAAACCCCGCAAAGCAAACCAAATTTTTTTCGAAAGCACGCCAAAAACTTCTTAATGCAAACTAGAAACACGATAAAGCAAACCATAAAATGCATACAAAAAATATGAGAAACCAAACAATAAATCTCACAATGCACACCACAATATTCGATGATCGTTGACCGGTCAACGAAGTTCGTTGACCAAACTCCGACGACCGTCAGTGAGCAGATTCCGGTGCCGATAGGCATATTCCAGCCCCGATGACTAGATTCCGACGCTGGTAAACATATTCCGGCGCCCGTAAGCATATTTCGGTGACCAAAATTTTGGGCAGAAAATTTAAAAATATTATTTAATTATTTATTATTATTTAAACATATTTTTCATAATGACAATTATACTCCTGCTTTGATTTTACACGAGTTCAACTCAGATAATAAAAAGTCATCAAAACTCTAGCTTCCTATTGGTTGGAGACTAGTGTTGTTACAATAACAACACAAGGGGTGTTGTCAAACTATTTAGTCCTATTAATGATTCTTTGCAAGGAACGATATTTATGTACAATATTATTACTTTTTGTGAGACTACGCTTGATATTGAGAACATTTTCATCATTTTCTAATTTCAATTTATTATTAGAAGTTGCTAAACGCGTTTCTGTTTTTGGTTGCTAATTTTCATAAATTGTCACAAATAAGAACTAAACAGGTTTTTGTTTTCTATTTTAGTGTTGTTGTGGTTGTAGCAGGATTGTGCCAACCTTGCTGCAACAGCAACAAAACTAATACTAAACGGGCATATTGATTTCCCTTCTCTTTTCTCCAGTACCCTATCTATCCCATCTTGGTACCTGGCAGAATACGTCCACAAAGAAGTTAAAGACGATTAAATTGATACATTCCTCCATGTACCATGGAATCCACTAATTCAACTGTAAACCTAACGATTCAATAACTGCCAATGGTTGAAAATGTCGTAATAATAATGACTGTTTTAATAATACAAGTAATCAAGGACTGTTCTACCTTCATCATGTATCAAGATTTAATAGGGGTGAAAGCTTGTCCCGGAAGACCCACTGATCCGTCCCGACTCGTCCTGTCCCTAAGGGTCGGGACGGGTCAGTTTGTCTACAGGGGCAGATTAGAGACGGGTCATTTGTTGACCCTGTAAGGGTCGGGACAACTTAGGGACGGGTCACGTTTTGACTCTGTGACCCTTAGCAACAACAAATATCTCATACTTCATTGGACTTTTTTGTGAAGTTTTAAAAGTTTAGGTACTAATTTGTAAAAATAAAAAAATTTGGGTGCCAAAACGTAATTTTACCATCAAAATTTATGGACTTATTTGTAAAAAAATAAAATTTAGGTACTAAATTATAAGAAAAAATAATTTTGGGTACCAAACGTAATTTATAAAAAAAGTAGTGTGTTGATTAGGGTCGACCCACTGACCCGGCCCGTCCCGTCCCAACCCTTGAGGGTCAGACAGGGTCAAGAAGGAGACAGGGACGGGACAGTTATACATCTTGACCCTTCAGGGACTGATCAGACAGGGACAGGGACGGGACAGGCAAATTTTCAGTCCTAAGATTTAACACATACAAAACTGGTACACGTAAGTTGATCATGATGATGACGATACTGATCACGGCCGTATTAAAGTCTTCATCTAATTGAGCTTCTGTCAAACCATATGGTTTATTGGTTTTAAGAAAGTTATCTTGCCTGCAACACTATTACTGGCCAATCCCCGTGGCGACTGCAATTCAAATATCCAATCGACTTTCGACAAAAATGAGCTCTGTTCTGTGCAATTTCTGTGACTAGTTCTATTCACAACATGAGCTGTATCAAATCAAGTTGGGACCAGAATCCCGGCTTACAACACTACTACTGCCAATTGAGTGACAAGTAGGGCAGTAGACCGCAAGAAAGCAAGCAGTTCAGGTTTCTCCACCACCTGCTCAATTTTTATCAGCACCCTCATCAAACTCCCCAGAACCCATCACCCGGAAATCCAGTTGCTTCTGATGCTTTGAGCAACGTCGGCGATCAAAATCCTCCCAGCCTTCCAAATGCCGGAGGACCTCCATCGTGATCTCCGTGTTGTGCAGATCTAGGATTGATAGTTGTGTGCAACTTTTAAACAGCACAGAAGGGAGGGTCTTCAATCCGTTGTTGCCGAGGTGTAAAGCCTGCATGCATGCACAAACAGGCCAAGACCAAACTTCGTTTATTTAACTGCAACTTGTGCTTTAAGTTGGATTCTAATTGTAATAGTCAATAAGTAGACATGAAGAAGACGAAGAGAGAATGGGACCTTCAGATTACGTAGATTGCCAAAAGTCTCTGGCAAATTTGTCAAAAGATTTGCGGAAAGATCAACCTGCACCAACGAAAGCATTCAAGGTAAAGGACAAGTTTTATTGGGATTAAATGAATGATAGAAGTCTTTCTCCAGTGGCAAATATACCTCTACAAGGGAAATGCAGCTTCCGATAGATGGATCAATGGCGCTTATCCTGACTCAATACAAAATAACACAACCATCATCTTGCATGATGATGCTGACTAAGGCATCCAGATACGAGCACCAATGATATAATAAAACTGAAATGGAAAGGAGGGGGTTGTCGAGACCAGAAGTAGTTCCCTTCATCTAAATAAATTACCTGTTATTGTTTACTCCCAAAACTTCAAGGCCAGTAAGAAGTCCTATCTCAACTGGGAGGCTATTCAATTTGTTGTTTGAAACATGAAGTTGCTTCAAAGACTTCAAACCGCCTACTTCTTTGGGCAACACTGTTAAACTGCAACGAACATGATCACCATCCTTCTTTAACGGTGCTACATCTAAGAAGTAAGAACTAAGACAGAGTATTCACTCCCTATAAATCAATTGATCTAGATCACGAAATTACTAGCAAATGAAGCATTGCAACTAAAGTAAGATGCATAAGAACACAGGTTACCTAGCTCAGAACCCCAAGCAAATGAAAATGTATTTGAGATACAGACGTATATTACAGGTTTGCAATTACACTACAAAGTGCAAAGCACACTTCCAACTCAAAAGAGACATACCAATGGTTCTTTAGATCTATCTTCAATTCAAATATATCTCCTTGTTAAGCAACACTGACATAAGTGGCAGTAACATCTAACCTTTTTTAAAAATCTTTCTTCAACATTTTCTCAGTATGACACATAACAATCCACAATTATGTAGGAACACAATATTTTTGCATTACAGAGTGACTACTTCTTCACAATTAGGCAGGAGTAATACAAAAAAAAAAAAAAAAAAAGTTTGTCAGGCCTTCTACTGATTTCCCAAAAGATCAGAACCATACACCAGTCAGAAGCAGGCACCACATGACCACAAACCATGCACAATAGAAAATTGACTCACTGGTTGTGGCTCAGATATAGAGTTGTAAGACGCTTCAGAGAGGTTAGAGCTTCCCAGCAAATAGATTCATCTAAAATGTCATTTCCATTCAAGATAATCTTCTGCAGATGTATCAGATAAAAAAAAAAAGGAAAAAATCAGATAGGCTTTTCTTCCCCCTCTACAATCTGACTCAAGGAGCTGCAGTAATTTTGTCATTCACCTGTAAGCCACTCAAACAGACAAGCTTGGATGGTATCTCTTGAATAGAGTTGTTGCTGATATCAAGAGCTCTTGCAGAAGTCCCACAAGCCCAAATATCGTCGGGCATTACCTGTCAACCCCAATGGAAGAAGAACACAATAAGTGACATCCAGAATCGACAATGAAAAAGTTGCGCCCTGGCTTATGGATTTCAACATCAGAATAAAACAGTAGGGTGCTGGACTATTGAAGGCAAGAAGAAATAAAAGTACAAAATTCAGCTTCAGATACAATGGGGCTTCTTTCAACTGTGAAATAACCATTCCTGTAACTTGATGCACAACAGATGAAACACAAAAGCGGGAATCTTGTTTACCTTTAAGTTGCATTCCGACAAAGCAATGACCCCAGTGGATTTCCAGCGTTCCAAGCGGTTCTTGTCAGGGACAACAGCTTTTCCCTTATCGGTTATGGGCATCTTATCCCTTGAAATTGGCCGGGTTGCCGCATCTTTCAGTATCGGCCCAGCCTGTCCCAAGAGAAAAGATAATGACATTAGCATTACCCTCCAAACCGCAGAAACGCCATTGGGACGACGGGAAAACCCTAAATTAATCTCAAGAAACCATTTGCAGTGGAGCAGTAGCAACTAGGGGCGAAAGCGTGAACGAAAATGCGTCCAAGAAACGAGCTTCCTTTGCAGTGACGAATCAAAAAGCTAACCCCTACTCAAACGAATGAAGAGAAAGAAACAGATATTTACCCCTTGGTGGAGTCCCTGCGAGGCGAGAAGCATGATCTTGGCGCCACTGGTGACCTCCGATTCCCTCAACGTCATCGCGTCTGCCAACAGCTTTCCTGCAAAAGGAAAGAGGTTCACAACCTTTCATCCGAATCCGAACAATTTCTTGATTAATCAATCAGTCGAATCGACAACCAAGCGAAAAAGAGATGGAGACAGACCCTTGAAGATGAGCTTCTGGCCCCGGGGGAGGACATTGGTGAGAGGTTGAAGAAGAGCTTTAAGGTCTTTAATGTCGGAATCCAACGGCACCGAAACGGGAATCGATCTCCCGCTGAACTTCACAGTGACGTCGATCACCGTCCCCGCCTGCGATTTGCCTCCTTCCATTTCCGCAGTTCTATGGAAATTGCTTCCGCTTCTCTCTCTCTCTCCAATTTTCTGCCTTTTGTTTTCCTTTCCCCACTGTAGTTCATTCGTCATCGGCAGCTCTCTACTAAAGCTGGTCGCTCGACGAAACGACGTCGTGGCGCTACCCGCCATTAAAGCAGCGTCGTTTTAACTTTGATGACCACCCGCCGTGGCGGCACGTGTTTATTCTCGCCGGCTCGCCTGCCGCCGCTTCGGTCTTTACTCTTTAATCATCGTAGTTATTATTAAGAAAATACTTTACTTCCTCAGAGTCGAGGCAACATCCTGATGCTTAACACCTCAATGGTAGTTTAGCATTTCTTCTGCTCCTTCCATTGGAATCTTAGCTCTCCGCTTCTATTCTTCTTCTGCTGCTATTAAAGGTCTCCTCCATTCGTAATCAATGTTCAGTTCAGGGTTAGGGATTCTGATCGCGGTGGTTTTGCCTCCAATCTTCCTGGGGATAATGTTTGCCGCCAATAGTAGCAACAGCAGAACTCTCTCTACTGTGGTATTGATATCGGTCGGTCTGTGCGGCGTTGTTGGCAGTTTACTCTATTATGTGCTTCCCAGAAAGCGTCGCGATGGAGCGGTGGGTTCTGAGGAAGACCAAACTGTAGGAGAAGGAGGAGGCAACACCGATGGTTCTCCGGCGCAGCACCGGATCGATTACTCTGTGGATTCGGCTGCCAAGGGTAGAGTCGGAGCGAGTAGCTGCTTCGTCGGGAACGGCGGCGGCAGCGGTGGTGATCATAGGAATCGCGGCAGGGTGAGAGCGGCTTCCGCCATGGGGTTTGGTGACGGGAATTCAGTTGATATTGATGAGGATCTTCACAGCCGGCAGCTTGCTGTGTATGGACGGGAGACCATGCGGCGGCTTTTTGCCTCCAATGTGCTTGTCTCCGGGATGAATGGGCTTGGGGCTGAGATCGGTGAGCTGCTAAATTGATTGATTTGTATTCTTATTTCCTTTAGGTATTGGATGAATGTTTGTATGCAATGTAATGGGGGTGTGTGTTTAATTCTGAAGCCAAGAACCTGATCCTTGCTGGTGTGAAGTCTGTAACTTTACATGATGAAGGAGTTGTGGAGCTGTGGGATTTGTCCAGTAACTTTGTTTTCTCTGAGAAAGATGTTGGCAAGAATAGAGCCCTTGCTTGTATTCAGAAGTTGCAGGAGCTCAACAATGCTGTTGCGGTTTCTGCATTGACAACAAGTTTGACGAAGGAACAACTCGCTGATTTCCAGGTACTTCGGTGATTATAGTCAATGCTGGATGTAATATGTTTATAGAATTTGTCTTATTGATTATGTTTGAAGCATTTGCTGCGGTACCTCGAATGAGATTTTCGAGTTTTCTGCTGTCGGTTTATGTTTTCGCTACTTCTTTTGTGCAGGCTGTTGTATTTACCGATATAGGTCTCGAGAAAGCCATGGAGTTCGATGACTTCTGCCACAATAAAAAACCGTCTATTGCTTTCATTAAGTGTGAGAGTAGAGGCCTCTTCGGTTCTGTATTTTGTGACTTTGGACCTGCATTCACCGTCTTTGATGTTGATGGAGAGGAACCACACACCGGCATTATTGCATCCATCAACAATGACAATCCCGCACTAGTATCATGCGTCGATGATGAGAGGCTCGAGTTTCAGGATGGCGATACTGTTGTTTTCTCTGAAGTTCATGGGATGACTGAACTGAATGATGGAAAACCAAGGAAGATACGGAATGCTAGGCCATACTCTTTTACACTTGAAGAGGACACCACAAAATTTGGTGCGTATGTGAAAGGTGGCATTGTCACCCAAGTCAAGCAACCAAAGCTATTGAACTTTAAACCATTGAAAGAGGCTCTTAAAGATCCCGGAGAATTTCTTTTGAGTGATTTCTCCAAGTTTGATCGCCCACCTCTCCTCCACTTAGCATTTCAGGCGCTAGATAAATTTGTTTCTGAGCTTGGTCGCTTTCCTGCTGCTGGTTCAGAAGATGATGCCAACAAATTTATACAGTTAGCTGCTGATATGAACCAAGGATTGGGGGATTGGAGAGTGGAAGACATTAACCCCAAACTTCTGCGACACTTTGCCTTTGGTGCTAGAGCTGTGTTAAATCCTATGGCAGCAATGTTGGGTGGTATTGTGGGTCAAGAGGTTGTCAAGGCATGCTCTGGAAAGTTTCATCCTCTTTTCCAGGTCAGTCTGGGCTCTTTTCTGATCCTTTCGCTTTCCTAGAGAAACATTTGTCCCTTCAAATGTGGAAAATGCCTTATTTCCAGTATTCATATTGGCTTCCATATTCTATATGGATTATATTTATAGCCGATGTTGAGCGTGACTATCTTGTGTGTCTCCCTTTTTTGTTTGCTTTTGGACATATGTTCTGATGGAACTTCTGGAGCCAGTCATATTAGGAGGTGCTCTAATCTAACCCTGCCTTTTTATGCCATGCTGCAGTTTTTCTATTTTGACTCAGTGGAGTCACTTCCTACAGAGGATATTGATTCCAGACAGTTAACCCCATTGAACAGCCGTTATGACGCACAAATATCTGTCTTTGGGTCCAAGCTTCAGAAGAAGCTAGAGGATGCCAAGGTGTTTTTAGTCGGATCTGGTGCACTAGGCTGTGAATTCTTGAAGAACCTAGCACTTATGGGAGTCTCATGTGGTGAAGAAGGAAAACTCATTGTAACCGACGATGATGTGATTGAGAAGAGTAATCTAAGTAGGCAGTTTCTTTTCCGTGATTGGAACATTGGTCGGGCCAAATCAACAGTTGCTGCTTCTGCTGCTGCATTAATAAATCCTCGTCTCAAGGTTGAAGCATTGCAAAACCGTGTGGGTCCGCAGACAGAAAATGTATTCGATGACACCTTCTGGGAAAATCTGACTGTTGTCATTAATGCCTTGGACAATGTCAATGCAAGGCTATATGTTGATCAGCGGTGCTTGTACTTCCAGAGGCCATTACTTGAATCTGGGACCTTAGGTGCCAAATGCAACACTCAGATGGTCATTCCCCGGCTCACTGAAAACTATGGTGCTTCACAAGATCGACCTGAGAAACAAGCACCAATGTGCACTGTGCATTCTTTCCCCCATAATATTGACCATTGCTTGACTTGGGCTCGATCTGAGTTCGAGGGTTTGCTCGAGAAGACTCCTGCTGAAGTTAATGCCTATCTTTCAAATCCAGTTGAATACACTGCCACAATGATCAAAGCTGGTGATGCTCAGTCAAGGGATACACTGGAACATGTACTCGAGTGTCTTGACAGCGAAAAATGCCAGACTTTCCAGGATTGCATTACCTGGGCACGTTTAAAGTAACTTTTCTAACTGTATTCCCCTCTTTTGGTGTCGGTAATCTGATCTTGTTTGGTTTTTCTAACTTTCCGCTTCTTTTGTTATTCAGATTTGAAGATTATTTTTGTAATCGAGTGAGGCAATTGATTTACACATTCCCAGAAGATGCTGCAACCAGTACCGGTGCTCCATTTTGGTCTGCACCTAAGCGATTCCCTCATCCTCTTGAGTTCTCTGTTGCTGATCCTAGTCACCTCCATTTCATTATGGCAGCTTCCATACTGAGAGCAGAGACATTTGGTATCCCAGTTCCTGACTGGGTTAAGAACCCTAAGAAGTTAGCAGAGGCTGTTGAACAGGTGATGGTGCCAGAATTTCAACCAAGTAAGCATGCTACGATTGTTACAGATGAGAAGGCCACTAGTCTGTCCACATCACTGGGTGATGATTCTGCTCAAATAAGTGACCTTGTGATGAGATTGGAAAACTGCAGGCAGCATCTGCCATATGGGTTTAGGATGAAGCCGATTCAGTTCGAAAAGGTTTTCCTATCAACTTACGCATTTCTACAACATTTGAACCAAATAAACATGCTGGTTTTACTTCTACTAAATTTTTTTTAAAAGTCACTTTTGAGCTATTGTTTCTATTAATTTATACTCTACCCTCTTTGATTTGCAGGATGACGACACAAACTACCACATGGATCTGATAGCTGGGCTTGCCAACATGAGAGCAAGAAATTACAGTATCCCCGAGGTGGACAAGCTGAAAGCAAAGTTCATTGCTGGGAGGATCATTCCCGCCATTGCAACCTCCACAGCCATGGCTACAGGTCTTGTTTGTCTAGAGCTCTACAAGGTTCTTGACGGCGGACACAAAATAGAGGACTACCGCAACACATTTGCCAATCTAGCTCTGCCCTTGTTCTCTATGGCTGAACCAGTTCCGTGCAAAGTCTTCAAGCACCGTGACATGAGCTGGACCATCTGGGACAGGTGGATCCTTGATGGCAATCCGACATTAAGGGAAGTTCTCCAGTGGCTCAGTAATAAGGGACTCGATGCCTACAGCATCTCCTACGATAAGAGCATGCTGTACAACAATATGTATGCTGCACACAGGGAGAGAATCGACAGAAAGGTGGTGGATTTGGTTAGGGAAGTAGCTGGGGTGGAATTGCCTCCAAAACGGCGTCACGTTGATGTGCTTGTGGCAGCGGAGGATGATGAAGGCAATGATATTGATATCCCACCGGTTTCTATCTACTTCAAGTAGGCCGATTCTAAACTGGAATGGTTTGTCTAGTTATTTGGATGCTCTAATGGCTGGTCAGATCATTTCGTGGGAGGTATGGTTAACTTCGTGTCGAATGATGCTTTATCAGAGTTCTTCTGAAAGGTAATGTACAAAAGTTGGGAGATGCATTCAGTTCCTAATTCTTCTGGAGTAGAGTGCTAAGGTTGAAGGTTATGAGTGTTGCCTAAAGCGATACTAATTCCGGCCCGAAACATCTTCACTAACTTGAGATTAACTCAGAGTTACCATATTGTCCATGTTTCTATCGCCAGTTAGTTTACAGCTTCGTGCCTTGCATTGAATTGTTTTTAATCACGATGTGCACTATAGACAGATTGATATTACAGAAAAAAGAGCATAACATATATATATACCATTTGATAAATGGAAAACATGATAATTACTTGTACTCTGCCTTGCTAAACAAGCAAAGAATGCCCCAAGACACATCAAAACCCTAATGATGATACCCTAGCTACATGGTGTAAATAAAACCCCATGTCTACAAAAGAAGACAACTCCAATAGCAATCCACCAAAAGGAGAACGCCATCTAACCCCAATGATGATGCCCTAGCTTCACAGATTTGGTTGTTGGGATATTGCAATCAGTGATAAATCTCTGAAGTTTACTTCTTCCTCTTGGGGAAGCTTCAAAAACTGCGACCTTTCTAGATGTTGGATCCAGAAGAGGAACCCAATTGCCTAGCTCAGGTAAAGCTAGTGAGCAAATGTCAAACAGGGGATGATTGGTACAATACACTACTATTTCATGATGATGAGATTCCACCAAGAAATTGAGTAAAGTGATGAAGAAATCAGTACTTTAGTACATAAAGAGTTCAATGTTTCACCAAACACTTCATGGTAAGGACATGTAACACATGCCACCCACACTAAGAAACCTCCACAGTGAAAAGAAGAAAAAAGTTCTGCCACCACCTCAAGTCAAAATCAAGCTAAACCATAACAGTTTTCAACTCCAAACTACTACCACCACCACCAACACCAAGCCCTTTTCACTTTTCTTAAAAAGCAAGGAACTTGAAACCAACAAAAAATGGGGGAGACAGATCTAGCTACTGGTCTCACCAGTTCCAATCTCCAAATGAAAGCAGAGTCTTCTTAGAGAGTAGAGATGCTGAAGCAAGAGGAGGAATCGTTGATCCATTACCTGAAGAAGGAACTTGAAGCATCTCTTCTTAGAACTGATATGTTGGAGAAACAAAATCAAGAACTGAGGCAAGAGGTTCTCCATCTCAAGTCACAGATCACAGCCCTCAAAGCTCATGAGAACGAGAGGAAATCAATGCTTTGGAAGAAGCTGCAGAGCTTCAATGAAGTGACCAAGAACGACGTCTCTCAGCAGAAACAGCAGCAGCAGCAACACCAACACTATCTTAAAGCAACAGCTGAGGGTAAAGAACCACAGTTGAATTCAAGACCAAACCCACCAATATCAAGGCCTGCTTCCACTGCGTCGCCTTTACATGGGGAAGTTAAAGGGACTAAGCTACTGCCACCACCAGGTCCACCACCTCCTCCACCACTGCCATCAACAACATTAGTAAGTTTAAAATCTATTCGTCGTGTGCCAGAAGTTATCGAGTTTTATCGTATGATCACCAAGAAGGATACGCACATTGATACAAAGAAGAACCATTCCACTACATCACCACTTGCATTCACGCCAGACATGATAGGAGAGATCGAGAATCGCTCTAGTTATCTATCCGCGGTAAGTAAAGATGCAAACTTTACCATCTTAAAACCTTAGCTTGCCTTCCAAATTAATGGAATGCAACTTTGATTTTTGTCCAGATAAAGTCGGATGTAGAGAAGCAGAAGCAACTCATAACCTCATTGATAAAACAAGTGGAGTCTGCAGCTTTCAAAGAGGTATCAGAAGTAGAGGGTTTCATGAAATGGCTGGATGACCAACTGTCGTTGCTTGTCGATGAGAGGGCAGTGCTGAAGCATTTCCCACAGTGGCCTGAACAGAAAGTTGATGCCTTGAGAGAAGCTGCTTCCAACTACCAGAACCTGAGGAACCTTGAGTCTGAAGTTCTGTCTTTCGAGGACAATCCAAAGGAGCCATTGATCAAGGCTCTAGCAAAGATGCAAGCTTTGCAAGACAGGTTAACTTAAGCATCTTTATCCCAATTGGTTAGCTCCCTGATCTAATTTCAGTTACATGGCTCTTTCTAAGTTCAATCATTTTTTAACAGGTTGGAAAAAAGTGTTAATGGTATGGAGAGGAATAAAGAGAGTATGATGAAGAGATACAAGAACTTCCAGATCCCCTGGAACTGGCTACTTAGCACTGGATTCCTTGGACAGGTAAACTAACCATATCTAAAATACATGGTCAATTTACCTGGAATCAACAGTTCGAATTATTTAGAGAGGAATGGGTGTTATTTCACTCTCTAGTCAGACACTAAATGGAAGTTTTTTTTTCCCCTTTGTACTTTGATTAGATATATTAATGTTTAAACACGAGAATTGTCGATTAACAAAAAACCTTACACCATATCGGAGAACTGGTTTATCACAATAACTTGGAGATTCAAAACCGGACATTTGACTTGAATCCGAGAATTTTCTTTTGCAGGTGAAATTGAGTTCTTTGAAGATAGCAAGAGAGTACATGAAGAGGATTGCTAAAGAAATGAAGTTGAATCAGAGCTCAGAGGACAACAATCTGCTTCATCAAGGTGCTAGATTGGCATATAGAGTGCACCAGGTAACCTTGAAAGTGTTTCTTTTCCTTCTTTTTTTTTTCACTAGTAAAAATGCACATGGAATGTTCAGGCTTCATTGACTAACTATTCATTCGACATGAATCCAGTTTGCAGGTGGATTTGACACAGAAACCATAAATGCATTTCAGGAGCTTAAGAAGGCAGCCATGAATGGCCAATGATAAACTATTGTACTCTTTAATTTATTCACCGACAGAGCTAGGCATATAAAAATGAAACCTTCCTGTGCACCGTTCATCCAATGTCCATCGCCGGCGACAACTTTCCGAATCCGGCGACACGTACTCCACCGGGCCTGGACTGCTTCCCAGGTTCCTCACTGTTTAAGCCCAAACAACCGGACTCGCCTGACTAATGGGCCGGCATGTTAGCCCAAAACTTAAAAATGTCATTTGTGACTGTGAGCTAGTTTTCATTCTCTTGAGCCCAATCGTAAATTTAACTTAAGAAACGGTAAAAAGCGAAGACGAATAAAGAGCTGCCGAGTGGCAAAGAAGCAAGCTCTCTAACTACCTATTTTGCCGCCAAATATTTGTCCTACCTACCCGGATTCAATTACAGGAAATCAGGAGACAATTAAGAATCTGATATGGAACTAATCCATTCCACCGAGATCTTAATAACTCTCACAAATGAAAAACTGATCGTAATTAGTTAGCTCCAAAATCCGAATTAAACCCTCCCCGGCCGCTGCCGGCGTGTAGGCAAATGGAGATGGGCGAGCCGTCGTTGTTCGAGCTGGAAATCGACTCGTTCGCCGGGAGCGGGGCGGAAACCTCGTCGGCGGCGAGGGACGACGAGGACGAGCTGATTCTGGAAGCAATCGCCAGGCTTCCGTCGGAGAAGCGGGACAGGTACGCGGTGCAGAGGAGGACGCCTTCGGAAGCGCAATTGGGGAACGGGCAGCTGACCGAGACCATCGATTTGCATAAATTGAAAAAGACGGACAGAGAGCTGCTGGTGAAGAAGGCTCTGGCGACCAATTCGCAGGACAATTTCAAGCTGCTTTCGGCGATCAAGAGCCGGCTGGATCGGGTCGGGATCGAGGTGACGACGGTGGAGGTGAGATTCGAGGAGCTGAATGTGGTGGCTAGTGTGCAGGTTGGATCCAGAGCTTTGCCTACGCTCGTCAATGCCGCCCGTGACGCCGTTGAGGTACAGAGTCGATATTGAGGGACCTGGCTAGTTTGCCGTCAATTTCGTCGGAACTTGGTTGAGATTTTGTTTGAATGGTTTTTTCCTAGGGTTTATTGACAAATTTGCGGATCTACAGACCGAAGAAGCATTCGTTAACGATTTTGAGCGGCGTCAGTGGGATTTTGAAGCCGGGAAGGTATGTTAACAATAATCAATTGAATTTGTATCAAATTTTGTTTATTGATTGAGTTACTACCAAAAAAGTGATACAAAATAAGTAGTTGGATGAGGAAATTTTCCTAACCATCATACTAAGACTAATTGATGTCAGCTTGGAAAGAAAGAAATAATTCAGTGATGATTTAGCTAGTTCGAAGCTAGATTAAAACATTTAAAATCCAATAGTATTAGGGATGACAATTGAACCTCAATCACATGTTCTGAATTTGATCCAACTCGGTAAAAAGCGAGTGAAAATCCAACTCATTTTCAACCAACTTCACACCCAAAAGGTAAAACAATTTCATTTTGTATCTAACAAGGACAATTCGAATAATTTACATATGTTATTAGTTTGTATGAAAATTTTCGACAATATTATAATACGAATTTGCTCTTCCAAAATCAAATAATTTTTTTCCTTAATTGATACACCGGCTTGATTGGATTTGAATTTCGAAGACCCGCCCAACCCAACTAACTAATTATATTGCTACATATAAGTGAAACAGAGACAAGAACCACATATTGACACGAAACCAAATCAATTTGGTCCGGTTCATTATTTGAAACATGGATCCGGTCACATTGGATCTTGGGCGAATCATCCTCCACCTCTCGAGGACGACGCCGTCTAGGGTCGGGAGAAACGGTAAAAAGAAAACAAAATCACTGGACCAGAAAAACTAACCCAGAGGCAGAAATTCCACTGTCCGGCGCGTTTAACCGCTGCTGCTGCGGCGGCCGCCGGCTCTTCACTTCCGTCCGCCTTCGCCGTTGCGCCTGGTTCTCTCCGCCCGATTCTGTATGATTTTGGGCTCTCCAATCTGATGGGTCCCAGCAGCCGGCTGATCATGTTGAACGCCGACGCATTCCAGTACCAGTACGGAATGCTTCTCCTGGAAATCATTGTCATTTCAGGTAAAACTTAACAGAGAAGTAACATTTCGGGAGCCCTAGAGCTAGGGTCTTTACCTTTCCCAGTCGAAGCCCTGAGTCTTTTAGTTCTACAACGATTGAATTCGAGAACCTTATAACCGCTAACTTTCTTCAATTTAGCATCCGGGTTTCATAAATGGGGTTAAAGAGAGACCATTAACTCGCCACAGAGTCTTGGAGTCGGACATTGTTGCAGTTTTCTGAATCTTTTTTTTTTTTTTTTTTTGAATGGATGTAGAATGGCATTGCTCCTTGGACCTCCTGGTTCGGGGAAATCAACTTTACTCAAAGCTCTTGCAGGGAAACTTGACAAAAACCTCAAGGTTAGCAAACTGGCCATCTTATTCCATAACCACCACTTCAACTGTACATCCAGTTCTACCTATGTGTAAGGCCTTTGTACGTTGAGATTGCTATCACAAAAGTTTCTCAATTTGACCAATTTTGTTTTCAGGTAACTGGTAGTGTCCTGTACAATGGACAGAACTTTGATAAATTTTATGTACGAAGAACTTCTGCATATATCAGTCAAATCGACAACCATATCGCTGAGCTCACTGTAAGAGAAACTTTGGATTTTGCTGGCCGTTGGCAGGGGCAAAGTGAAGACTTGGCAGGTTTCTTTCTCTAATTAATTAATTTTGCAGTTTACACTTTTGCTTGATGCACTTTCACTTAGACTCGTAGGGAGTGTCGAACTATCTGCACTATGAGCCACCCGCAGTACCATTTGGATTGAAAGTACCAAGTAGTTGAATTGAAATGAACAAAGTCTGAGGATAGCGTGATTTAACTTCCCTTTCTTTGTTTTCGCTTTTCAGCTTTACAAGCAAGAATGCATTGGCATTTTAAGTCTAGTAACTAAATAAAACGTATGGATACTATTATGTTAGTCCTCTGTCTGGTTCTTATGTTCAATGGGTAGATAATCATATTCAATCCACTCTGCATTCATATTTTGGGATCATATTACATTATTTGAAGAGATGATGTCCCAGTCTTTTGTGGTTAGCTTATTTCCATTTTCCGCTGATACGATTATGATTTTTTAATAAAAGCTAAAGAGGGCACTGAAAATGATTGTTACTAGACATCCATACAATTCGGTAGAGCTTTATAGTTTAAAAACTTTGTCTTTCATTCGTGTAAGTTCAGTTTTCTTTCATTTGCAATGAACTAATTCTTTCTGATATCAGATATGATGAAAGATTTGATTCGACTGGAAAAGGAAAGGAATATACATCCAAGTCCAGAGATTGATGCCTTTATGAAGGTCCACATCGCATTCAGCAATTATATTATTTTCATGTTGTCTGTTTGCTCTTTTCTTCTTGTTGTTAGTCTTTGGGTAGATTTGTGCCTTTATGGAGCGCATATTTGATATTACACACAAATTATATCGTCTTCACGTTTCTTGTTTTTTTTCTAACCATGATCTTATTCATGTTTTAATGTGATTCATTTTCTTCAATTTCATACGGAGCAGGCAGCATCCGTTCATGGCAAAAAGCATAATGTTGCAACGGACTATATCCTAAGAGTTCTTGGAATTGATGTATGTGCGGATACATTAGTTGGCAATGACATGCTCAGGGGCGTTTCAGGCGGTCAAAAGAAAAGGGTTACCACAGGTTTGACTCTTCTCTCTCGCTCTAGATAGATACAACAGTCGTAATAGGAAGTCACTATTCAAGTGAAGAAGTATGCTATGCATGCTTTCCATTTGATTTAGAGGCTAGTAGTCATTAACTGATAATAATATAACGCAGGGGAAATGATAGTTGGCCCAAGGAAAACCCTTTTCATGGATGAAGTATCTACAGGACTTGATAGCTCTACCACCTATCAAGTCATAAAATGCTTAAGGAACTTTGTTCATTTGAGAGAAGGAACACTGCTGGTTGCTCTTCTACAGCCCCCGCCAGAGACTTTTGATTTGTTTGATGACTTGATATTATTATCTGAGGGACATGTGGTGTATCAAGGTCCTCGGGCACAAGTGTTGGAGTTCTTTGAGTCTCTAGGATTCAAACTGCCCCCTCAAAAGGGTGTTGCTGATTTCCTTCAGGAGGTACTCCACTGAAGTTCATCTGTTAACTTACTTATCTAGTATCTTCTCAATGTTAACTTGTTCTGGATTTCAAATGAACTTTTATGTTGTGGCTGGCTGACAGGTGACCTCTAAAAAGGACCAAGGTCAGTACTGGGCGGATCCTTCGAAACCATATGTTTTCATTTCTGCCCTAGAGATGGCACAAGCATTTAAAAGTTCTGAGTGTGGAAGGTCTCTGGCCTCCGCTATGTCTGTTCCATATGACAAAACCAAGTGCCATCCTAAAGCTTTACCAAAAACGAAATATGCTGCATCCAGATGGGAACTGTTGAAGACGTGCTTTGCACGGGAAATTTTGCTTCTTAGCCGGCATCAATTTCTATATGTATTCAAAACTTGTCAGGTAGTATTTTCCCTCTTGAACAAATGGGCATTTTCTGATTATAGCTTGTTTCTTGTGATCCCTAATTCGGTTACACGTAAATTCTATTAGTGAATGTGGTCTTCCAGCTTTTGAGCATTGACTACTCATGATTTTATTTTTTAAGGACACGAACTAATTGAGATTGTTTTATTTGCCCAATCAAGCTACTTCTTGTTTTATTATTAATTTTCTCAAGTTTATGTATTTCTACCAGTCTGACTTCCGCGCGTTTCTTCTTGAAGGTTGCTTTGATTGGACTAGTCACTTGCACAATATTCACCAGAACGAAATTGCATCCTGAAAGTGAGATACAAGGCAACCTCTATCTATCGTGCTTGTTCTTTGGACTTGTGTTCATGTTATTTAATGGAGCTGCAGAAATGTCTCTGTTGACTTTTCGACTTCCGGTCTTCTATAAGCAACGAGATAATATGTTTCACCCTGCTTGGGCATGGTCCTTGGCTAGTTTCACTTTAAGTGTTCCATACTCGTTCGTTCAGGCTGTGGTTTGGTCGGTTGCTGTCTACTACTCAGTTGGCTTTGCTCCAGGAATTTGGAGGTACCCACCCCATTTTACTCTTCTCCGCAGCTAACTAGGTGCGTTCTAACAAGTACAGACAATTTTAGTTCATGACTTCATGTGGGTGCTACTTTATTTTCCCTAACCGTCTTTTTCCTCTTTGTAATTTGTCTCTCAGAGATCAGCTATTGGAAATGATACTGTAGGTCACAACATCCTCCACAACTATAGCTTACCAACTGATGATGACTCGTACTGGATTGGAGTTGGTGTTTTGTTTCTCTATGCGTTGTTTTTTAATATCATTGTGACACTTGCTCTAGTCTTGCTTCACCGTAAGTCTAGGAGTGGTTACCATTTGAAACCTTTTCATCTACCTAAGCCATACCCAATCTGTTATATTAGTACTGATAGCCTTGCCTACTTTATTCGCTCACCACAGCTCTTGAAACGGCTCAAGCTATTGCCCCGATTGATGCTGCAGAAGAAATCAACAGAAATAGAGGTAAGTGTGAATTACCACCAAGTCTATATTCATCATGATTACAACGTCCATTTCCTGGTTTCTTACTATGCACGTTTCTGATTAATGGCCGGTTCAAGATGAAGATACTTCCTCTATTTGGCAGTGGGTACGCATGAGGAATCAGGTGAAACATCTGAGCGAGGAAATAGAAGGAAAGGGATGATTCTTCCATTTCAACCATTAGTACTGACTTTCAATGATCTAAGCTACTTTGTCGATATGCCTAAGGTACAAAAGTTTTTTTTTTCTCTCAAGTATTTCATTGGTAGTCATGTAACTGTGTGGCAAATGATTAACTGTATTTTGATGCTCAGGAAATGCGCCAACAAGGAGAACCAGAAATGCGGTTGCAGCTCTTGACAAATGTGAGCGGAGTATTCTCACCTGGGGTTCTAACTGCATTAGTTGGTTCCAGTGGAGCTGGAAAAACTACGCTGATGGATGTTCTTGCCGGAAGGAAAACTGGAGGGTATATAAACGGGGATATAAAGATATCAGGACATCCTAAAGTGCAGAGCACATTTGCTAGGATTTCAGGGTATGTTGAACAAAATGATATACATTCTCCTCAAGTCACAGTTGAGGAGTCTTTATGGTTTTCTTCAAGTCTACGGCTCCCTAATGAAGTCACCAAAGAACAAAGACATGTGAGTTTCTTGCTTAGTACTTGGCAATGTACCAAATCAATATTCTTGCATAAAAATTTCACCCCGCTTTTAATACTGTTTTATCATATGCACCATTTCAGGAATTTGTTGAAGAAGTAATGAGACTAGGAATTGGTTGGTATGCCTGGCATTTCTGGTTTGTCAACCGAACAAGGGAAAAGGTTAACCATTGCTGTGGAGCTTGTAGCGAATCCTTCCATTATATTTATGGATGAACCTACATCTGGGCTAGATGCGAGAGCTGCAGCCATAGTCATGAGAACTGTTCGCAATACCGTTGATACTGGAAGAACTGTGGTTTGCACCATTCACCAACCGAGTATCGACATTTTTGAAGCATTTGATGAGGTTATTTATGTATTCTACGGCTTTCTTTGCAGTGAAAACTTGTTAAGCTTAACTTGGTTCATTGAAATATGTGCTATTTTGTTGGTTTTTATAACAGCTACTTCTCATGAAACGAGGAGGTCGGGTTATATATGGTGGAAAGCTTGGCCTCCACTCTCAGATTATGATAGACTACTTTCAGGTAATAATGCACAAATTGTTAGGTTGCTTGTTTCAGCTATTTAGAAAATTGAAATTAAGAAGCCAGTTCAGACAATTCCTACAGAAGTTACCATGTTGTAGAAAAATGAGTGCCCAGCTTACTATTACATTCGTATAAACTATTTTGTCATATTAATCATGCAAATGAACCTCATTTTGATGTTGATTTTCCTTGATTAGGGGATCAGTGGGGTCCCTCCAATTCCGGAAGGTTATAATCCTGCTACTTGGATGCTCGAGGTCACTAGTACCAGTGTTGAAGAGACAATAAAAGCAGACTTCGCTGAGTTATATAGAACATCTCAACAGTATAGGTAAATCCAACTGCTTTTATGTTAGACTTTTTTGCTTCTCCAGATTTTCTGATTATTTTGTCTCCTTTATATCATCGATGTTTTTTTAGGGAGGTGGAAGCTTCAATCATGAGTTGGAGTGCCCCTCCTCCTGGTTCTGAACCATTGCACTTTGCCTCCACGCATGCACAAGATTCATGGTCACAGTTTCGGATTTGCCTAAAGAAACAGATGCTTGTATATTGGAGAAGTCCACGATACAATGCAGTAAGGTTGTTCTACACTATGATAGCCGCACTGATATTAGGCACTGAATTTTGGGGCATTGGATCTATAAGGTAAAAATAGGCCACCTCCCAAACTTCTCCCTTTTTTCTGATACTAGCCCACCTTTATTTTTTTATGGGTTCTGAAAGAACAATTATGATTTTAGGGGTACAACTCAGGCCTTGTCGACTGTTATGGGAGCTTTGTACATTTCCTGTATATTCCTTGGGGTGAGCAATGCTACTACGGTGCAGCCAATAGTGTCCATTGAGAGAACGGTGTTCTACCGAGAGAAAGCAGCTGGTATGTACTCCCCTTTGGCCTACGCAGCAGCACAGGTTGGTCATTTTTCTAACTTTGCATGCAATTTTTTCCTCACCGATCCAAGTTCCATGACATAATGGAAGTCTTGAAAATCTTTCATCATAGGGAATTGTGGAGATCCCCTACATTTTGGCTCAGACTATTGTGTATTGTATCATAACATACTTCACGATTAGTTTCGAGCAAGACGCTGGTAAGACTCTCGACAGAACACCTTAATTAACATTGTGTTTCCCATTGCTTCATAGCAGCAAGTCACTAATAGCTCGTTTGGAAGTTGGGATTTCAGATGATGTATTTAGCCAATACATGTAATCAGAAGAATTCATCGTTTTTTTGGTTTATAATGAAACAGAATGCTTGTATTTGAACAGCAGATGGGCTCACCAGAATCATTCATTATGAATGATTGTCAATCTCAACTTTTAGTAGAGATTGTGTTTGAGGGATTGTTGTCTTACTTTTGTTCCTTATCTTTGAGGGACCACCAAAATCATTCAATCTCCAAACAATGTATTTTTCAAATTCATACATTGAAACAATACATCTAATTATAATACATACATTGATTAAATACATCAATTTAGAGAATCCTAACTTCCAAACATAGTCTAACTTGCATAATAAATCTTTTGCACATGTTGCAGCAAAATTCTTTCTCTACCTGGTGTTTGTGTTCCTTACGTTCACCTACTTCACGTTCTACGGTATGATGGCTGTTGGGATTACCCCTACTCAGAACTTAGCCTCTGTGATCTCCTCTGCAGTTTACTCCTTGTGGTATCTTTTCTCTGGGTTCCTTATTCCAAAGCAGGTACAACAAGAGATCAGAAATCTGCTTGTGGTTGGGGTTAAAATGGGTGTATAAAATAATGTTCTGCTTGAACTTGATTATTTCTGGTGTTTGTGTCTCAGTTCATTCCAGTGTGGTGGAGATGGTACTACTACATCTGCCCTACAGCATGGACACTGCAGGGGATTATCTCGTCCCAGCTTGGTGATGTGGAAACCATGGTCAGGGTCCAGGATTTCGAGTACCCGTGAAGGAGTACTTAAAAGCAAACTACGGCTACTCGACAAACATGGTCGGACTTTCAGCTGTGGTCCTCGTCTGTTTCTGTCTCCTCTTCTTCTCTGTTTTCGCCATCTCTGTGAAAGTCATAAATTTCCAGAGAAGATGAGAACCCAAGGATGAACCCAGCAAGTTCTTCTAGTGTCCCCTACTTATCAATCTCTCTCCATTTCGATTTAGTTGTGATTGTTTGGATAGATAGGATTGATCTCGTAGGATGATGATATGTTGCAGACTGAATGCATACTGTTGTTTGGACTTCTTTGGTTTTGACAGAGGATGTTAGTAGTAGTTTCAGGGCTGTGCTCTAGTTTCACTTGCTGATTGGAACTTGCTGCCCAGCAGAGATAGTGCATGTACAGATTGGGTTCCATGTGGCTTATTCATTTTTGTCAACATAAATGGGGGAGAAATGGTGTGAATAGAACCCTATTAAAGGAAAAAAGATGATACTGACAAAACCTAACCTTTGTCAGCAACACAACCGGATTGACCGTTGAAAAAAGAAAAATGGAGCAGGTAAATCAGTCAACTGGTTGAACGAGACCCCTACCAATACCATGCTAGTTTATGTTTTTTAAACTTTTGATAATTAACACACTAACAACCATGCCAGAATTAAACAAGGGCTTTCCGGAGGAAGTAAGTTCCAATAGTGTAATTCAGAATTGTTATCCATCGCCGTTCTTCCCCCTCACAAACAAAAAAAGAATTGTTATCCATCACGGATCACAAGACACGTGAACTAACAACAATTAACGCGTTATAATCTCAGCCTCATTCGGCCATATATGATATAACGTCCCAGCTGTATCTTTCGGTACACGGTAAATTAGAATTGAGAATAGGGTTGCAAATGAATCGAGCTAAATCGTGTTTTGATCTATTGAAGGCTCAATTCATAAAAAAAAAAATACTCGAGCTCGAGCTCTACTTGTTTACTAAAACATTGAATCGTGCTAAACTTGAGTCTGACTCGAGTTTGCCTCATTAATGAGCTAATGAGCTCAATTTACTCGAGTTTGGCTCAAACACAAGTCATTTATGATTTTAAAATGGTTAAAGCATAGCATAAACTCTAAAATATTTATACATTCAGACTATAATATATATATATGATACATGTGATTAATATAATAAGAGGAACAAATGATATTGGACTTTTTATTATTAATTTATATCACACATTTATATACTATGTCGATATCATATTTAGTTCACATATTCTAACTAGTTCACATCATATGTTACTTTTCGTCATTAGAATCTAAAAAATTTTGTAATACATAATTTCTCTTGGAAATTATAAATAAGACTTATTTTGGCCAAGTACACAGTTTTTTTTTATATATATAACAAGTAGGCAAAGTTTTAAACCATCATATGTGAAATATATAATCTAATAAGTCTATAAACTATCAACAAGCCAACTCATAAAATATAATCAATTAACTAATAAACAACTAGTCAAACTACATCGCTACACACATTGTCGAATCCACTCAGGAACTGAGCTAAATGAGTCACCAAGTCAAACTAACTTGCGAGTTTCACTATCTGAACTAAGTATAACCACTCTTAACTCATTTGCGGATCTAATTGGGAAGAAATTTATTTTCATCGATTGAGCTCCACCGGGTGCCTACATATGGCCCTACCAAGATCACAAGCATGTGCATCAGCCCAGCCATCCATTCCTGACTTTCCTTCTTCAATCTGAGTTTCTCTCCAAAAAACATATGCCTCCTTTTCCAACAAAGGCATGGATCTAAATCTGAACTGAACATCTCCATATCCAAACAAAACCCGCAAGCATGATTCTTGATATGAACACAGTCCCCAGAAGAGGATATTTCATGCACGAACTTTTTGCCTCTGGATGCATGCACAGCAGAAAGTAGAAGCCTTCCTCTCAGATCTATGATTCAATCAAGGGGATCCCAGATCTGTACCTTTAATCTTAATCACCCACTTGGATCAATCATTTCATTCTACATAATCTCAATGTCCCAATTACGATAGGACCCACCACCCCCACTTAAACCAATAAAATGGTTGCATCAAACAAAGCAGAAGAAGCAATATATAACAGAAACTCTCTCAAAGGCATGAACAATGAACACGTAGGATACATCAACCAGTCAGTAGCAGCTGAAGGAACCATGCTACCTACCAAAGTAGGACCTCATGGGAAAATCGACAGACAAAAGAGGAATCAAGAATTATATCCATACTTCCAAACCCTAAAGACAAAAGAGTGAAAATGGATAGCAAAAGGTGATGCTGATGTTGAAAGTTGAACCAGAATTGGATGGCAAAAAGGAAGTTACAGATGATGTTAATTTCCATTTCCCACTAGACCGAAAGACAAAGAAGGGCCAGATTTCTGTTCCCTTTGCTAAGCCACAAGACAAGCACAAAAGGCCCACCACAGCACCACCAAGTCTCTTGCTTTACATGTTTTCCACCCTCTTTATGCCAAACTAATAACCCCAGCCTCTTGTAAAAATGACTAGGAAACTTGATACTCCCCACTTAAAGTTGCCGGCATGTTAGATACATACATCATAGCTGCAGACACACTAAAGTGAAAACATATGTGACAACTTATAAGCTTTTTTTCCCCCTTCCTTTCCCGTGATATATGGGGGAGGACAAACAACCAGAAGACCATCTACCTTCATTTTCTTCTGTGTAAACAACTTTTGAAAATCTTAAGTCATGCATGCATGGCATTCACCTATCTGATAAGGGGATATTCTCTACACCAAGTCTTTATCATAATAACTACACTATATATTTGTTCTGATGAACTTTTTACCTACACGTGTTGAGCAAAATTGAGAGAATTTCACTGAGCTGAGGCCGCTTAGACGGGACATTGTTCCAGCACTTGATCATCAGAGACTTGAGAATTTGTGGGCAGTCCTTTGGGATCTCAGGCCTAAGGCCGCATGCAGCTATGCCAACTGCAGCCTGCACAGGGGAATATGAGCCGTAGGCAGCCTCACCGGTAACCATTTCCCAAATCACCATTCCAAAACTATACACATTGCTCATCGATGTCTCAGCAACAGACTCTGGGTCGCCTGCTATGATCTGTTTCTCCAAAAGGCACACAGGGAAGACATGTTATTTCCAGTGGGTTGATCGTGCCTAATGATGATAGAGTTAGGGGAACAATAGTTTTCTAGTAACAATTGTAAGCAGAGGTATAAGCACTGACGAGTTATTTAGATTAAGCCATCATGCTATTGCTGTGTGAATAAACAAATTAGGCAAACAAATCTACATGCTTGGCAAGTTAGGTCTTGAAAAGGACTACAAATGATGCAGCTTATAATGATCAAAGTTCCATTCTGCGGGCTCAATGCAATAAAGTATATTCCTAAAAGTGGTCTATAATGGGCACAAGACAGGGGAAAGTGTACGTTATGATAGATTTCTTATGCAGAGGCCGACTTTAGATTAGCATCTACAGCAAAAGAGAGGTATGATTACGGGTTTCGCATGCCTACATAATTATGATAATGATAGTGGAATAATGCCTTTTTAGGTGGGCAAAGAATACTAGAAAATATAGAACCAACAGTAATCACACCCAAATGAAATCAATGGAGCCATAACCAGCAAAACATGCTATACTAAATTGAAAAATTATAGGTGGAAAAGCAAAACACGGTCCAAATCATTTACACAGTTCAAAAGGAGACAGATAGACAGACAAATGGAGAGATAGATATAGATCTAAACAAAGGTAAACCAAAAAGAAGAAGCCTAGTACCAATAATTCAAATCCAAAGAACTCATTTCAGGAGAATTGGAAACATTATGGCAGTTGCCTATTCTAAAATGACAGTAGCCAAGCTACGATTAAGCATGGATAATTAATAAGACAGTTTAGCGCAAAAACAAGAGAACTAAGATAATGACATGAACCAGATTATGTTGAGACTTAAGACTTAAGAGTCAAATTCGTTTTACTAAAATGTGTAAGAGTTTGATCAAGGAACAAACCTCAGGGGCTAGCCAGCGGTAACCATCAGTTTCATACTCCAGAGCCTCACCCATATCCTTGCAGGCAGCCACAATACACATGTCCGCCAAGCAAGCATTCCCATGTTTATCCAACAAAATTCTTTGAGTGTTCAGATCTCTATAAGCCACTCCATGATCATTCAAGAATTTAAGCCCTTCTGCTACATCCACAGCAATCCTAAACATGTCTTTAGCTTGGAGCTTTCTATTCCTAAACATGAGTTCATTAACAGAACCACCTTCCATCAGTTTCGTCACCACACACAATCCATGATTTTCATCAACACAAACGCCATGAAACTGCAGAATATTCTTATGCCCACAAGTCATTAGCTTCAGTAGATCATTTCGCAGCTCAAACTGATATGAGTTCCCTTTTTCACACCCTTTTAGCTTCTCAATTCTAACCCTTTTGCCCCTGAACACTCCCTTAAAAGAGGTCGGTCCAACCTGGTCAGTGAACTCGAGATTATCAGAATTCAGAAGCCATTTTCCAAGCTCATCACCACCTGATTGGATCGTTTGCCATTCATTAACTGAAACAACAAAAGATGAACTAGGCAAGGGCATGTCAAGTTGAATCTTGACATTTCCTACGTTCTCAATTCCATTTCTGTAACTTAGATCACAGGGATCCTCTTCAATCTCGCCAAAGTCTCTCCTTTTTGAATTCTCTTCCTGGCACCCGCAAAGCCCAAAGGGGAGCTTCACCGTTGCTGATTTAGGCTTCTTTGCCGCGAATTTTAGAGCGCTCTCGATCCGGGTTTTGAACAATTTCTCTTGACCAGCTTGAACCAAAAGAAGAATGACCCCTAAAGTAAACCCCTTTTTTTCAAAGATCTGTATCTTCTTGCAACATATGGAAGCACTGTCCAATGCACCGGACATCGCAGGCCAGGAAATCGATGAATTGCAAGCAAATGTGAGCTTGAATACAGAACCATGTACCTCATCGTCAGAAATCTCATGGAGCATGATTGCAGGATGATCATCCGCCAATGCCTGCTCGATCAACTTCATGTGTAGAAACACCTCCTTCATATCAAATTCCGCCTGTGAGTAACTGTAAAAAAAATGCATCACAGAGTTCAGACGTGAAGAAGGGGGGGAAAAACAAATCCCTAAAATTGCACAAAATTCAAACTTGAAAGACACCCAAACAAGTTAGCCCAGAGGGCAAATCAAACTGACCTCAAAGGCAAGGAATCGTAATGCTTCTTAATATTGGAAACGAGCTTCTCCGGCAGCTGACTCCCTGGGTACAACTGGGTGAGATTCCGTACGACGGTAGCCCACACAACTTTCCGGCAACTCTCAGCCTTCCCTTTACCACCAGCACTAATCCCCTGCTGCTGCTGATTCATCAAAAACGAGTTCCCGTCCCTGATGGAATCGAGGTTGAGGGTGTTCTTAAGCGAGGCAATGGCCTCGGAGACGTTCCTGCTCAGCCTCTGGAACCGCTTCCTCTTATCCGATGAGGCGGCGGCGGAGGAGTCCCTCTCGTGATCGGCGACGCCGGCCGAGCCCGCCTCCGATCTGTCGTGGGACCGCATCAGAACCTGCTCCACCAAGTCCTCGTCGGTGCTCCCCCGGCTCGACCAGCATTCCAGCGCGGCAGCCATCGGAGAGAAAGGAAGAAGAAGAAGAACAGGCGAAGAAAGAGTGGGAAATGGAGTGAGCTAGCTAGTTAGCTTAGCCTTTTGAAGGGGGAAGCAAAGCAAATCTGCTGGGGAGGAGTGGGTGGGCTATTAACAGCAAAGGCAATAAGGTGAAAAGGGTAGGGGGGGAAGGTAGCAGTAGGATGGTCCGCCATTCTCAGAGTTTTTTCATTATTGGTATTTTCTTAATTTGGTGGGGGTAAAAAATTCTCAGAGGTCTTTCTGACAGAAGCAGAGGGGTAAGGGAGAGAGACAGAGGAGGGAAAAAGGAGAGGGAGAGCAGATTGGTTTTTGTTTGGGAGGTTGAGGAGTGTCATAAATATTGGAGACAGTGGTTAGGTGAGGGCGACTGCATTTTAAATACCGTGGACTCTCGTTTGTCAGCGTGTGAAGTGAAACTGACTGTCGAGACAAAAGCCCGGTCCAGCCATAGGATCGATCTAGATTCTAGGCCCAAAGAGCAGTATAGGATTTAAGTACGCTTGCTTTTGTGTGAAAGTGAAAGCACTCAAATGCAAACCTTATATATTGAAGTTCAAAACAAAAACAAAAAAATGAAACTGGATACATATATATTGATGGTAGTCTGTCTACATAAGCACCCGATAGTAGTCTGCAGGAGTGAAGGTATATAAAGGTTCCGAGTTGTGAGGGAAGCAGTCTACGTAGAGCTTATGAGACAAAATGTTGCAGTCATAGTCACGACTTGATGATTTGCCATTCGAGCAGGCGGCAGCAGCAGCAGCATCTTTCGGCTTTTCGAACAGTTCAAACTTGCAGGTCAAGAGATGATCCTTAAATTCAACACCATCTTGTCATGAGGGTCCAGCGCCATCACCCATCCCTTACCCCCTAAATACCCCGAGTATTCGGCAGTAAGAAAATCTTCCAGCTTCTCCAGGGACGGGACGAACTCTTGGAGACTTGCGGGACGCTGAGTCATGTTTGCTGGGTGGTTTAGCCCAGCCAAATCCTTCAAACTCATCGCCCCGACCAAAATCTTCTTGCGCTTCTTATTAGGATCCTCGAATTTAGGATTGACCACCACCGAAAACAGTACTCCCATAGATCGGATTCAGCGCGAGCGGCAGAGGTGCTACGGCCACAAGAATACCAGTACCCATAGATCGCAAGACAGATGCTCCACTCATGTTGAGAACGTAGAGCCGCGACTTGAAACCCCATGGGCCAGCATTCCCCAGCACCACGTGACCCGAGGAGATGGGGCTAAAACCAAGACAGATGCTCCACGGACCGTTCCATAAGGATAGGTGAAGCGGCCCAAAAGAGGAATTATTCCCACCAATTATCGACAATATCCGCAACCGTGTTCGACTTTTTTTTTCAAATCATCAGAGCTAGTTCATTCAATTCGAACTTTATTCTACTTAGTCAAGTCAGATTTGGACTTGGACGGCTATTTAGGAGTTAGTCTCATTTTGGCCATCCCTATTCTCAATTAATACAGTATTCTGCAGAACATTAGAGTTAGAAATGCAGCCGATGGACATACAACTATGTAGGGTTGGTGATTAATGATGATATATTTAAACCAAGTAACCGCTAATACAATAAAAAAAAAAATTAGTGACAAATCCGAAACAAAATATCAAAGTGGATCACCAAACATATCATAAGCTTAGATTATTTACACCAAATTCATACATATAATGGAATGGGTTGGAATTGCATATCCGCCAATTATGGGTTAATTGCATTGTTGGTCACTGAGATTACAAAAAACGTTCAAGTTTGGTCACTCAAAATATTTAAATTCATTGGTGATACTTTATTTTACGGAAATCGTTTACGTTTGGTCACTCTCCGTCCAACTCCGTTAACTTTTGCTTACGTGGCGGTCAACTCTAAAAGTTGACCGTTAAAATGTGTGATGTGGCAATTTAAAAAAAAAATATTTTTAAAATTGTCATCTCATTTCCACCTCATTTTCACTTTTATTTAAAATAAATAAAAAAATCCTAATTTCTTCTAATAACCAATACCAATACCTGTCCCCGTGTCAGTTTCGTGTCTTTTCGCACCTTGGAGCTGCCCATTAGTGGCATAACAAGCTCTTTTATCGGGAGTCCGGTTGCATACGGGCTACCGTTCTTTATTATTATATATTTTGTATTCCTGTTGTTCGGCCATGCCCAAGGGGCTTATCTTGGATAAAAAAAACCCCGCCGGTAGCATACCCAAAGAATGAAATAGGAACGAAGAAGATAAGGCAGCTGCTAGGTTAAGCAGCTGCATAAGAACGAATTGTGGGGAATCGTTAGAGTGAGCTAGCTGCTCATCTATTCCTTTTATACTTTGCAAAACTCAGAATTCATCTACAGTAAAAACTAAACATAACGATAAGTTTAAAATAGAACTGTAAATAGCCGACACGTGGCTTTCACTCCGTCTGTATCTAACAATGGCTACGTCATCACTTTTCACAACGCTGTCGTTTCACTTCCTCAGCTTCTGGGTTTGCCTGCAACGAAGGACTCTGCATCTTCTTCTTCTCTGCTGCTGCTGCATTCATCAGTCTGTTCTGTCACTCCCCCACAAGTTGGCGAGTGCATATCAACAACTCCCAACTTGTCAAGCAAATATTTCAGTCTATAATGAGTCATTCCTTTTGTAAACATATCAGTCAACTGATCATCTGTTCCGACATGGCTCAATTTAATCATACCTTACTTCAACCTTTCTCGTGTGATATGGAAGTCGATTTCTATGTGTTTCGTCCTCTCGTTGAACACTGAATTCTCAGCTATATGCATTGCTGAGCTATTGTCACAGTGCACCTGTATAGGTAGTTCAATTTTCACATCCATCTCTGCTAATAAGTTCCTCAACCACTGCAACTCACATACCAAATGAGCAAGAGCTCTGTATTCTGCTTCTGAAGAAGATCTGGACATTGTGGTTTGTTTTTTGGATTTCCAAGTAATTAGGCTCTCTCCCAGAATCGTACAATACCATGTCACTGACCTCCTAGTGTATGGACAACTCGCCCAGTCTGAGTTTGAATAACCAGACAATTTCAAGTTGGAACTTGCTTGGAATATCAAGCCTTGACCAGCATCGGCGGATCTAGGGCTGGGCCGACCCGGGCCACGGCCCAGCCCTCTGCCGGATCCAGAGCTAGTATAGAGCTTATAAATTTTTCGATTTAGGTATTCGGCCCAGTATTATTTAATGGTCGGTTGAGTGTTATTTGATAATAATTTTGTGTAGTTAGAAAAATGTATAGATGAACATATGCAAATCATTACTCTCAATTTAGTTTAGGAATTCTAGCCCGAATGATTTTCATTTGAAAAAAAACAATAAAACCTAAAAGTCTAAAATGTAAAAGAATGTATAAAGTTTCATTGAAATAAGAAAACCCTCTAAACAATTGATTTGTGGGTTGATTCGTCTAGTGTTAATCTTGCCCGTTTCAGCGGCTACCATGGAGAGAACATTTTAAGCAATGAAATAAGTAAAAACTAATTTTGAGTAAATACAATTTATTAGTTAAACCTTTTAGACTTTCCAAATTATTAGCCAAACCTTTTGAAATACAAAATATTAGCTAAATATTTTGTAACGCATCAAAATATTAGTCATTTGTCTGTTATCGTTGGTAATCTTGTCTAATTTTTTATTTGAAATACAAAAAAAATTTCTCGGAAGATAGCCATCCAAAAATTTCTCGTTTGGAAAAATATTGCTCTTTTGGCAGGAATTCCCTATATATAAAAAAATTTCCCGTACCTTCGCCCCGAGAAAACGTCATTTGTTACCCCTAAACGAGCAATTTTTCGATTTTGTCAAACTTTAGAGGATCATAACTTTGTTCTCTGCAGTCCGAACGTCGCAAATTTTTTTTTATTTTGCATAATTTTTTTAGTACTACAACATTTATAGGAATAAATTTTCAAAATAGAAATATTTTTAAATATAAGGGGTTTTGGAGTAAATTTATCTTTAATTTTCACATATATTCTGAAAATATTTCTATTATAAAAGTTGTAGTCCTTGAAAAGTTATGCGAAATGAAAAAAAAAGTTTGCTACGATCGGATAACCGAGCATAAAGTTAAGGTTGTTGGAAATTTCAAAGGAGTGGTTCGAGTTCACTGAACTCGAACTACTTCAGCCCCACATGGTTTGAGGCTTATATCATCGATCTACAAATAGATCGAGTCTACTACACTCGAACCGGTTAGTAGTTCGAGTTCCTCAAACTCGAACCACTCCAAACTTAGGTATTTTGGGAAATTTTTTTATAAATGTGGTAGTTTAGGAATTTGTTTTACTTGTATGTGTATTTAGGGAATTATCCCGTTTTATAACCAGTGCATGTATAAAATAACTTGAAGGCCTATTGCTTTTTTTAGAGATTTTTTGAGATTTGAGGAGGAGGGGTTTTGTTTGACAGTTTGCGATTGGGTCTTCGTTTGATTTGGTGGCCTTCATCGATTTCTTTTCAATGAATTAAGTCGTGGAGGAACAGGATTTCAAGGATAATGCCCGCCCAATTTAGAGAAGAGGGGGTGGGGGATGATGAAGTGATGGGAGCAGTGGCGAGCATGAGCCACCGTCAAACCCTTGTCGGCATTATAATCCGTCGAGGGTTGTTCAGAAGTTGAAACGTTGAAGGGACAGGTAGTTTCTTTCTTCCATAGCCACGCCCACGAACTGAGTGGGGAGAGGAAGAAGAAAGAAGGTTAGAAATATAAGATAATAAGAAGGTCAAAATTGGTATTTCAGTCTCATTCACATTGGCGGTTCGACCTTGATTCACATATTTTGGATGGAAAACTTAACTGAGGGCATGTTTGATAATATTATAATAATATAAGGGTAGGATTAATGAGAAAAATTGTTAATGGCATGTTTGATAAAAATGCATAGTAAAGGGGCAAAATATACTTATAACCCTTTAATTTTTTTTTTGCCCGAGTAATATCAGAAAGAAATTTAGAACAAACACTACCCAAACGCCCTCCCCACCCCGCTGACAAACCAACCTACAAAGTCAAAGGAAGCTAACTATAGCTGAGACAGCAACAGGGCTTTACGCGCCACTCTATGGGCAGCCCAGTTGGCAGTCCGCGGAACTGCCCTAAATTCTATACAAAGAGACAAAGATCCAAGGATACTCCTACAATCTCTAAGAATGGGGCCACCCACGGAATCCTCCACTGCACCAAGGCTAAGCTGACGGATGACCACAGCCGCATCTCCCTCAATGATGACACGAGGCAGATTTCTAGAAGCTGCAAGAGAGATCGCATCCCTTGCTGCAAGGAGCTCTGCAAGGTACGGGTCTGAAATCCCTGGATGCTAGAAACCTGAGGCAAGCAGAACATGACCGTCCGAGCCACGAACCACAAGACCAGACGAGCAACCAGAGGCATGAACAGCAGCATCAAAGTTGATCTTCAGAACATCTTCAGGAGGGCATTCCCAGGGCTGGCTTGGAGAGGCAGTCACACGAGGCTGAGCAGGCGGGGCAGGAAGACAGGAAGAGAGCACTTCACGGACTTGAAAGGAGAATTGGCGGGCAAGCGAACGGACATGAGGCTGGGTATTTTCAAATACCACTTTATTTCTTGATTTCCATATTCTCCACAAGAGACACACGATTTGGAGAATATGAGTTTGGGACTGCTCTGAAAGCATAACTTGACGCCACCATACACTAAAATTCATCGTTGGGGCCGAAAGCAGTATGTCACTTAATCTCACAAAGTACCATAACATATTGGCAAAGGGGCAATGAAAAAACAAATGTTCTATACTCTCTCGGCTCCTCCAGCAAACAGGACATCTCCTTAGACAATTAATCCCACAAGAACGGAGCGCTACTGTCGTTGGTAGGACTACTCTTAGGCACTGCCAAATGAAAAACCTTAGTTTCGGAGGGGTCTGAATGCCCCATGTCAGTTTCCACAAAGGAGGATCAATAATGAGAGCCAGGGCTTTTCTATTGGGAGCTAGAATGCCATCAAGAGCTAGATGATACCCTGTCTTGACTGAGTACTTGCCATTTTTGGTAAAATGCCATACTCTAGTATCTGGCTGCGTTGTCCGAGGAAGGGCCATTTTGCAAATTATATCCACCTAGCAGGGATCAAAATAGGCTTGTAACCTCGAAATGTGCCATTCCCTTGTACTTTCCTCAATGAAAAAGGAGACTCTTAGAGATCTTGTAACCCTTTAATATTATAATATATATAAACCTAAAACCAGGTTACTATTGCCTAATTGTTAGCTCAATTGGTTGGGCTTGACCTTGCTTATGGGCTTTGTTATACCTTTTTTAATTTTGACCTTAGTTTATACTTATGTGGACCTCTCAATTATCCATTTTTAACACAATCTCTAATAACAAGCCCAACAATCTCAAAATAAAATCAACAAATGAAAGCCAATTCACCTCATCGGCACAGAAAGGCAGTACAGAAAAACAGAGAAAAAGAAATATAAAGGATTATGTTGCATACACTGAACTGATTCCTGCACGGCGAGCATGCCGACTTCGACATCATCGATGCGGTCAAACAAACAGAGACAATATATCTTGGAAGGGAAGGTTTCTCGGGCTCAACTTTGATGTCCTCGACACGGTTGTGCGAATGGAAAGAATCTACTTTGAAGACAGCGGCGGATCCAAAACACAGAAGGGAACTGGGTCGAGTTTCATTAGAAAATTGAATAGTAAAATAACATAATGATTATAGTTTTTTTCCAATGTAAATTGTACACAATGGTATTTTAATTTAGTGATGCATCAATAATGGAGCCTACATCCATACCAATAGTATACACTGTTTCAAATAAAATACTTGAGCAATCGGCGAGAAATTCATCGCTCATTTTGTTGAGGAAATCAGTTCTCACATGTTTCATTGTTGAAAATGTTCTCTTCGTAGTAGCTGTTGAAACGAGCAGCATCAACACTAAACAAATCAATCGACTAATCAATTGGCATTGTGTGTCAATCCCTGCATCCACCAACTGCTCTAGTAAGTTTTCAAGGGAACAAACCTCATATTTCTTTTAGTCGTTTACGTTTTAAACTTTTAGAATTTTAGGTTTCATTTTTTTTATA